GGATAAAACTGTCAGCCTCCGTTAATCTGATAGATGTGAAACACTCAATGAAATCGAAACAACTCGAAGGGACGATAGCCCGGCCGAGTGAGAGAACTCGATCTAATGCTAAGGTAGCCTGGTCCTAAACCTAAGGCGTCACCTATAGCCAAACCCTAACCAAACCCAAACCAAGCCTAACCCTGTAGCTGAGGGTGTTGGCGTACGAATGTGAATACTAGGAGCGCTTGTCCTAGGGGCACTAGCCCAGAGAGAATGTGGGTGAACTGAGACCGTGGGCTTAGGGCTGGATACACCAGGACACAAGGTCACACTGAGTATGGCGAGAAGCAAAGGAGATCGAGTTAGGGAACTATTCTACGATACAGGTAGTTCTTATATACATCCTGGGCTGACCCTTTAGGGCACGTCCTCACTGTACACTACGAGTGAACACTACAGGAATCCTTCATGGATATCCAGTGGGTCCAGCAATGGGCACAATGGGTACAAACCGCTGAGTCAACATGCACAAGACTATTCTAGAACGTTCCAGACCTGGTCACATGTCCCTACATCACGACCACAAGGTCACATGCCATCACGTGCCTACCACATGACTGGTCACGTGCCTATCCCTCTATCCATCCCACATCTCCATCGTCGAAGTGGCACCTGGGGCCACAATGCCTGCAAGGCGCGTACACTCCTTAGAAACGCCGAGAAATAAAGAGTTAGGTTTAGCCCGAAGGCCGTTTCATATATGCTCTTGCCGAATCAGGCGGGGCGAAAGTGGTGGGTAACGTGGACGAGGCGGAGGTGGTCGTCACCGCAATCGGGATGAGGAAGAGATTGGAGAGGCATGTTTCTTGGAACATTGCTGTGAGTGGTATGAGAACACATTACCTGAAGTTCTCTGGGAAGAAGAACTCCTATCTTGGTTCCAAGCAGCCTCTGCACCAATGGCCTGCATGCTCTTGATCTCCGACCACTCTTTGGCCTCTGGGAATGGTGTCGCACGTTACTAATTGAAATCTTACGACGTACCGACAGAAATCTAAATCCCTTGTCACACCAGCTTGGCTGCGTGACTCTCTCCACAAAGGTACTCCTCAGTCCTGCGGCGACTACGCCGCCATCCCCGACCTCCAACCGAGCACCGCGGCCAACTGCCCCACCGATGACTCTGACTCTGGCTCTGGCTCTGACTCTGACCCTGACCCGCCCACCATGAATAATATAAAGGAATCTCTTCCGTCATCAGCACCGCCAAGTCGCTCCGGTCATTCTAAACCGTCCTCGGCGCGTTCTGACATCCATAGCAGCATCCCGGCTAGTCTTCTCCCGCCGAACCCACCGACGGCGTTTAATCCCAAATCATTGGATCCTCTGGCGAAGTTTGCGTGTGAGAGGCCGAGCCCATTGAAATGTGTAAATCAGAAGTTGGCGGAGGATTTGGATGTGATGAGGAAGTGGAGGGAGCTGGACGGTGAGGAGAGGAGCGCGTTGAGTTATCGGAAGGCTGTCTCCGTGGGTGTTCTGTGTTTTTAGCCATAGATAACTGTAGCGTTGGCGACCACTGACGTATGATTTGACAGGCTATCAAAGGTAGGATTGCTGCAATTTCTGTACGATTCCGGGTTCTGACCTTTCTGTATAGCCTATCCTACAAAGATTAACTCTACGAGAGATATTCAGAGGTTACCCTTCGTTGGGTCTAAGATCTCGTCCATGGTCCGTATCAGTGACGATATTGCTTTTACTTGCATTATACTAAGCATCAGCCGTCAGATCGAACAATTCATCGACCAAGGATACATATCCGAAGTCCGTGCGTATGATCTCTTCACCTTCACACATGTCTTCTTCTTCATCTTCTCTCCCGCTCTTTCTTTCCTCTTGCTGTCTTTTCCTCCGTGTTTCGCTGCCCTGCCCCCAGCGGACTCACCCAGTCTCGACTTCTCTTCACTCACAGGCACAACCCTACACTCCGCACGCTTCAAGACCCTTACCGTCTTCAACTCTATCTACGGTATCGGCCCACACACGGCTCGTCAGCTGTACGCACTCGGGCTTTCGTCGTTGGAGCAGCTGGAACAGTATTATGATGTAGAGGGGGCTTGGGATGATGACGATGATGCGGAGGGAGCGGGAGGAGAGGGAGATTCTGAGATCCCGGCGAGTATAGCTGATGCGAAACGTGAAAAATCAGCAAAGTACGGTCACAGTGGTGGCGGTGGGCTACCCTCGCCTCCGGCGTCTGAACAGAGCGAAATACGGCAGGAATCTCCAGCTCTACTACCCGAAGAAGCGGAAGCGGAAGCCTTGACGGCTACTTCCAAGGAAAGGCCGAAGGATATCAAGTTGAGAGGGATAACGACGATGTTGGACGAGGAAGATGTGGGTGCGATGCCGAAGGAGGAGATCAAGGAGAGTTGGATAAAGATCGCGTTGGGGCTGAGGGAGGACTTGAGTGTGAAGTGCGTTTTGTCCACTCTCTCTGCCTCTGCTAAAGTTTGACCTCGCGGTGTTAACTATACTTGCGTCACACATCTTTTTGATTTGATTAGGATTCCGCGCGACGAGGTGAGAGAGATTCATCGCGTCATCATGGGAGAGCTGGACGAGTTGCAGCCAGGGTGTGTTAGTACCATTGTTGGAGGGTAAATCTTGTTTGCTTCTCCTACTCAAAGCAATACAACCTGATGAGAACGCGGCAGATATAGGCGCGGTAAAGAAGAGAGCAACGACGTCGATGTTGTGTTCACGCATCCGGATCCTGAGAAGGCGAAGGGTTTGTGTAAGCGCTTGATGCATGTTTTGTATGATAAAGGTATTGCCTCCATTCACACTCCTTCAACCCATACTTTAAGCTGACCATATAACAGGACTCGTAACCCACGTCATGCGTAAGCCCTATCCATATCTATCCTTCTCGTTACTGCTCAGGGCTTAACGTGGGCGGTACATGTTCCACAGACCTCTCCAGCTTCCACGCCCACAACGCCCTCCGTACGACACACTGGGACTCCCTCGAAAAATCCCTCACGGTATTCGTCCTGCCCGGCACGTCGCCTATTTACCCGCTGCCCTCCGATCACGACCCTTCTAAAACTAGAAGGAGGAGAAGGAGAGTAGATTTTATATTCGCGCAGCCGAAGACTTATTGGACGGCTGTCGTTGGGTGGTATGTTCGTTCGTTTATAATTTGGCTGTAGTGAAACTCGTGGATACCTGGGCTGACGAGGCTGCGTGGTATGCACACAGGACTGGATCGATGATGTTCGAGCGAGATCTGCGCAGCTGGGCGAAGAAACGGTTCGTCTTCATTTGCGTGCTCCGTAGTACCCGGTCCTGACGAATGTCGCTTCATCCATGTTCAGAGGCCTCAAGTTCGATAGTTCCGGAATGTGAGCCTTCCCCATTTGTTCCTCCTTCTGGGTGCAGCGGATTATTGATGATGATGCATGGACTACAGTACCCGCCGTCGAGACTCGAAGCTGATCTACCCGCGGACGGAGAAAGAAGTGTTTGACGTGCTTGGGTTGCCGTGGATCGACCCGACGATGAGGAATGCGGACGTTTGAGGGACTAGTCTGGCCAGTCACCTCCTCATCACTGGGACTCACGATGTTTGGGTGTAAGGGTGTTCAAGAGTCGAAGATTTAGGCAGGCATTAGTCGATAGTTATTCGTTTTTATCTTGTTGTAATTGTGTTTTTCGTTGTATTCATTCTCTTGATTTGATCGTTGTTCTCCTGAGTCGCTCCATCTCCCTAGCATCATTGGGGGTATCTCTCGAAGTTGCCAGGGTACTATGATACGTTTCAGAAGTTCACGACAATGCAGATAAAACGCGCGAGAATCCTGTTGAACGTTAAATGATTTGTGATAATACAGATATCTAAACATTGTGTGTTGATTAAATGTGCCAGCTAGATGTCGTCCTTCCACTCCATAGAAAATACGCGCACTGTGTTGTCGAGCTTTCGTACTCAGCTCAGTTCGAAAAGGCTTGAATTCCGGTCATAGCCTTGCCGAGGATGAGGGTGTGGATGTCCTAAAGGTTCCACAGGCGTCAACGGGGAATGCGATGATGATGCAGAAAGTAAGAACGTACATGGGTGCCTAGTTGAAATTTGCGGAGAAACATCAATGGCACCAGTCAAAGTCAGCACAGGTAAGCAAATGAAAGCTAATGGTCAACGCACCCTCATACGTGTTCGTCACCTGCAAGTTTGCTACATGCCTTCCGATGCTATACCTGTATAATCGATGTCAACCATCGGCCAATGTTAAGCACAGTGAAACCAACTCACTCATCCGAGCACGCGTTCCCACCAAGCACGTCCACCAACATCCTTGCCCCCTCTAACGCCTTCCCACAATTATTCCTCTTCACCATACTGACCATCTCCGGCACCAACTTTCCTTCATCCTTCAGCCTACCCACTCTCAAACTTGCGTGTAAGCCCAAGGCAATCTCAGTTTGCACCTTGACTAGCTTCGCTTGAACAAGTTGGAACGAGGCGAGTGGCCGGGAAAATTGATGGCGGTCAAGGGCGTATGTGCGGGCGGTATTGAGGCAATCCTCAAGGGCGCCCATGACGCCCCACGAGATGCCGAACCTGCGGGGAGACAGAGGACATAAGACTCAGATAGCAGGGAGAGATACGGAGAGAGGACGGACCGCGCGCTATTAAGACAAGAGAATGCTGCGCCTAAACCGATGGCGTCGGGCATCAGAGCATCGTGTGGCACCTTCACAGAGTCCATGAATATGGATCCAGTGGTCGATACTCTCAGAGCCAACTTGTTTGGAATCTTCTGCGCAGATAGGCCGTTCATCCCCTGCGATCTGTGTGTAAGAGGACGCGCGAAGGTTAAAAATTTTAGATGGACTAACTGACTTTCTCGAGGATGAACCCACGGACACGGTTGTCCCACTTGCAGCGCGCCCACATAATAAAAACGTCTCTACGATGCACGTGGAGATTTTGGTTCATGAATTTGGAATGAAGAAAGGAGCACTCGAGGCAAACTCACGCCACGGGGGCATTGGATATCCACGTCTTGCTGCCGTTGATGACGAACCCGCCGTCGACTTCCTCCGCCACGGTTTCCATACCGGCTGGGTCAGACCCGTGGTTGGGCTCGGTCAAACCCTGAAATAAGATGGAGAACGGAACTGAGTAAGCCTTCGACGAGCGATGGGTGTTCGATGCTTACAAAACATCCCACAAGCTCTCCCTTGGCTACAATATGCATGAGTTCTGGTTATGATGAGCTGATGAAATCTAGGAACCTACCCAAACCAGGCAAGAATTTATCCTTCTGCGCCTGGGTCCCAAAAGTATGTATTGGATGCATAACCAAGGAAGACTGCACAGAAGCGGTGGAGCGATACCCTGAATCTACCCTGCAGAGGAAGATCCATAGCGCAGAGTAAGTAGAAGGCAACGCCACAAGACCGCGAGCGGGTGTGGTGCCTAGCACCAATTCGACATACCTTTCAATTTCACGGGCTATAAGACCGTATGCGACATTGCTCACTCCAGCGCAACCGTAGCCGTCGATCGTTGGTCCGAGGAGGCCCACAGAGCCCATTGCCGGGAGAATAGACTTGTCAAAATCTAGAGTGATGGATCATGAACGTATGAAAGAAGGTAAGTATGTGAGTTCAATGAGCTTGCGGTATGGCTTCAAGATCGGAAGACAGGTAAAACACTCACTCTCTGTACGATGAGCCTCAATAACCCGAGGTGCAAGATATTCCTATGGGCCAACAGCATAAGCTTGATTCTTTAGGCGGGTAGTAAATAAGACTAGCCTGGCAGAAATCGCGGGCTGTATCCCTGCATAATATGTGCATTAAAGTGAGCAAATGGCCCCAGCGAATCTCTAGCAAACGCTCGGCCGGACCTTATGGCAACCTCCTCGTCCGTCAGCGCACCCTCCAAGTTCAGTGGATCCTGTTCTACAGTGTTGGTTCCCTGCCTATGTAGTGACCCTCACAAGAAATGCATACCTCCCAGTTGAATTTAGGCTCTGCGAATGTATTAGGTATTAGTTCAGCCGATGTTAACAGACCGTAGAGAAAGGCCGAAAAGACTGACTTGGAGCTGAGGATGTGGAGGCACATCTGGTAAGCTGGCGAGTTGCAGAGCGTGACTTCACGATACGGGAGAGCATGGTGAGCAGATATTGGGAGATGTTGTTGGTCTGTTATAGAGCAATGCAATTCACAAGTGACGAACGGGGAGGTTGAGAAAGAGGAGACTCGCCCGCCGGGACCGGCTACCCCGCATTCCCTGTCTCCGGCAACTCGCGTTTTACGTCACCATCATTGTTGGCTTGCATTCCATTTTGGGATGACGCCCATTCAAACCACATTCATTGCGCATTTATCAGAAATCGACGTCTTCCGCCCTGACTTTCGTTTCGACATCCTTTAAAATGCAGTCTCCATCACTTGGCTCAGCACTCGCTGCCTCTTGCCTGTTCGCTCACGATTGGCAGGCTTAGGCTCATAAATGGCCATTTCTATAAGTGACGCAGAGCTCCTCGGTGGGTTCCTGGAAGCAATAGTTACCGGTAAGTTGTTCAGTTGATTCTCCGCATCCAAGAAAGTGTTTGGTCGTACATGTCTCGCTCGTGATATCGACTTAAATCTGCATCCCTTCCTAAGGCATCTTTTTTGCCTTCACGTGCGTCACTATCGTGGCACAATGGCGGAAACCTGGCGGAAACGGCTTCGTCATTCCTATCGTTTGTTTTATGCTTGCCATTGCCGTGGCGGTAGGCCGTATCCATCATGTCGTTGTAATCTATTGGGACTAATGAGTCCATTCTCCTCAGCATCTCACGCTTACCCTTCTTGGAGCCTTCGAATCCATCACGCCGACAGCGTCTGTCGTTGGTCTCATTGTCGACAACAAATTTCTCGTCAATACCAACCCATATACCGCGCAGACGTTACTGGCGATATAATACTAGTGAGTAGACACTCGTAGCGTGGCCTCGGTCGCAGACCTCTGAGCTACCTATTCGCCTTCTAGACGTGGCGGCGTTACGTAATTTACTCCAAAAGAATAATCATCGTCTTTCCCATCTTCTGTTGGTTGGGTTGTATAGGCATGTCCCCTCATGCCTCTAGCGATAGTCCCGTGGTCATGTTTTTTTCTTACTCCAATCTTTCGAGCTGATCCACTTTCGCCTTTCTCCCATTTTTCTATTAGTTGCTATGTCCACTTGGTGTGCTTACAATGCATCGAAGCTCCACTTGGGGTGGCACACGCTATTCCCGATCATCATTGCTCTCATCGAGTCTGGCACTTTTTACACGGTCGCCACCCTCGGTGCGCTCATCACACACGTGTATGGTACTTCCGGAGAGTTCGCAGCCGTACAGGTCTTACCTTCCGTCGTGGTTAGTATCACTAATCATTTCCTTACACCGTATATTTCCGATCTCTCAACGTTATCCAGTTATCTTCCGGAACGTGGAACGTACAGGGAATCATTTACTGCCTGATTGTCCTCCACATCAAGTTCAACACAGATCTACCAAGTATAGGGAGGTTAAATACCACGGCATACCTGGACGTGAGTATGCGAATTGGATCGTCCCGGTCGGTGTCTCCTGAGCTGACGCATGCTTGCCTTCACAGACATTCTCCGGAGTAGTCGGAATGCACAACCACATCATTCCTTCTGTTAGCCTGCCACAACATTATACGCTTCCCGGAACAAGCTCCCTTTCGCCCCACTCCCACAGATGTCATCTTCCGCTGCCCACTCCTCTTCCTTGAATATCACTCACTCAAGGTCGAACTACGAGGATAACCCACAATAAGACGTAAGTAACGAAGCCCTCAACCATACCTAATGGTGACGAGCAGAGCTAAGAACGTCATGTATTCCCATCCTGCATCGCGTGGACGAGTTACTTTGCTCAGATTATCACACTTCCTTAACCACGGTTGTCTCGGTCAGCGCAGTCTGACTTGTCATATTTTTACTGACTCAACAAAAACGTTCATCTTCCTGGTTCATGGATATCCGATGGCGTGTCATCTGTAGGCATGGCTTGCAGGGAATGCTATAGCAATTCTGCACTTCGTTGGCGTGAGCTGGGCTCACTACTCAGAGGCTACATGATGGGACACAATCCGTCGACATCGAGACTCGCGACTAGAGGTGCCCTGATCCGGATCCTATTGAGAGCCTCATCACGGTGGGTTCTTGAACGCCGTCCATCGATTCTCACCTCGAATCCAGCACAATCCTTATTGTGGTAGGCAACATTCTCGGCGCCGCTTAACTCAATTCTATATGACGGCAACTTCAGAGGATATTCGTACTCCCGCAACATTGCTGAGAAACATGTTTCGCCGGCAAAGTCCGCCACGGCATGCGAGCTCCCATTCGTGCTCTCTTAAACACTACACTCCACTCTTGTCGTGAACTCGCAACGACTTGAAGGCGGTATTGGCAGACCCTCAGAGGTCTCTCTATGCTCGAGAAATGGTATTGCTCAGCGAGGCTGAACTTCTGGGCATTTTTCTGGAATCGTTTGTCACGGGTGAGTTGGCCGCCCACATCTAATTTAACTCCTGTACCCAGTGCGTGGATGTCGGTTGCTTCGAACCTCACCCTTGGTGTTCAGCCATGCATACTGACCATTCGTCGCGCAGGTATCTTCTTTACTCTTGCATGCGTCTCGATCTTTGCGCAAAATGGGCGTAGAACTTCCAGTTGGGGATATTCTGTGCCTGTTGTCTGCTTCATGTTCACAATCGCAATGACGGTATGTTCTTCACCACGTTGCATATTCTCGGCTCTGATGAATGCCGGCCAAACATAGCATCTTATACTTGCTTTCGTTGGTAATCTGAAATCCGTGCCTCCAAGCTTGAGTGTCGGTCAGGTCATCGGCGACGTAAAGTTCTTCGTCAGCATCGTTCTTTACACCGTTCAGACGCTGGTTGGGGACATGATACTGGTACGCACGATTGAACGAAACACTCCAAGCAGAAGCCCGTCCCCATATTCACTCGTCAATGTATGTGATCCCTTTAGACTTGGCGCTGCTACATCATATACTCCAAGAGCGTGGTAGTCGTGATATTCCCTGTGCTTGGATTGCTTGGAAGCATTGGTTAGTCTCTCAGCTATCTGCGAGCGTATGGTTCCATTGAACATATTCTTGTGCTATGTTTGCAGCCATATGGATCATCCAGATGATCACTTGGGAACAACCATTCGGTCGGACACAGATCAGCGCGGAAACTGTATGGGTGACGGCGTACCTCACTATTACATGCGCCATCAATCTCTATACCACTCGTAAGACTCAGACCTATATCTATGGCCATAGTCACTGACTTCCTTGCTGCTTATCCTCCCCGGATGGGACTTGTACAATAGTCGCGATGGCGATATGGTGTGCATATAACACACGAAAACTTCACCTAGGCTGGCCCACCCTCTTTCCATTCATCGCTGTTCTCGTCGAGTCCGGTGTTATATACACAGTCGCCACACTGAGCGCACTGATCACGCATCTCGTCGGCTCGAATGCGCAATTCGCAATGGTCCAGGTGCTTCCGTCTATTGTTGTGAGTTCCGTGTCTCTCTACTTGAAGATGGCATCTAACTTCTGCTTTATCGTATGAATGCATAGGGGATTGTATACTGCTTGATGATCCTACAGATCAGATTCAACGCCGACCTGCCCACAAGAGGGCTTGCCCAAACTACAGGTTATCTAGATGTAAGCCGAATCTCCAAAGATAGCCACCGGCATTAACACTGTCCTCATACTTCCAGAGCTTCGACGGGTAACTGGCGTATACCTGATACGCAAGATCGGCGATCTTGAAACCGCGCGATGTTCATGTTGCACCTATAGGAAGGATAGCAACAGCGATGTTTTGTGTGGCGAACGGCGCAACAGATATCCAGGGACGAATCGTAAACCAATGATGCGCAAGAAAACAGTTAAAGTTCATCGTGGCCAGAAGAAGAAGACAACGGAAGCCGGTCATTCCTTTACTTCTGCGGGACTTTGTCGGTATGTAATTTAGGACACAGTGCTTACGCTCTTTCGAGGAAGGAATGTACATCTACTACGCCGATAAATGGCAACATGTGGATATCTCACTCTTTTACGCCACGTTGTACCAGAGACCAGTGCGAGCTTTATCTCAACCATTTCTCAGGCGGAGTGTTCCAAATTTGGCACACTTATTCTTATCCTTATGTTTGGCCTTGGTGTTTTGGGAATGATCGTCGCTCATCCTGACTGGCCGCCAATCCTCTCGCGTGGCCTTTCCTGCCGGAACGTGGTTCAATCACCTGTTTGGGCCTCTTTTTCTTGGACGTTACTGCACGCGTGTCGTGTGTCTTGTCCTATCTTGGGTGTAGGCGCAATGTTATTCACGGCGTACTGGAACCATCCAGAAGTAATCGCGGAGCTGCCGACTGCTCCTCCAATCATGCTCGGTCTTCGTTCAGCCACCTGCTTGTCACGGTCTGTCCTCTATAGCAGACTTATCGTTACTGGCACCCGCCGCCAATCCCACCCCCTCGCAGCAGACTCCATCTCGTCTGGTTCAGCACATGTATTTTCCGAGACATCCACGCGACTACTCGCAACGAAGCACTCTATGTTCACACCACCCGGCCGATAACGCCCTTTCGCCGACCATCTGCAGATTTCCTGGATTTTCCATAGACGGTCGACTTGCCGTTCGATGGCATCCGATTTCCGACTTCTGTGCGATTCGAACGTTCAACTTTATCTTACTGTTCTAATATTGGTGAGCAACATCTCATCTGCACCCGTACCTGTTCGAGTTTATGCATTCATGCTCATGCCTCGTGATCTGAAGATAGCCCTTGCCGGCGGCAGTCGATGGTCAAGTACGCACACTTGCTCGATAACGCTGTATGACATGCGCTACTAACTATACTGACTTACAGATGCATATGTTGGTCGAGTGAGCATGATGTGCTGACGGGTGCTAGCTCGCTTCGACGGTCGCACGAAAATCTCGGAACAGCCTACCGTGCTAACGTGCGCTTGTACGATTCCGGTCTTTGTCTACCATCCATTGTCAGCCCAGAGCAACTCCGGGCCAAGGAACTGATGGGTCGACCGGTACACTGACAACTCGCCGTTCTAGCTGCTTCGAGGCTAATACCTAAGCTATACCCTGTCGACGAGGACGTGCAGATCACTGGCACTGACAGAGACAGCGGATCATCCACTATATTTGCTCTTGTCGCCGGCGTCGAGATGCTCGTTCGATCATGATCCGACTTGATCATTGAGTCGCCACATTCGACCTCGAGCATACGCATCAACGGTCAGAGGAAGGATGACAGACGCAGTGCCACTCACTGCTGCCACTCAATATGTCTATGGTGCGAAGCACTTAGTCACCGCATATAATATTCAACCGCCAAATTTGTGCCCGGGAGGTCGAAATTCCAGTTTATTGAAAGAAAATTCCTGGAGCATATTAAAAAAACCCGGGACTCTCATAAATAATAAACAATTCTATTAAATATTAATTGTTTGGCGGGAGAAATCGAAACCCGCCAAATCTGGTGGGTGGGAACTTTGAAAGTCCCTCAGTTTTAATTATTTTGGAAATCTGTCTTGGGGATCTCTTCCTTTCATCAAAAGGAGCATTTTGACAAGACAGATAACTCTTAGAGGCGAATTTGACCCTCCTGTGACCGGGTCTTCCCGGTGTTCGACTTATGCGGTGAGTAAGTGCTTCGCACCATATGTAACAGTGAATGGGTTATTTATAGCTCAGGTATGTGCTTACAAGACACTATGTCTTGCTGATAAGTCTTGAGTACCTGACGATCAGTACCACAGGAACAGGACTCGAGTAATCCACACCGCACAGAAGCCGACCTCGCCCCTTCCAGTCGTCGTCGTCGTCCCGCAGTATCCACACCTCTGAATCCCAGTCTCGCCACATCTGCATCTGACATCCAGCTATACACACATGGACGTGACGCCGAAAATAAACCATCAAAGAGACGTACATACGCCTTCGTCCACGCGTCCGTCGGTTGCCCGCATTGCCCTCTCCTCGCCGCACTGCCAACATCTGCTTCGTGATGCGTCGGCCACCGAGGTGCACGGAGCACATGCGCTTCATTATACGGTACCGTACCACCGCAGTCCACTTCTGAAGTTGCCCTTCTGACCATTCTCTCTGATCCTGTCTTTCGTCCTCGGCCACTTCACAGTAGTGCCGCCTCGAGTCTTTCAATACTTACCAGCCTCGTAACGATCACGATTGGCGAGCCTACTGTGGGAATGGGAATGATGCGCCCATCGCATTAAAGCCCTCGCTCCCAATGAATCGAAACGGCTTTCAAAGTGAAGGGTCTTACCTACACTTACACGAAGAAGTACAGAAACCCAAACGGAAGGAAACACCCACTCCTCGACCCCGCGGTCCAGTCTCAACGATCGTGCGCACGCACATGTAACTATCCCACTAACAATCGCAATAAGTAAAACCGTGTACACTGTAACCACCAGTGCCCCACCGGACACTCTGCATCTCGAATCTCGACTCACCTCTGGCATGCATTACGCATTACACATGGACATGCGCGATCAAGGGACGACCCACCTAAACCTCCACCATCGCATCTGCGAATTTGATCCCTCTCTTGATCCTTTGATCTTCGGCAATCGGACTCTTACAGACGACGGACGATGGACGTCGACGCGCTCAGCTCCTACATACCAGAAATATGACACGGGCTGTACGCGACCTGATAGTGTCCTCCTCCGAGTGTTGTCACGGCTCCGGGCGATCTGGTTGCTGGTTGAGTTGGCTGACCGGCATGTCAGCCACAGCAACTTTGAATGGAGGGCTGAGTACTGCTAGGTATGTCTGTCTTACAAGCACACGCATCGGCGGATCTACGAGCATAAGAGGAGTTACGAGGAGATCAGTCTCATATATACCCGAAGGCCTGACGCGAGCGCCACCATCGTTATCCTCGCCACCCGTCGCTACCGTGCCAACAATCCTACTCGGCTCCCCTCAATTGCAAGCCCCTGTCGTTCAAATTCAGGTTGTTCGTAGTCAGCCGGTCAGCATATGAACTCCACACGTACCTTTCTTTCCTCGCTGTTCATTCATTCTAGCTCCAACCTCTCAACGACCCCGACCATGACGCCACTTCCCCACTCACGAGTCGCGAGTCGCGATCCGAACCTCGAAACTCAGCTGAGATGATGCTTTGTTGCAGGTATGTTCTATGTACAGCCTGCAGTCGGAGTCGAGAACGAGATGACATATTCAACTTACCAGGCCAGGCAAGACTGGGTAACTTCCGACCGACTCAAATCAATCATCATGGAGCCGACCGACGAATGGGATAGAGGTCAAAAATACTAGTACTTATATTCACTATAATTCAGATGATATGTATACGTATGCGTCATGTTGGGTGTTGAGTTGTGTGTGAGTTAAAAATGAGTGGGAGAGATTCCATATGTACAATATGCCGATGCCAGAGAGAGGGGGAGACCGTGATCTGAGACTAACTAAAGAAAAAAAGAAGAAGAAAAAAGAAAGAAAACAAAAAGGAAAACAAAAAGACTATGTATATTCTTCCGAAAAGCGATATATATCTTACTTTCAGCGATCCACCCCTTGTCCGTCCGTATCTTGTTCTTTCGAACCCCTTTCTGGCATTCTATCCGAACCAAAGGCATACGGTACACAAAAGGAAAGAAGAAATGAAAATGCATGTGCGTTGCCCGAGCCCAAGCTAAGCCGATCCATCCAAGACTTGAAATTCGAGTAATGCGGAGGTAAGAGCAAAGGGGATAGATAGATGAACAGAGAAGATGCGAAAGCGAGATACGTATACAATGACGAACGGCGAGAGTGAGTTCCCGAACGCAAGGAAGAGGAAGAAATAAATAGCAGCGTAGGTACCGCGGCCGGCGAGTCGTCGGCCGCTCAAAGTTTGAGACCTGAAAAGAGGAATTCGGAAGAAAAGCGGAAGTAAAAACAAAAGAAGAAGAGAATGCCCTGTGGGGTCTTCGATGACGAAAGGCAGGGGTAAAAGCGAAGACGGAACGAAGACGGCGACGGGTGGGGTAATAGCGGAGGGTATGGATAAAGTAGAGCAAGACGGAAGGAAGAGGAGATCCATAAAGGGGGTACATGGAAGACGAAAGCTGAGCGACGAGGGGACATGATGGATGCAAGATGCGAAGTAGAGACGGTGCACATAGGTAGACATAAACAATGAAGAGACCGCCAGACTCTGCCCATTTCCCGAACCGCAGAGTTCGGAGCCGATAAGGTGGATTCAACCGATCCCATTCGGGGATCCGAACAGAACAAGCCCGCCGTAAGGACCGCGAAGAGGACGGGCTTAGCAGAGCTCGACCTCCCACTCGCCGGCACCTCCACCTACGGTCGGCATGCTCTTCAACGCAATCCTGACCCGCTTTGCGCCGGTCGAAGTGGGGATCTGCGTCTGTGACATGCCACCCGCGAGCATCGCGGGGTCAAACCCAAACTCGGATAACGAAGTCATGCCTCCGATGCCGAGGAATGGGTCCGACGAGTCCAACGAAGAGAGCGACGAGGTATCGAAGCCCCCGAGATACGATTGCGGCGGTTGAGAATCCCAAAGCGATTGTGGCATGGCGTCGTCGAATGAGGAAAGGGAAGCGGAGGACAGGGATGCTGATGGAGAAGAGCCGGATGAGCCGGATGGGTGTATCCGTACACGAATTTTACCGTCTTGAGATGGTTCAGCGTCAAAGGTGATGTCCAAGTTACCGAGGCCCAGTTTCTCTGCACCAGTATCGACGAACTCGAGCTTCTTCGCTGGCGAGCGACCGGGGACATGCTGTCGTTGGCGATGGAAGTCGAAATCGAGGTCCATGGCGTTTGGTGACCGCCAGTCGTACTCGTTAGGCAAAAAGGAGCCAAAGTCGACGTTGTTCGAGGAGGAGGCGAATGGATTGGATGGAATACCGGAGAGTGGGAATGTTCCTGACATTGGCATGGGCCCCGATTGCGCAGTGACAGAGAAAATGGAGGGCAGGGCACAGAGAAGAACCTGCTTATGTAATAGAAGAGGTCACGGTGAGTTGGACAGGCCCGGAAAAAGCAGATGGTTTTCGTGTGAATGGGAACAAAGAACTGACCAACAAGCTGAGGCTCGCGCCCGTCTTCTCACCCTTGTGGGTGATTTGTTGGAGGGACGAGGGACGAGAGGCGGCCATCGTTGGCGGCGACGGGAGCTGTGGTTCAGGGGCCTCCATCTTGATCGTCGACGGCGAATGCCGCGAGAGTCGCGAGGAGAGTTCTCGCTCGCGTTGCTCTGCGGCGGCGAGCTGCGCCCGGAGTTGGTCGATCTCGGAGAGAAGTTCTGCGGGTGGTTGCGGAGGCCGCGACTGCACCTGCGAGTGCAATGCGGTCGACGCTGTTGAACTGCCCCCGGAGGTCATCGCCAACAGGCGCGCGTTCTCCTGCTCTAGCTCGGCGACGCGACTGTACGGCAACGAACGCGTTGGTCAACGTGCTACATCGAGGAAGAAAGAAAGAGAACATACACTTCCATGGTCTCGAACTCCTCGCGCTTTCTTTGTCTAGAAAGGAAGGCGGCGGCCCTATTCTTGACCAACCTAGCTTCGCGCTTGCTGAGACCTGAAACGTCGGGAGGCACAAAGTCTTTGGTGGTGATGCGTTCGCCGGAAGCGCGCGGCTTTTTTGAAACAGGTGGCCCAGGGCTTGAACGGCGTTTGACAGCCGGCGCCCCAGCGCCGAAAGGTAGACGAGAGTGATCTGAAGGTGGTGAAGAGGAAGAGACAGAAGCAGCACCGCCGCTTGAGCCGGAGGGAGAGGGTGGGGTGGGAGGGAGGTCGAAGAGCTGGTGAGTGGGTAGACAGAGCTGCTGGTCGACGTCTGAGCCATACTCCGGACTCATACGCATCCTGAACATGGGGTTGCTAAGGTGTATCGAGTCGGACTGGGACATGGCAGGGCCAGGTTGGGGGTATTGGTTGTTGTTGTTGTTGTGGGCGTAGTGAGGGTACTGGAGAGCGAAGGAGTCTATGGACTGTGTGGGAGAGTGGAGGGGCTGGGTGTGTTCCCAAGAGGAGTCTGAGAGCGGGGATGCTAGGGGGGCGTCTGGAGCGATGAGGGCAGACATGGAGAGAGCGGGGAGGTACGGGGAAAGCATCTGGGCGAAACGGCCTGGTTGTTTTTATAGGGGAAGGGCTTTGGACTGGGGGCGCTGTAAGGACAGGGTCTGGTGATGGTTGGGAGTAAGAATGAATAAAGTAGCTAAGCGGACGATATTCGGTCAGATCTGAACCGTCCAGCGTCCGTTCGGTCTGCTTTGATTCTCCCACACCGCCCGCCTGGCGCGACACACTCACCCCTGGCTGCCCGTCTGACCCCAGACGAGCCCCCTCGGCGACAACTCGCTTTTCTCCAATATCCCTCCCGAGGACGCTCCGGCTGCCCATTTCCCTTTCCGGTCTACACACTTCCACACAACCGCAACCGTCGTCCCGCGTGCCCGCGTCCGACGTCCCCCTCGTTATTATGAACGCGACCAGTGGCTCCCCCACTGGTCAGTCTCTGCCTGCTCTTTCTCTGTCGGATGATCGCTCCATGCCACTATTTTAGCATTCATCTGGACCATCCTCGGCGAACGACATCTTCCTAGATACCTCTCCCCGGTTTTTGCGAGAACACCCTCCCAAAAATTCAAGGGCGATCCTCATTCGCTCTCTCCATGCGAACACTCAGTCACTTGCCCCGACAGCTTCTGTCCGTGATCCAGACACACGATGACGGTGGCACGACTCCGGTGGCCCCTGTTGCTTCCGAGTACTAACTTTGTCCGAACGTTCGACATAATGCTTCCGCCTCCGTACCGTTGGCATGCCTAACTTCTTTCGAGAATGTCAGGAAAACACAAGACTACTCTTTGTCTCGGCTTCTGTCCCTCATTTATCCGCCTTGCTCTAGCTTCTGTCCAGGCGACTGCTAGTACTGTGGCGTGCCTGCCTTTTGTTCGCCCCTAATCCATAAAATCTCTATTCAAACTAGGTCTCCTTCACATAGACCGCACATTTTGCTCGCAGTCACATCTTCACAACCCTTCATTCGTACTCGTCGCCCTGAAACCATATCTAATCCACAACATCCATGCTCGGACCCGAGATCGACTGTATGGAATGTCTCTCCCCCGTCTCTCGCATTTCTCACTTCATGCTCCGATTGCATTGCGAACGTCTATCACGATATCCATCTCTATTTCACTCGGTGGTCTTGACCTCCGTATTTGGTTCTCACTGTGTTCAAAGGTATTCACAAGCGGCATGGTACGAGCACGCAGTCTCTTCCACAACTCCTCCAATCAATCCCACAGAACCCTTTTGCCTTCTCACTCGCTCAGTTCTTGAGACCATTGCGCTCTCTAGGCCAACCAGAACGCCTGTGAACATTCACCACTCGGTCCCGCCACGGCTTCCCTCCTCCAATTGAATTCTCCTCCGTCCAGGCCCGGTGAGTGCCACGCCCGACGACTCAATCATTTTCAAGCGTGTCCCCTGCCAAGTCAGGCAATGAAGGATTCACAGTGCGTCAGTCTCCCATAAGAAGCACGTCCTTCAATTGAAAGGAAACCTTTGTTTCGAAAACTAAATGCCTCAGGCTTCAAGAGCCAGTGAGCGTCCTGCTCCTGCGCCTCTTTCAGGCAATCCATCATTGTCTTCACACGTTCCGTCTCGAGCCGTGAATCCTTGGTTGAGCGTACCCGCGAGACATCGCACATCCCGCTCTATCCATCTCGTACCTCCCCAGGACGCAAAGTCTGCTTGAGTATTCCTCTCGTGTTTCGCTCTTCGTTCGCTCACGCGCTCTGTTCGACTCTGGACTGAATAACGTACATCGAACCCTCGTTTGTCGTTCAATATTCACTAACTGCTCGGAAGACCCGCACCGCTGCGAATGAAACATGACCGGGGACTGGTTACGACGAGCGACGAAGCTCACATTGTTTCTCTTCCGCGGATTGACCTCCTGTAGGCTGTGGAAAAGTGTCTCACCATCCGCACTAGCGTCATCTGTGATGATCCCTCGTTTATTCCTCTATCCGCAGTTAGACATCGAGCTGTGCTGCACCGTGTTTGCGTTCGAAATTCGACTCGCTCTTCAGTGTTCACCTGCATACTACAGGCTTGTGTGAGTATCACCGGAGGCGATACATATCGCGACGCACGCTGATCGCTGTTCACTCTCTCTACCATTCAGTTTAAGTAACTGAGCGATGCCGCCGACCTTCCGACGTCAGCTGCACTCGTACTGTAGGTGCCCATCGACAGTCCTGGTACACACATTTGTCTGATTGGTATGATTCATGAAATCTGGTCGGTAGCTCTCTCAGCTCAGCTCGGTGGATCAGACGCTGCGTCATAGAAATCACAATGATCAGGGCTGCAGGAGATACAGTCATCCTTTCGTTGTGGCGTAGGTGATATACTTACTGACTGACTTACTACTACACTGACTACTGTATCATATAGAACACTACAGTAAGACGACCCACCGCAGAACTGTCAACTTCGTTCCCATCAGCGACGTCGACGCAGCTTGGTTCGGGGTCTTAGAAACCAACAAACCCCACCTTGATATCGATCTGATTATTTGACAACCCGCACTATTGACTGCACCTATCCTACAAGTTCACCCCGATTCAAGTGAACGTTGATATGATGGATGTGTACAGTCCTAGTACAGTCCGTGATGAGGCTCGACGAATTAGCATTGTACGACCGTACTAGTCGAACAGATGGACGACTCGGAGCACAGCACAGCATGAGCTCAGTCAAGTCCGATCAAATGATTCCAGCTTTTTCCTGATGCGACTCGAGACGAGTCTCGTCTCGTCTCTCATCTGAATATTGAATCCCAACCCATCAAAATATCTCTTCGATCTTCGAGGACGTACGAATGCGCAGTGTAAGGTCGCACAAGGAATAAGCATCACACAATGTCGCCTCGTGATAGATGGACGGTGGGCCTCCGGCCATATATTCTCCATCCAACTCCGAAGTACTACACTATGTTGGCCATTCAATCATTGGACCACTGACCCACTATCCACTATCTATACTGTTTACATACACCCCATGGTGCACGAGGCGGGACCGTAGGTAGCTTTTTCCCTAGTGGCATCAGCGCATCAAACACAGTAGCGAGGAAGGACGGCCGCCATCAAACCGAAATCAAGTCGTGAACGGAACGCCCGAATAATTAAACGCACGAGATCTTTTGCAACTTTAAACAGTTTCAATGAATTTTTTCCCTATGAACCCGTAGTCGGACCCGGAGAGCGAGAGCGCTGAGGTCAAAGTTGGAAGCAGAGTCTGGGGGGGCTCGTCCGGCCTCGTAGTGGTTCTAGCGGACGTTCAACTTTAATTTGAAAGCGCGCGTTGAAGCGATGGACCGCCCGGAATAGTAGGAAGGCGTAGTGTGATACTCGTGTTATAGCATTCGGAAGTTTTCGTAGAACGTGTTTGAAGGACGTTTGTCGCCCTTCTAGAGTGGTTCTTTGTTGATTCATAAATCATAAAACCCCTGTGGATTCAATTTAGAAAAAGAAGGTGTTTGTACAGCCTCTAGGTCGGGACGAAATCGTGTGCGGTTCAATTCAGTGAGCGCCCACGGAAATAAATGGTTGGCAATGAGTACGCCGACCCGACGAGGCAGGACTTTGCTCGATACCGGTCGGGGTGTGTCATTGTCAACGACGATGGGAAGCAGCCTTTCCTGTGTCGTTGGATTTTGCCTCCGTGACTCTATGTACTAAGTAATACCTCCGTGCTCCCCCGACTCGGATCGTCAACTGTCAACGAACTACACGGAGCTGTGGCGCGCCACCGCCACCGTACATAGTCATATATTTACCTGACACAAGTTCTTGACAGTTGACGACCACACAGACTTCGTCGCGACACATCGCCTCGTCCGCTAATGCAACATACTGAAGCAGTGAGAATGATAGTTCCGATACCGTACAAGCGCCGTTTGCCTTCTGTCCGACGAACAAAACAGACTAGATTGCGGCGCTAAACATGTAAACAGTCGGCGTCTCGCTGATCCCCTATCGAAGCAGTGGTAGCACAACGCCTGCGTTATGAACTGTTTAGGAAGAACAAGTTGGAGTCGTAGTATTCGGATTAAATTCCAAAGTCGGCTTACTGTTCATGATTACTTATCCATCCCCATCCCAAGCTGTCAATCCCGGCTCCTTAGGTCTACTGTATTCTCCGCATAATCACACGGTAACGGCCTCTACTGTACCATCGTTGATGGAAATGTACACGGTAGAACCGACAGACCCTGACATTGCGCCCAACATGCAGGTCGGCTCAGCTTCATCTCAACATATGGAGGAAAGGATAAATCTGGAAATCGATCCAGTCGGACACATCTACCTCGTGCTCACGCTTGAGCTCGTGCGTTGCGGCGACTCTCGCTTTAGCGCCAAAAGCGCAATGTTGGATATTGAACGTTCGATACCTCTAGGCTTGGCGCAGGTGCGGCCATGACCGGCGATTTTGGGGCTACCGGAAGGATTGTATAGTTAGCGCGAGACAGACTAGATGAGGAAGGAATGAAGACGAAGAACATCTGGATCAGTCTCACCGCCCAGAAATATCTGTTTTTTTTTCTACTCAGAGGACGAGAATTCTGCGAACCAGTCTTAGAGTTCAAAGCAGCGTTTGAGGACCTCCAATGAATCACGGCACTAACCTCGCTAGAATGAAGACAGATCCTCCGAGCATCACCCCAAAGCTCAGACAACTAACACGGAATATTCACTTGAAGGAGACACACCCTACCGGCGACCAACCAAAAAGGAAATATTGCCCAGGCGCTCCGAACACTTCGACATCATCCTGTCCTCGAGCCTACATTTTCTGCACATCGGTACACCGAAATACTGTGTCCGCTGAGTAGGCACTAAGAGAGAGAAAGACCTTTCGAGCGGAGCATATGCCGATACTTGCGAGAAGAGCGAAGGACTAACCTCCACGATTGCTCGGGTGTATGATCCCAGGACTTGAGTGCATGCGCTTCACACCCAGAGAGGTTAGTAGATAATATCGGTCTGTTGCCCGATTATCCTGCGGGACGGTGGAAGGGAGACTTACGCTACAGTGCTGTGGTACATCAGCGTCGATCGAGTGTGCTTGTCGACGGGCAGCTAAAAGAGGGGTCCCCACCGACATTCTCGGTGTGGCGACGGGCTGGGTGGCCCGGGGAGAAGGGTCACACCGGCGATCTGCACTTCACAGTGTGCAGCGTGACACGGTCATCGGCTTGTAAGTACCTATACGTAGAAAAGAGTTCGGAGGCGGTCTAGCAGAGACAGCCCGGTCAAGCACGAGTGGTGGCAACCGCATGAAGAACGGGACGGACCGGTTTTCCTCTTACTGGAGATCCGACGGCCTATTCTGCTGAGAGCAGGACGGTCGGTCCGACCTAGCAAGGGGAGACAGGGTCAATAATGATCGCACAATGGTCGATAGGTGGGAGTTGGAGCCATAGTAAATGGAAATACACGTGAGAGAGTACGGAGGACACACCGGGACACCCACAGCAGGAACGCATGATACACAAGACTTCGAATGGCGTGCTGCTCTGAACTTTCAAGCAGGCCCCAAGGCCCAAGGTAGTTTGTGTTCATGAATCATAAGCTAAGCGTCTTCAGCATTCCATACTCGAGTATAGTATCGCCCACGAATGGATATTCGATGGAGTAAATGTTCAAACGACAGATCGTGTCCTCGTCACACATGTCTTCATGCTTCAGGGTCGACATCGCGAAGTTCTCTCGCCGTTGGTCGACCAGACTCCTCGCATCATATCGGCACGTCCGGCGACTTCAGCGTTCCAAATGGCGTACGGACTCGACCAATGGAGGTAGCTTAACGTTCCTCGACCATGCGAAAGATCAGCGCAATAATTTTCTTGAACCCAGTAGCGTACTAGCCCATCAAACGAGGCCAGTATCCAATACGATGTTTCAGCGGTGAAGGGCCCTCACTATCTCGTTGATGCCTAGCAACACTTTGGATATATTTCGCCGCTGCCGCAAGCGCATTGGACCTATTGTTCGTACGGAAAGGGCCACCTTCCGACATGGAAGAAGTTCCCATGGTGAACATAGAGAGAAACTCATGCACGTAAGGGTTACGATAGAGGGCACCACAAGCTTCAAAAGTTAGCTTTCCCAATCTCGTCCGAGGTAAAGTGTTGTTCACTCACCTTCAAAGATGAGCCGGTGTCTACAGCATTTGATATTCGCAATCGCACGCCCTAGCACTCAGAAAGGGGAAGATAGAAGAAGTTCTCGAGTTCATGTGGAATGTCAGGATCTTGGATTGCAGAGTTGTTCTGATCGAGATCAACCTATTTACCCGAGGAGCCTTGCGAGGCAAGAGATCGACAGTCTGCGGCACGTTGCTTGACCGTTCAACATCAAAAGCGTCGCAAAGCATATAATGCTATCTAAGGCCTCGCTTTGGAGCGATGTCGATCAGGGAAGGCGAGCCATCAGTTGTGCACTCTATATAGGAGGCACCATTTGATCCATGGAGGGAGAGTGCGACAAATTGTTACAGATTAGAAGATACCTAGCGAATGCGCGAGCATTGTCCCGACCGCCTCACGAGCTGGATTATTGCTCCCCCAGTTCCGATTCGGGTGAACGCTGGAATATGTTCGCAAAGAAATCCGTCTGTTGTTTAAGACCGTTCGTGGCAACGGCAACTCGACAAGAAGGACGTACCGATTGGTAAGCAGAATCGCTATTGTGTTGGTATCCCGCTTGATCGCAATGCTCGTACCCGTATAACCCGCTGGAAGATCAGAAACGGTGTGATGAGCGATAAAATGTCAGACCACATCTCGCCTTTGACTCACTGTGACCAATGGTCTGATTAGTCGCGAGCAGGCCACCCCAATAGTACTGATTGATCTCCCATGCGAGCCCATGATCATCCCCAGGGAATGCAGTGTTATAATTGTAGACTGGAGACGGGCAACCGACCAATTAATGGACCGCGTGAAGGAAGAAACATACCGCATATGGGGAGACAAAGAAGAGAGGCAAGGACGTACAGAACTTATCGACAGTTTCAGGCTGAAGGATCCTTTTTCCTCCGTATGTTCCGTTGTTGAGAATCATCTGACTGAATATGGCGAGGTCGTACGCCGTACTGAACAGACCGGCATGTCCGGACACCCCTCCAAGAGCCCACGCGTTCTCGTCATGCACCTACAGATGCAGATGGCCACAAGTAAGAATTTAGTTCCGAAAGACCATAGAAACACATGCGTGACAAAAATGAACAGGCTCACCGATCCCCAAACTGGCTGTGGCCTTCTAGGTTCAAGCTCTCCCACTCCGTCCGGTAGGCCGTACTGATACTCTGTTGGAGCAATCTTGGACTTCCACTCCTCAGGCGGGTTGAAACGAGTGCTAGACATGCCGAGCGGTTCCGTTATGCGTTCACGAATTAGCGCGTCTAACGTCTTATTCGTCAAGACTTCGCATATGTGACCCAGAGTCATGAACTAGTCACCATATAAGCACAAAAGAGCCCACGCTGTTCGAAAAAGTGTGTGGCACTCACATTGATATCGCTGTAAACGTATTCCGTATTGGGAGGTGCCTCGGGGGTCGTCGTCAAGAACGCTTCAATTCGTTCCTCTATTGAGCTATAATTTGTCCATAGGTCTGGTACAGGGTCTACGAAACACGGGACCATGTTCGGAAGTTGAGCATTTGTATCTACGCAGTTTTGCCGAAATGCGCAACTAACCGGGCAGTAGACCAGAGGTGTGAGTGAACAGGTTCAAGATAGTAATATTCTCTAGAGTTGAGAAGTTCAATAGAGTTCAGCGATGCATGACGTTGTTATAAATAACATGCTTGCCTTTGCCGTTAGAGGCGAAGAGCGGGACGTAGGATGCGGCAGAAGCATTCAAGGTTAACAGTCCTGTAGTATACGATTCAGTTAAAAATAAAGGTGTTCGCACCGCGAGGATATACCTTCGTCCATTAGGGTACCTGCTACAGTACCGGTAAACATCTTCGTGAGTGAAGCCAAGTCGAATATGGTATCCCTCGTCATGGGAATCTACGTTCGTGCCGCACGCGAAGGGAGAATATACATATCAGAATGAGGACCGACAGATAGCGCTATGAAAGACAACACACCATTTCCCACCAAGGTAGGTATGTTCCATTATAATCAGCATACTTGTACGCATATCCTTCATAAGGTTGTAAATAGATTGAGTACATATAAGAGCACCGAAAGGCCTTGACAAACGTACCAGTAGCCTGATGCGACACAACAACTCCGTCCTGCACTGCAAGGGTGACCGCCCCCGGCATGATGGAATGGTTGGATCCCTCATAGAACGTAGTATTCACGATCGCGACGTCCGCAAAGGCACCGACATAGAACGGGTCGAGACCTACGTCTTGAGCCGACCCCCATCTCAAGGTATCCTCTATCATGGTGCTCTGGTCAGCACGGAAGATGAAGCGAACAAGGAATCGCATCACTCACTGACCACGGCACCGCTGACACTCGGTAGTAGTTGGAACGACATCATGGCAATACTTGCCATCCAATAATACTGTAACATCGAGACGGACGGCGAGGAGTAACCCGATTTACTGTTTCCAGGAAGATACTTATATGAAGGGTGTTTGATCCTCGGTCCGAGCTCCGATACTAGGAACAGAAAATGTCTAGTGTTTAGATAGCAATGATAATGAGGCCTTGGGATAAGGGCATTCTTTTGCTACCAACGATATTGGTGGCCAGGCATTCAAAGTCTCGACGGTTCAGTTACCTTGCACCCTCGCGGCCTAAGAAGAAAACCAGCAGAACGCGGGGAACGACCAACAAGCCCACAATGGGACAAAATCCATAATCAGAGCAGGTGTAGGATATTAACGGTGCCCATTCATGCAGTTGCCCCGACAGTTGCAGGCGTCCGAGCAGCCTACTGCAAGCGCGGCACATCCGCACTGGGACCCAATGTACGAAGACGATAGCCCGCATCCCCCAGAACAGCCGCACTTCTTGCGGCCAGGATCCGCATCAGCAGGAGGAGTGAATCCGTTAAGGCAGTGTCCATTGGCTCCTCTAGAACACAATTTATCGTCGAGCAGGAATACCAGATTGAATAACGCGCGGGCATTAGAGCTGAGAGACGAGAAATCGACTGAGGGACTCACCGGCCGCCACACCCACACAGAACGGAACATGCCCTCCCAGCAGCGGAGCATCCACATGTACCCTGACAACTGCTTCCTCGACAACTACAACATTTACCGCCAGCCCTCACGGACCAGACAGGCTGTGCGTTGAGGACTTGTTGCTGCTGAGCTGGAGTGGGGTTCCAGGTTGACGGAGCGGGAGGAGCAGGATCAGAGGAGTAGATCCAGGCCGTTCGTTGACTACAAGAAAATAAATATGAAAAGATGAAACGAGAATGAAATAAAGGCAACCAATGTGCGTATGTACATAAAGAGGAAGAAGAGACGTACTGGCAACCGAAACACATTTGAGCTCGAGGCAGTCCACCCGGTCTGTTCGACGCATCACCGACGCACCTCCCTGTATTGGGATCGAACGTCCAGAGATCTTCGCGTACGACTCTTCCTTGCGCGTCTCCCACTAGGGGTTGATAAATCTGGTAGAAAGGCTGTACGGTTCTGCACGCCGGATTCTCGCACTGAATGATTGCCATCCGCAGGATTCACTTATTCTGAAAAAAAAACTGTGAGCATTGAGGACTCTTGAGTGGGAACGAAAGATGATGGACTCACAAAAGGTCCTCTTCTTTGGACACGTTGACGGTGATGAAGACGGTGACGAAGACAAGGGGAGGAAATGGAGAAAAAAGCGGCTTCGCGCTAATCGCGACAAGGTCGGCGTTTACATGAGTGCCACGTGATCGCGTAGCCGGTCATTGTCGCACTGTGGCGCGCCACACTATTTCATACAGTGCAGAATACAGTGATTCAAACATATCAGTGACCCAAGCAGAACATAGCACAACAAGGCGCCCCATCCTGAACCGTTAAAGGAGATAAAAACAACGTGAGGCACAGCCTGCATTCTAGGTGTGAGCCCACACCTGCTTCCCCTTCATCCAAGTACTCAATACATTGCCCTTTCTATCCAAGACGACCAGATCTGCGTCTGCACCTGGACGCAGCGTACCCTTCTTATTCTCGATGCCTAAGCATCTGTGAAGTTTCAAATTGTTTAGTTTTAATGCTCATAAGACATGTCGAAAATTGTACTCACCGTGCAGGATTGTAGGTGGCACACTTGATAGCCTCGCCCAATGAGCAGCCGGTGAAGCGGGAGAAGTTGCGCACACAGGTGTCGAGAGTTACAACGCTTTACGTCACACAAGTCAACAAGACAGAAGAGACCAGTCAAGGAATGACGCGACATACCTTCCGGCTAATGTGTCGGTCCCTTCTAGGAAGAGCTTCACACCTTGTTTGACAAAGCGTTTGCCGTCGCGCCATTCATGAACACCATCCTTGAGATGGGGGTCCAAAATTTTCATAGCTACGGTACATAGATTAGATGGTTTGCAGAAAAATATCTTGGCTGAATGTGGCTCACCATCGGTGATAAGGATACAGCCCTCGGGGTAGGTGTTGTATGCCAACTGGAATAATGATAATAATAAAAACCATCAACATCTTCACGCAAAATCAAGAATTAATCAGAACACTCACTCTGACGGAGTTTGGGTGCGAGTGTATTCCATCCACAATGAGCTCATAGAACGGCCTTTCAAACGCCATATCCGCCACCTGTCCCTTGTCAAGGTGCAACTCCGACCTGCTTTCCTTTCTTTCGGGCAATTCAAGCTTTGGCACCCTGCTCTCCTTCTTCGCCGCTGCCAACATAGGCGTTTGGGGTGGAGTCTCTCCATCGTCAAATGCTTCCGAGTGCGCGTGAACGGTGGGAGTCCCGGTTCCAGAGCGAATAGGACTAGTTGGGGTGGTGCTGGTCGGACTCATAGCGAGACCTCCATAAGACGCGACATTTGTGGTGATAGGAGTGAAGCTGGGCGGGTCCAGGTGAGGAGAAGCGCTGATAAGACCAATGATGGATGGGTCGCGATGGTGCAGTTGAGGCATGGCGTTGAAGAGATGGGTGATCAACCTCGCACCGTGGCGGACAGCAGACGTCGCGATATCCGTAGTGGCAATACTGAGAGTGTCGGTTTCAGCTAGAGTGTCTGCTGCCAAAAACAAACACATACCTGTGGCCAATAGAGAATACAATTCCACGCTCCGTCAAGTCCTTCACTGTGTCCATCACACCCTCGATTTCAGGAGCGGCTGTAATGATGCGGACACCCGTGGACGCGTCATCTGTGGGGTTCATGAGCCAATCTTCCTTGTGTGCGAGATTCGCAGCACCGTAGACTTCTTCGAAGGTGGCGATACGCTCGGGGGCGGAACGAAGGAATGGGCTGGCGTGCGCGCCCTTCTTAGCAAGTTGGAGGAAGGGACCTTCGGCGTGCCACCCGAGAAGGTTTGCACCATTCTCTGGTGAAATCGGACGAAGAAGATCGAGGAGTTTGGGATAGAGAGATTTCTCTTGGGTCTGTGAGGTCGACGTCAGCACCTCGAAGACATTCATGAAAGTCACACCAAGGACATACGATAATAGTCGGGATAAGGCTGATAGGAACTAATTAGCTAGGCCTAGGCGGCTTGTAAGGAAACTGTTGGATAGCCTACGAGGTGACTCCTGTCTCTACAATGCTTTCAGAGACGTGTAAGAGGCCTTTTCTATACAGCTCATCGTCGCCTTCGTATACGGAAAAATCGAAGCCGTAGGCACCATTGATCTGTATGTCAAGGAAACCAGGACTGCAGAAATACGTGAGCCTTCTGTATTGAGATGAAGAAGGATTCGAAAGTACCTGATGATGTTGCCTCCAAGGTCTACAATACGCGCCGGCCGCTCCTTTCGGGCGAAGAACGTTTGCTGCGTCACGCGAATCCATCAGTCCTATTTTCGCCGCTTGGACTCCCATGTTGCCAGCTCACCTGTGCATTCAGAATGACACCTCTTCTCTCGTCAATCCAAAGGTCCTTCTCGACTAGACTCCCATCTTCAAGAGGGATTAAACAGTTGGTAAAGCAGACGAGACCGTTGGGGGAAGTCATGCTGAGCGAGAATCAATTCCCTGAGGGGGTCAAATGTAGGGATGGTGGTGGTCAAGAGCAAGTGACAACCAGCGCGGACGTCCGTGTATCAGGAATCGACTACCAGTCAAGGCCATATGGACTGGATGGCTCTGGGCGATGTACATGTGCTTCATGAGTTTGCGGTCAAACGCGGAGCATGAAGGCATAATTGCAGTAGATTTGAGAAAGCTCGATAGTATTTTGCATTCATGGATGCACCCATAATTTCTGTCGGGAATGATATCTTGAGTCCATTTGTCGGGGGCGGGATATCGGGGAGAGGTCGTTATCCGCGATTGTGAACGATAAATTCGAAACTGAGGGGACGGAGGTTCGGTCAACGCTCCGCGAGGCGGAGTGGCACATCCGCCCACGTGCACCGTCGGCCAATCGCAAGCGATGTGGCCCATCCAGTTCCAACTTTCTTCCACACGACATCGACTACAACAAGTTCCTCTCATGCGTTGCACAGGGCGAGAACACATTGCTTTCTGATGCTCGCGGGACAGCATACGGCATGAGTGCATGGTCTAGGCTTTATCTTCTGCTGGGTATTCGGATTGTCTTCAAGTTGAGCGGTAGGTTTTTACTGCTATCTTGCTACTCTTCGTGTCGAACTGGATGCGCTTCGTCGGAGACTGCCTTCACTACCGCTATCCGCACTGCTAGCAGCCTCTCACGATGCACCTACCGCTAATAGTCCTAGTGAACCTAATAAACCCGGAGAATCTGCCTCTGTTGAAAAATCTTTGCCGCCTTGGTTCCAAAAGACACAGCCGGATGTGCATATTCCTCGAAAACGATCCCGCTCTCCGGAGCATACATCTCATCCCGCTTCTCTTACCAACTCCAACTCTAACGGCGACGACAACGATGCTCAACTACACGCATCCAAACGCCTGAAGTCTATCTCCCACCATTCTGCAACCTCTCCGACGGCCACGTCTCCCCCAAAATCCGCCCCATCACCTGCGAAAGCTCATAACTACTCCACCCTACTGAAACATCTCGACGTGAAGAAAGCTGGGAGGCTAATCACTGCCAGGGAGAATGCGATTAAGAGTGTCAAGACTCTAGTTCCGAAGGAGAAGGAAAAGCGGACGAATGTAGCTGATTTGGGTGGTAACGGTATAAAGAACGTCGTGGCGCGGGTGGATGAAGGAGGACGAATACAGATGGATCACTGGCGGATGCGAATTCGACAATTGAACACTGCTGGTGCGCCTTCTTCAAAGGCTTACAGCCCTAGTTGTTCTTCTGACCTGGTCTAGTCCTTATCGAAAGATGACTTGGGTAGTCTACAAGCTGGCGCATTTCCTTCGCCACTCGCCTACAAGCTCCAGTTTCGACTCCAGGGATCTCACCTTGTCTGATTCGAGTCTGGATAATCGAAGGGCAAGGTCAGATAATGAGCTGTGGGATATTCAACCTTGCCGGGTACCAGGAACATCATCATGTCAAGTCGGTGCTGCCTCTATTCCCGCCACACGTCGCGATGGTCCAAGTATAATGACGACGAGCGTACACAGCGGTACCGTACATACTATCCAACATCCCGTGCTCTTCGCTTTGTACCATTTTGATCAGCTTTGTCTCATTAATGGCCCGCCACGCTCGGCAGTCCTCGCTTTGTCGGCGTGCCATTGGCATCGGAGTCTTGTACATATATAAGGCCTTCTTGAGCGACTGGGTTAATACATCATCGCACCAAACATCTCTACATTCCCTCCTCTCCTGACTGCTTCTCCTTCCTACTACCCTCTATGCACTGGTTCCCTCTGGGCTCTGGCAGGCGGTCCTCGGTGAGGGCGCCACAGCGTTGTGCCACCCATTCGCTCACCACGTGTCCGCTCGGACCACGGATCGACATGCATCTTTCCGAATAGTCCGGATCTCGGACTTCTTATCCGACGGACACAGAAATTCGACTGTTCGCCTTTTCGGGACGGCTCTTTGTGCTCCTCTGGCTGAGCAATACTCGGGGTCCGTCGCACAACTCCTGTTTCGCTTATCTGATGTGGTGGCTTCTCTGATGGGAACGTTTTATTTCTTCCTTATCTGACTGCTGTTCTCGCTATAGCACAACAAGCACAGCACGAAACACGTTGATCGAGCCTGGTGGGCGCGCTTCTCTCGGTGGCGCGAAAAATCTCGTTTTGTTCTCTTCATTTTTTCTTTTTGTTTCGTGAAACAGATATATCAGAAGGGGGTTACTTGCTAACCGAAGCGCAAAAAACGAATCGGGGTCCCGTCTCGAATTTCTCCTCACGCTTCCATTTTCGTATTCTTACCGCAGACACGTCGTTATCAATAACACGTTGCACAGGGATTGGTGCCCAGCCATCTCCCAAAACGGACATGCGTTTAGAGGGCCTGCCTAATGCGAAGCGGACCTGAAACCCTGGGAAACCGCTGGATTCCGCGCTATTGTGCATCATGCGTTTTCGCTTGTTCGTTGATCTGTTTGTTCTCGTTTCGTAGTGCCGGAATGATCTGCGATTTTCGCACGGGGCTTCTTCCGATTTCTCTATATAAGGGCTGCGGGGCCTACGCCTTTTCGATATCCGGGTTTCCTCTCGACTCCCATCTTCTCCTCCCTCCTCCCCTCCCCTCTGCCTCCCCGCCCTCCCTCAACCTCCTTCCTCTCCCTCACTCATCTCTTTTTAGGTCTTTTTCTAGCTTCCCCTCCTCGACTATAGCGACCACTGTCCGCGACGGTCTCCGACACCAGGTGCGTATGGCGCATTCACTGTTTGCTTCTTCTGCCACTGACACTCGTTCTCCCATACAGCCTCAACAACGACCGCCATCCACAACAACGCTACCCCATTTGCCGCCACTCTATCAAGGTGCGTCCATTCTATCTACTTTGTCGAAATCGTTGCTGACTTGCTGCCCGTCGGTGTTGTTCTTCCCTGCCACCACTTTCTTGGACCGCCGACGTGTCAAGACGTCAAGCACGAGCATGCTTGAAGGTGCGTTTTCTTTTACTTCTTTTTCGGTGCTGGGCTGGGGGATCGATGCTGGGTCTCTGTGCTGGGGTCTCTGTGCTGGGTCTTGGGTCTCGGCTAGGGTTCCTGGGGGTGTCTGTGCTGGGCCTTGGGTGCTTATCTGGGCTGGGGTCGCTGGGCTTGGGCTTCTGGGCTTCTGAGGTCTCTGTGCTCGTGCTGGGTCTCTTCGCTGGACCTTGGGTCTCTGGGCTGGATCTTGGGCTAGGCGACATCGACCTCACGAGCGAGATCAAGCACGACGACTAACCTCAACAGCCTCAAGACCCCCCTGGGATAGCGTCGACCTTGCCGTGGTCCAGGGGCTCTAGTACCTCAGAGTCCGACCCTCTGAGGGAAGCCAACAGACGTTTACTAACAGGTGAGTGAGTTTGTGCCTCAATCCACTGGTACTTTCTGACGCGTCTGGAACAGTTTCTTTTACAGGTGTGTGAGTGTGAGTAACGCGACTTCAAGTGCAAGACGCTCGACGCTCTGGTTATCGGCATCATCGTCGCCAACTAAGCGACGACGTTCCTCAAAGCCTCAAGATTCCCCTGTGATAGCGTCGACCTTGTCGTGGTTCAGGGGCTCTAGTACCTCAGAGTTCGATTCCCTGAGGGAAGCCAACAGACGCTTACTGACAGGTGAGTGGATTGGCGCTCGGATCCACAGTATCTTTCTTCTGACCCGTTCTGTGCAGTTTTACTTCAGATGCGTGTGAGTGATTGTGGTAAGCTCAAGACGATCGACACCCTGAAGATCGACGCTCGGGCACGACGATGAGTCCGGTCGACAACTCCAATCGGGCTCGATGTCAAGACCAAGCGGCGGTCTCTGGGGCGTCTTGGGCTGGGTCTCGGGTTCGGGTGGGTCTCTTCGTCTACTGGTTCTCGTGGGCTTGGTCTTTAGGTTGCTGGGTCTTGTGCGCTTAATTTCTAGACTGCTGGGCTGGGCTTGGTCTTGCTAGAGCTGAGCGACATCGACACCGGGCTTCAAGAGCGTCAAGGCCGGCCCCCTGGTGGAGCGTCGACCTTGTCGTGGTCCAGGGGCTCAGTACCTCTTCGGAGGGAAGCCAACAGACGCTCGCGTGATAGTTACAACAACCGGCGAGTCTCTCCCACTCTCTTCAACCTATATCTCGTCTGACCCGTCCTCTGTAGTTTTACTTCAGGTGCGTGAGTGTGGTAAGCTCAAGACGATCGACGTCCTGATCGTCAACGCTCGGACACGACGATGAGTTCGGTCGACGACTCCAATCAAGCACGACATCAAGACCAGGCGGTGGTTTTCGGGTGGTTTGGCCTCTAGGTTGCTGTGCTTGAGATGGGGCTGGTTTTGCTAAAGCTAGGCTACTTCGACCTCACGAATGAGATCAAACACGATGTCGACACCGGGCTTCAACAGCGCCAAAACCGGTCCCCTGGGAGAGCGTCGACCTTGTCGTGGTCCAGGGGCTCTAGTACCTCAGAGTCCGATCCTCTGAGGGAAGCCAACTGACGCTTACTAACAGGTGAGTGGATTGGCGGCTCGATTCACATGTATTTTCTGACGTGTCTGGTACAGTTTTGTCTTTTTTTACAGATGTGTGAGTGGGAATAAGACGGCCTCAAGTGCCAGACGCTCGACGCTCTGATTATCGGCATCATCGTCCTCAACTAAGTGACGACGCTCCTCAAAAGCCTCAAGACTCCCCTGGGATAGCGTCGACCTTGTCGTGGTCCAGGCTAGTACCTCAGAGTCCGACCCTCTGAGGGAAGCCAGCAGACGCTTACTAACAGGTGAGTGGAACGACAGGCCTTCTATGCGCATACAGCTTTTGACGCACCTGCAGCTTTCTTCAGGTCTTTGTGTTTACTCAAGTAGGAGTGCGCTCAGCTAGACGATCGGCGGCCTGATCAATATCGACACCGACATGAAATCTCGAGGTGTAGCTTGTCCAACGGCATAAAACACGAGACGCCTCGACGAAGACAATCCCTTGGCTCAACTTAATCCTCTCAGGTTCCGTCTTCGTGCACCTATCGCTGCTAACTCTCGCCCCTAAGCTTTGTTATGCCCCCCGCTGACTTGCTGAGGACCCGTACATATCCCAAGGAGGTCCTATTCTAGTGCGGACAGATTCGGACCCAAATATTATCAATCTTCCATCCCTATACGGACGAAAGTGGGTGGTCGATCTCGAGGCCCTATTCGCGATAACTGGGTGGCCTGGTTAACCTGATATCTCGGCCAAAATAGCGATATATATATCCAAAAAATGGATACCGGACCATCTTCAGTCGAAAGAATCAGGCCACTAGTGATTTGGGTTGGACAAACCCGGTTCCCACGAAGCGCGGGCCCTTCTTGCGCTGACGGAGGTCCCATCCCGGGATGTGGACGGAATTGGCCAAAATCGTGAGGCCCTATCCCTCATGCGGCCTTGGACGGAAAGACCACTAGTCCGTGCGCATGGAAAGACCCAAGATTTTGGATTTCGGGTCGGACCTAGACATTTGCTCGCTGGCTCTCATGCTTGAGTCTCTCCGAAGCGGTTTGGTGCTCCATTGTGTCCACTCGCTCAAGCTACTACTTACGCTACATAAATCTCAACCCGTAATTCCAGCAGGGGACCAACGTCGACCCTCAAGTCTCATAACCGATCGCCATGATGATTGGTGGTCATGAAGAGTCTCCGAAAGACCCCCCGAGATATGGCATTCGGTTGTGGGATTACAGTTCCTTGCTGTTTAGATTGTCTCCATTTCCGAAATTGATGTTGAAACATGGAGACATGAACCCGAATTTATGGCAGACCAAACAGGTCGTACAGAGAAAAAGAAAAAGTGTGGCCCGACCATGCACCTTGATGTGGCGTGTCCGGACAACCCCGATGGTGACACCAATGACTCGGATGATCAATACTCGTGGGCAATCACGCTGACCACTTCGCAGTCGACGCAAAGTCGACGTTGATACTAGAATCCACTCTGGGTCGAGGAGCTCAGCTTTCTGACTCGACTGCAAACTATCGTTGCACATATATATGGAACATCGACCGAGTTCTCTGACTGCATTGTAACCTAGCTCTGTGTTCTGTCAAAGTTCAGGTTCTCATATCCAAACTTGCAGAAAGCTGACTTCCGATGTTTGGACCTCTCGCTGCCGCTTTATCGACTTTTCTTGTCTATTCCGTAGGATTTCTCTCGTCTATAACCCTCCCAAATGGTCAACAGCACTGGCAGGTTCTACTATCGCCCCAGCTTTCACTGCATCCCAAACCCCCCATTTTTGTCGACGGGACGTCAGGTCATGCTTCATATACTAAACAGGCGATTACTCCAGAGCTCTCTATGTATGTGGAGACTATCATGCGGGAAAATGGTGTACCTGGTCTGGCCCTTGGCGTCTTTCAGAACTCTGGCGAGAGCGAGTTTGCTGCATGGGGAAACAGAACAGAAGACGGAGAGGCCCTGGCCACAGACGTGAGCAAGGCGACACTCTATGTTTCCTCATATTACAGTGATGGTTGGCTCATATGCGTTCGATTATCAAGACGCTGATGTATATCGGATCGTGCTCGAAGGCTTTCCTCGCCGCATCCATGGGCATCTTGATGGATGACTTCGCTCATGGACGCAACACCACGTTACTTCCCGAATCTGTGGTCCTGTTCGACTGGGATACCAAGGTTAAAGATCTCTTGCCCGGAGAATGGAACCTTATGGACCAGTGGGCAGAGGAAAAGGCCAACATAAGGGATATTCTATCTCACGTTTCCGGAGTTCCCAGGTAGATATTCATCGTTTTGTGTGTCTGATTCTCACCTTCGTAACTCACCTCGTCCGTTGGCCACATTTAGGCACGATGCTGCTTATTCTCCTTCAGACACGGCTGCTATTGCCATCTCTCGTCTTCAATATCTGAGGCCGGCCTTCGAGCTCAGAGCCCAATGGTCATACAACAACATCGTGAAATTCCATGTGCTTATCTGGGTGATACAATTCCTTGATCGTCTTCCTTCACTACTATAGATGTACATCGTCGCCCAGCATATCATCACGAAGTATTCGGGGATGAATTACACGGCTTTCGTCGAGAAAAGAATCTTTGCTCCTCTCAACATGACTTCCACCACGTACTCTTCGAAGACAGCTCATGCGTCCGGCAGGTTCACGCAAACTTGGTCATCGTTTGGCCGACGAATTCCGCAATGGTTCGATACCGTGAATGAGGAGCTGTTAGCCGGTGCAGGAGGTATAATAACGACGGTAGAGGACCTTGTACGTGGAGCTTCTCTCTCGAGAAAAGGGCCTTAATACTTATTCCTGTGGTCATACTCGTAGGAGGCATGGACGCGAACCTTGATGAACTCGGGCATCGACCCACGAACTAATCAATCGATCATTCCGCGCTCTGCTTTCGAGGAGGCGACGACTGCTCACAATATCCTTGACGGGAAACCAGGAGCTTCTGGGTTGTCTATTATGGGTTATGGTATGGCGTGGGGGCGAATGTCGTACCAGGGACATGATGTGTGTATGATGATTGTGTCGGATTCTTCTATTATTACCGACCAGGATCTAATGCTTACAATGACATCACAGATTGTGCTGCATAGCGGTGGTCTGCCAGGCGCTACGGCGCTAGTCTCATTCATGCCATCGGAGGGTATTGCGGTGGTCGCACTTATCAATGCAGACGACAAGTATCACTCCGTCTCCACCCCTCTTCTCTATAAAATCATCGACGGCCTTTTTGCAATAAACGGGTCCACAGCAACTGGAAGGATCGACCCAGAAGCACAACCGAAGGCGCTTTCGAGCGAGGTCTTGGGTACCGAGTCACCACCCTTGGCATTGGAATCTTACGCCGGCACGTACAACAACTCGGGTTATAACACCTTCACAATCTGTGCACCATCCAGCACCTCGCAGTACTGCGCCGATGTTCTCTCCGCCTTCGCCGCCGTCGACGCACACGCACTCACATCCAACCACTCTACGCCCTCTATCGACAAGCCACAGCTATTTGCTGCGTATCCCAGCGCGTGGGCTCCGTACATCCGCTTCATCCACATCAGCGGCCAAAGATTCACCTGGGACTTGACGGCGTTGTTCGTAGAAGGATACGGCGCTGATAAGACTCCGTTCGAGGTAGTGGCTCAAGATGGGACTGAGATCGAGTTTGTTGTCGATGGGGAGAGTGGAGATGTGAGAGGCTTTGGGCTGGTCGGGACGGTGGTGGAGAAAAATACGGATAGACAGAGGAAGGGAGGTGGAATACAAGAGATAGCGGACGCGTGGTTTGACAAGATGTAAGATGAAGTCGGCATACTACTTGTGATAGCTCCAATATGCACGATGGAGATAGACTGGCTGTCGTGTGACTTTACTGAGAAAATACACGCCCGAAAAGGCACGGTGCTCTCAACATCAGTCCTACACGACAAGGATAGCTATCTGCCTTCGCAAAGTGTGCTCTGAGAACCCGATGGAGGTCCATGGTCGTTCGTATTTAGTGATCCTGACTTTTGGTGATGACGCTCATCAGCGTCAAAGTCGAGAGCGCAAAGCTATAAAGCAGGAGACGACTGTGAGTCCGAGCACGTCACCCCGCCTAGAGACCGACGCATCACATACCCACCCAAGGTCGCAGAATGGCACCGTCTGTCCTAATATTCGGTCTCTCCTTCGATGATTCTCCCGTTCCCGAAGATGTCAAGGCTAAGCTGCGCGCCAGCATCGACAAACTGAACATAAACATGACCGCAGCCGGCTACAACCACACAACAATGATGTCCGGCCCCGAGGGTCTCGAACCCACCCCCGAGTCCACCATCCCGCTCATCGTGGACACACTGCAGAAGACGAAGTGGGAGGTGGTGGTTATAGGATTTGGGATCAGAGCGAAGCCGGAGTTGACGCTGTATTTTGAAGGGTTGGTGAATGCGATTAGGGAGTATGCACCGCAGGCAAAGCTGGGATTCAGTACGTTGCCCGAAGAGGCGGTTGATGCGGCGAAAAGGCTGGCGCCGATATAAGGAGCGTTTCACGGTAGACAGGTACGTGTGTCTCCCTCACGGACGGCATGGTCGTTGCTGATGATAAACACAGTGAGCATTGTGGCGGTCGGAGGGTCCCGTGATGATTCAAGACGATCGCGTTAGATCGGGTGCGGAAATATGACAATTTCGCTGTTGATCATGCAGCCTCCAAGGCATACCAAAGCTCTTGTGACCAGTGGTTCTCAGCACTGCGCATGCCGGGGAACGCGTCATGCCTCAGAGCACACCGGTGGGAGGGTTCGTGCCAGGATTTGCTATATCATTGTAAGCAAAGGCTGCACGGGACCAGCGTGGAGTCATCGAGTCCTGAACTTTGTAAGGTATTGGATCAAGGAGAAGTTGTACGTGCACAAGAGCCTGTACAACGATGACGCCTAAAAACTCCGGCTTCGAAGGGATTGAGGTATAAAACAAAAGATGAGCATTGATTCACGTACCCACTCGCGACGACTCTAATCTTGACCGCTGTACAAACAAACACATGGCACCATCCATCTTGCTCTTCGGTCTTTCCTACAAGGATCCTATGATCCCCGAGCACTTGAGAGAGCAGCTCCGCACCAGCCTGGACAAACTGGACACAGATATGCCCAAGACAGGCTACAACTACGAGAGCCTCTTCTGCGGTCCGGAGGGATTTGAATCCGCGCCCGACTCTATTGTCTCGCCCATCGTCGACAAGCTACAGAAGATGAAGTGGGATGTGGTGGTCATTGGTTTCGGAGTACGGGGGAAGCCGGAGCTCACGTTGTACTTTGAGAAGTTGGTGAATGCGATTAGAGAGTATGCACCACAGGCAAAGTTAGGGTTCAATAGCTCGCCCGGAGAGACGCTAGATGCGGCGAAGAGATTGGCCCCAGTTTAGAGTCCGCGGTGGTAGGTGAACTTTCCGTTCGTGTTGCCTCTAGCGAAACTGATATAATACTCTTATGCGAAAATGTGGGATGTATAGTTGGCGATATACAGGGTCTGGCGAAGGATCCCCACAGATTCGTGCCTACATTTGTAGCCAAGAATAATTGACGGTTGCGTTGAGCCAGATCATGTTTGATTGTTAAATTCAGATGTCGACATGTCCTGAAAACGAGCCAACACAGGCTTGAACGGATAACGAGAGCGTGTAGAGTCCTTGAGGAATGAAGTGGACTTGCTGCTGAAGATTCCAACTCGCTGGTATCGCAAGCTGGATACGGCGCAGAAAGGACGTGGCGGAAGAAGAAGCCCGGTTTGGAGCGCTAGCGTGGCTGAGAAAGAGCGGCACAGCCACCGACCTGCGCCTCTGCGATGGCCGTAACCGCCTGAACTTCGCCCTTCACCTTCGCCGTCGTCCTCCTCGCCGCAGGTTTCGTCCACCCCTGCGCCTCATCTCGTCCGTCCATTATCGCCATCTATTTTTTTCTAATATCACGTCTCACACTCTCTGTTCCTAACGACATCAGCGAACAACGCAATGCTCTCTCTACCCACTTCCGTTTTCCTCATTTCCCTCGTCTCGCCTTTCTTTGCCGTCGCTCAAACGACAACTAGTCCAGCATCTTCAGTTGCTTCGTCGTCGGCAAGCAGGTCGGGATCGGTGACCTCAGCCGCCAACTCGACTATCTACTCGAGTGTCACTGTGACAAACAACGGCTCAACCACGGTTGTACCCATCACTATAACCCCGAGCGACACAACCACCACTGCGACCTCGACGACGACTGCCAGCTATCCTAGCCTCTCTGGCTACTCGACGTGCTGTTAGTGAATTTGCATCTTTTCTGCCTGGGGTGACGAAATAGCGTTGACGTGATGTTGACTACGGACTGTGCACAGTACTCAACTGCTTCTCGCAGTCCGTCTCTTCCGCCAACTGCTCGTCAGTCGTCGATGTGGACTGTTTCTGCCCCTCCACGTACGTTACCATTTATATCTCACTTGATGTCGTCCTAAACCTCGAATAGTTCATTCTCCACGGACCTCGAGTCCTGCGTGCTCGCCGGATGCCAAGAGGACCTTAGTAACTCTGAAAATCTGGCCCAGTCATTCTGCAATATCGCCTCCAGCTCAGTATCACTGTCCTTCACCTCTGCCTCGCTAACCTCCGCCTCGAGTGCCACTTTGTCGTCTGCATCACGATCCGGTTCTTCGGCAAGCGGTTCATCAACATCGACCTCATCTGCATCGAACGGCGCCGCCAGGATGATCGCGAGTCCCGTAGGCGGGAGCGGAGGGGCTGTGGCATTGGGTGTCACCGTGTTGGGAGCCGTTGTGGGCGCTATTCTGCTCTGATCGTCGTAGGACGGGATGGTCTTGGATCAAAAGTGCTCTTGGTTCGGGGTCTGCCGACTGTTGCTTGGACGCTTTCGAGGGATGATAGTTTGCAGTATTTAATGCGGACGACGGGGGAGATGGGGTCCGGGTCAAGCATACCAGTGTCCGTGCCTTTCTTTTTTACTTGCCGTGCACCTTTTTTCGAACCACGGGCTCTCGTACATACTTTTACACACTACGTTGATTCACTTCTTGGGGTGATTGCGACGATGCTTTATCCCGTTCTAGTTCTCCCTTCAGACTCTTACATCTGAGCTCCCGGACGTTCATTTTGCGCCATAGATCTCACTTATCTGCCTCTCACATTTTTTCTGCGTTTTAATACACACCACATGCATTACGTTGTTGTCCAATATTTCTAGCATTGAACTGCATGAGTTTGTGGCTCTGACGAGGCGAGGTCAGTCTACAGGGCTGTAGCGGTTGGTGTCGGCCCCTCTTGACGCCCATCGTCACTCCCTGTTCAGCTCTCGCGAGTGGGTACGACTCTACCGTCAGAAGTAGCAACATTTTCTGGCCTGACCGCCCTCTGGAGGTCCTGTCCCTCTTGGTCACCTTTTCTCACACAACTTTCTCGAGGAGAGCACTCTTTTTTGTGTTGAGATAAGTACTAGACCGTGAGCTACATGTTCCGCCTCGTTGGTATTTTGCTCTCCTCATCTTACCATCATTCTTCTTTCAGCGCGATTGCTGATAATTGGGACGCCACTACAAGTCTGCAACAACAAATCGTCCGGATCCGCCTGGCGCCACCACTCACTTCGTAATTTCGTCGCCACTACCAGCACGCCTTGTTCCCCTCCAGCATAGGCCCACCAAATAATCATTCCATATTGTACTCCTGATACGCCTTTAGTACAGGACGTTGCTTGAGTGAAGAGCAGAGGGAAAACTATATAGATGCACATGGCACGGAGGCTTCCGGATACAGACCTGCAATATCCTCTTCATTGCATGCCCTCTTAGCTCAGTGGTAGAGCGCATCACTCGTATCGATTCCTTGCTTACGTAACGTAGCTTACGTTAACGTGATAAGTACTGACCACCGATAGCATCGTCATTTGATCGTCATTTACTCACAACGCATCCCCGACCTGCCACCAGCGCGCATCCTCAGACCTGCCTCAGACTGAAGTCAACCTGACCGGGGATCTGTCGACCGTCTAATGTCTGCCGTCCCATTGACAGTTTTTTCGTATCACCTACCAGGTATTTTAATGATGTGCTTTTACCAAGCCATACAGGAGCGACCTTGGCTTCGCTTGTAACTCCGCCTGGCTGACTCTTTTCCATCCAGTTAGATTGTTATCAAAGTCTGCAACAGGCATGCCCGATTAGCTCAGTGGTAGAGCGCGTCACTCGTATCAGCGCGCACATGATGAGGTCGGTTGTTCGAATCAGCCATCGGGCATGGTATACTTTTGCAAAAGCAAACAAACTGTAATAGGGCCCTGCGAAATGTCGTGGGCCGGAGCTGGACGCGCATGCGAAACGATGTTCGATGGCCGACGTTACGGCGATAGCCGAGGCTGAAAAGTCGGTTCCAGATGAGACAACGCGAGGGTGGCGCGTGGGAACGCGGCGCCCAAAGGGGGAGACGTGGTGGCGACGCGGTGGCGGAGACGTCGAGTTGCCCGCTACCTGACACCTACCAGATCTGAACGCGCGGAATAGATCAAGGTCGGTTGTTCAATCCAGCCAGCGGGCATAGTAAAGATGTTCCTCTCCTTTTATCCCTTTCTACTAAGGGAAACCTTCATCCTCATGATCACTCAGCCGTATGCTGCATTCTCTTTAATTTGCTCAGTTATGAGTGAGTTCTTTGTTGGTGCCCTCCAACGAACTACCTTGTTTCCCTTCTGCAACGACACGACGGCTTTGCCTGCCAGCTGGATTGAACGTCCGGTATAGGACGATGACTCATAGGATCGGCCACGCCGTCACGCTACCGCGCTTGTACCCGTACTCTGAGTACACTCGTGTCTGCTGTATGAAGGCATCTTCCACCTGCCTGTGTCTATTGACTCCATGGTACGAAGACAAAGCAACTGTGTCGTGCGGCGTCAAATGGGCTTCGTGGCAATGTCACCATCGATCATTGGCAGCCTCGAGGATCTGTAGCAAAACATGATGGACTGTGCTGACCAGGCCATACAGCTATACTTTCATCGCGACAATCGTCCACTCCAGGTGAGTCTCTGTAATCATCCTCTCGCGCTTCTTCGCATACAACTGTGATCTTGACATCTTCTGTCATGGCGTGTACACTGCCTTCGCATGAAAGGCGTTCTATGCGCTTCTTTCAGCGATTCACTATTTTGGGATCCGAGTCCTACAGCTGTTGTTAACCCGTGGCGTTACCAGATCCGGCAGACAGACAAACTAGACGACGCCTATTGTAGATCCCGGTGGGCGACTATGTGCATTTCATTGTTTTTCAGATGGGCACTCCGCCGCTCAGAACGCATCGTCTCGTCGCGAGTTACCCAGCCAAGACATATGACGGCTCAGCGCTCAGGTGTAGAGCTACAACATAAACACCGCGACATAAAAGCGCCATCACAAAGTAAAATCTCTTATAAAAGAGTGCAGCAAACTAGACTTGCCCAGCACCTTCTCCATCCCAACTCACCCCGGTGGGACTGATGAGGCGCTGACGGCGACAGACGGCCTATGTATTCCAGTACTGCAAGGTGAGTCTCGCCCTCTTGTCAATCTCCATATGCGTAGGAGCGTTCTCCATGTTAGTTCGCAGCGGTTATCAGTTGGCGTGGCGCACACGTCCAGGTTGATGGATTGACTTACTGGATTGTCGAGGTAGAAGTGGTCCATTGGTCGAATCACATGTCCTGTCTGCGCTGTTCTTCAGGTGGCGAACGAGGTTCACAGGTCTCACGTTCCGAAGGAGACCCAATAGGTATGCGACTCCGAGAGTCTGTTGACTATTCTTGGTATTGGCCGCTCAGTGCGCCTAGGATGTATCTGGGACCCAGTTGTGACCCAATTTGGACCCTCTGTTGAGGCTACAGTTGGTCCAATGTTTATCTGACTTAAGAAACTGGCCTGTCCTTGATTTGACGACGACTGTGATCGCTGACCCGGGTTCCATACGGTATAAATGACTACCACGACGAGACTGCTCTCGCGTTAGCCTGTATTGGCTCCTTGTCCTGCCCTTAGTAGAGACTATCCCGTGAACCATCACGTGGACGTTCTCGCTCGCAATTCACTGTTCTTCGACCTTTCATCGTATGCATAACAGTCTGGGATCTATGGCTTCTTTGTTTGTGGAGGTTCTTTGATTTCGGCATGGTCCTTTCACCCTGTACTCTATGATCTCTATGGACCCCCGGGTTCATAGAAGAACCCGATGTCGAGCTAAACCTTGTGGCTACGCCGGTTTTGCAAGAGGAACGACAGTTTTGTCTTCACAAAGATACAACTGTAGACTTACACCTGTGGGCGCATGTACGCCACATGAGCGCTTAACTGCCTCATGCGCCTAGTGTCCTATTTTCGGCAGCTTGTCGTCACCTACTGCGGCGGCTTGTCTATAGCTGTATGATGATATGGCTGTAGGCTGAGGATTCACATGTTGTCTTCGAAGATTCATTACAGGTGTAATAGCTCTTCATCAGCTAGTGCTTTCGACTACCGCTCCAATTAAAGATGCTCGGTGTCTTCGAGGACTGATCACAGCTGTAATAGCATTTCACCGACTAGTTCTCTCGACTATCGCTCCAATTAAAGATGCTGGCTCACAAAGATGCCGCACAGCAGTGGAATGCCTCGCGACATTGTATCTTCTCAGCTGTAGAATGACGAGTTTTTCCATGATCTCGTTCAACTGTAGCAACGCAAGCTACAACTATACATTCCAGAATGTTTGAGAGTATATAAGAGCGAAGAAGACTTCCTCTACAGCTCTTTAACATCGTATGCGTCCATGTGTCGGGCATCGTACGTATCTCATCCTAGTGCTCTCCTACCGCCAATCTACAACGCTGTCGACGTCTACGGGAATGTCGAACGCATCGGAAATTCTTGGGTACATCTCGAGCGTATTTGGTATACTCACTATATTCGGAACCGTCGGAGGGCTGCTTCCTCGATCTCAGATGCGGGAGACGAAAGCCCAGTTGGACGACATCAAGGGTATGCTCGACAGGGGGCTGGAGGCATATAAATTCGGGACAGATGAAATGCAACGTTGGAAGGAAAAGCTCGCAAAGTCAGGTAGACGACTCTCATCCATGGCCATGATACTGACGTTACATCACGGTACTAGACTAGAAGACGACTATCATGCTCTCGACTTCACCTTCTCCCAAAGTCCACTGACTATAGTCATGCCAATCTTCGGGCCGTGGAAGAGTTATCGCAAAATATGGTCTTTGCTCCGTGAAGTGCGCAAGAGTCAAAAGGAGTTGACAAGCTGTCTTCTCAAGATAAAAGAGTCATCCTCACAAGGTTAGTGTCTTGTTACTTGTTAACTGCGTTCCCCGCTAACTGATGGAGACCCTTAAGAAGCGTATGGAACATCCTGCGACACTGCAGATATACCTATTAGGGAAATTCCAGCACAAATTCCTAATCCGAACGATAGCCATGAAGGCGACGATGTTACTTCCAAATTTTCGCGTCGTACTTTCACCAGAAATTCTTTCGCGATTATTTCCCCCATCATTGAACTTGCTCGCAAAGTGCGAAACTCACTGCACAGAAAAATCGGTTCATCGAAGAAGTGCCAAGCTTTCCTCGTGGAACTCGACTCCTTCGCCCAACTCTTGCATAGCGTCTACGATGTATTGGTTTGTCGTCAAAACTCGACCGACCCAGTGCCTGATTCGGTGGTGAAGGCAATACAATGTACGCTAGAGTCTTCGAAGGCGACTCTCGGAGAATTCTACGCTTCCATAGAGGGACATCAAACGGACTTCTGGGAGGGCAGACCAGAGAGTATGATGTGGGAGTCGTGGCGGAAGGTTCAGTGGGCATTATTCAAGCAAGAAAAGATGACGACCACAAGGGACAAGCTACGGGACGAACTACAAACCTTAAATGCATTGATGTCTGCTTTGCAATGGTATGCAACGCCTTCTCTATATTGATGCATGTGAAGACGTATGACGGATTATCTTCAGGACTGCTCTCGACCGTCTGGAGGTCTTTTGCAAAACGCAACAGATAAGCCTCGCACAAATATCTCGCTACATGGAGCAGCTCCCATCCCAACTCGGATACTCCTGGCGAGGTGGAGCGAACGGTGCCAGTCGACCTATTCTCCTCACCGATATGCTGGGGCAGAGTCTGTCCCTTCCCATCGAACTATGCGCCAGTAGCGAGGTGCGTTGTCAGCCACTGGCATGCCCCTTATCGATGCATCGCTGACCCTCACCACTGTCAGAAACTCGACGGGCTTCTTAAGCTTTACTTCAAGGACCGTGTAGGCAGAGGATTCGTCGACCGCGGCGAGTATGAACTCACCATCGTTGGCAACGATTCAACACCGACACCAATAAATCCAATGGAATGGAGAAGGGCTGTCCACCCGGGTAGCAATGTAGGAATGAATGCCGTTATACGTCGCAAAGTCCAGACCACGGGCTCTTGCTATTGTCCGAGCTGTAAACGCACCATGGATGAGGTCGCACCCCAGCGGAAGGGGGGTCAAAACTGGTGTGTAACTTCTCCTCCGTTATATACCACTAAGCTAATATACTCTCAGTCCGTCCTGCGGAATCTGGCTTACGATCTCCCAGAGCGAAGGAAATTCTACTATCGATGGCGAAGCAACGAGACCGCTTCACGCGCAAAGTTCTATCAGACCGAGTTTCTCATCTGAGCCACCTGAAGCGTCGACACACTTCGACAAAGAAGACGATGACATGCGTTTCATTCGCCGCATACATATAATCGAAGAACGTCAGAGTACCAGACTGTTTAATGTAAGAGAGTTTCCATCGGGAATACACAGGAGCGATACTGAATGCTCATACAATAGCAGGGACACGGATGTGACAGTATAGTTAGCAGGATGCAGACGGCAGAAGACACACCGGTGCGGCATTTCGCTGGCTCTCTCATTACCTTGTCCTATAGTACGAGTGGGCTTATGATATGTTTTACTTGGTGTTCTCTACAGAGAATGCAAGATGATCGGCAGAGACGTCCTGGTGGATATCTAGAACCCCGCAGAAATGAGCGTCAGGACACTCCCTCCATGCAAATTCATTGTGAGAAAGGAGCTCAGTTTCGTGCCACCGACGCGACAAACCTTTTAATAAACTCAACTCAAGGCTCGCTCATTCATCAGACCGCCGGTCTCTTTGGGTTTGAACACATGCCCGTAAGCTTACATCTAGAAACATTGTTATGCAAGCATTCAGACTGACGTCGACTTAACTTTGTTCTATTGATATTTTTAGCTCATCTGCGCTCTAGGGAACTTTCGCAACAGCAAGCCTAACGACAGTGTGTATACGGTAGACGTCAATACCATCAGCACCGACGTCTCGACCGAGCAATATTTAAAAAATCAAATGAGGAATGTTCCAAACAGCTGTCGGATTCTCTGCATCGACTATCAGGGCCACTAGTATGTACTGCATCCTGTGAGGAGTCCCGTGAACACATCGGAAGGAAATAACCGTATATATGTACTAATAACAGCTGCACCTCTCTTCTTTCTCCACATTTTGCACTTGTATTTCTCGAATGGACTATACATGCCCTGTTCCCAAGCCTTGTTCGTCAGCGCGAGTGAACCGTGTCCCATTGGCGCTACTGGTCGTCCTTGCTATGCCGTGCCAGACTTTGGTAGAGGACATTCCGGAGGCCAGAAGAGGCCCCTCAGGACACCCAACATACAAAGATTCCCGCATCTCCATCCGGTATTCTCTGTGCGACGGCTGACTCCCCGTTACATTCAGGTGATACTTAACACACCGGCAGACAGACTTACGCTTTAAGCAATTGTCCAGGAAACGTATTTCACGACATACGGAGTTTATAGAGCCACCACACATGAGATCAAGGCGACATCTTTCCGAGCCCTACCGCAAATCACCCTGGCCATCGAGCAATATTCGGATTTTTCGACCCCATGATGACGGGACATGCGAGGCGTTCGCACCCCCGAGCCCTCTGGCCTGACTACTCCGAGAAATCAGATATTCATCGCAGCAAACTTATCGCGCTATACGAAACCGAGGTTCAGGACAACCAATTCGACTCGCAGGAGACATCCTAGACATGGTCCGTATACCGCGGGCTCGAGGATGACTCTGAATCGACGCGCTGCGAAGGACGACACCCCATGAGAGGGTATGTATACAACCAGAGTAGCACACTAGCGGAAGATATTACTATAATCCCAGGGATCATATAACACCAGGACTATCCTCTTTGGATGCCATGGTACCCATGTAGTCCAAGACAATCAGGCCTAAAATACCCTAGGCGCCAATGTTCAGCCCACGAGGAGTATCAAAAAGTAGAAGCAGAGACAGCACAGAAACACTGGCCTGCAGAGCCCAAAAAAGCACCAGAACACTGGTATAGAGTATCAGTCAACAAGACAGGCCCAAAAATACGACGGGCGTCAAGCTTCAAGCTCTATCCCTTCCCTGGCTCTTGGCTCATGATGGACCATCAGCCTTTCACCTAGAAAGAATCAGCACATTGGCAAAGCATATCCCTCGAGAGGACAGGCCCTACAAGCCCAGGGTGCGGACAGCTGCACAGGTGGGCGTACAACGTCACGGCACGCGCGGAGACCAAAATGGAGCAAGAAGAGAGATATTGCATTTGAAGGAATAACGTACAAGAAAAACCAAACCCACCAAGAAATAGACCGTCTTGAGACTGCCCTAGTCGCTGTGTTTTCACACCACCGCTCAGCACCAGCACCAACCTCACCCAAACACCTAAAGCTTCGTCTTGCCTTCCAGCGCCCCATTCTTCGGCCGAACCTCGATCCCCTCGTCCTCTAGGACCTTCCGCGCGAGCATGCCCACGATAGGGAACATAATCGGATGGATGAACGCTTTTTCGGAGGATGCTTGTCGGCGCGCGTAACGCGCTGCTATACCTTGCGAGATAATCGCGAGCTGTGAAGCACGATGAGTTACACGGTGCACAGAGATGAGGGATGGCCACAAGGTTCCACGTGGAAAAAAGGGAACTCACCCTGAACAACATCCAACTCCTCACGAACACCATCTCCACAATCGGGTACTGCTGCCCAGTCAACCTGCAATACTCCCTCTCCAGCTCCTCGAGTGAGATCGGAACCTGGTCTCGTGGTGCGTTCTTGAAGGCGCGGATGAGTGAGAACTCGAGGGGGTCGGGGCCGGAGGTGGGGGTTTGTTCGCGGAGGGTGCGGAGGTCGATCGAGTATGGGGAGGTCATATTTGCGAGGTCTGCGAGCTAGAGGGAAGATCATAAGCACAACCGTTCGTTCACATACCAATCCAAGGCAGAGACGGAAGCAGGGAGAAGACCATGTGAGACGATACGATACGCACCGGACTCCCCAAAGTACACAACTCCCAATCCAATATCCCAATAACCCTATTCTCCGTCGGATGAAACACCATATTATCAAGCTTATAATCCCCATGCACGATCCTCAGCCCCGTTTTCCGCTCGTCAGGCAGGTTAGCCGTGTACCATTCCACCATTTCGTCGAAGAGGGGGATTTTGCCGGTGGGTTTGCCGGTGTCGATGTCGACGGCGAGGGATTGGGCGAGGGAGACGTGGGTTAGGGATTTGATTTGGCGGGGGAAGTAGGGGGTGGAGGGGCCGAAGGAGGAGAGGCCGAGGGTGGAGGGGGAGAGGGAGGAGAGGGCGGCGAGGGCGCGGATTGCGGAGAGCCAGCTGGATGGAGGGAGAAGTTGTATTTAGTCGATATAGCATGGAAAAGAGAGCGTGGAGATAGAGGAGAGTGTGGTATTAATCGTGTTTGTGAGGTCTCCTCATATACAGTGCGGTAAAGCCCATCTAGTCATGTCTGGTGTTATGCCTGTAGCTACCCAGTGCGACTCTGCAGCACGAAGGTATTTATGGATAGGAACGAACTGATTTTGAAGTGGACAATCAGGTATCCTCAGGGTACCAAAGGCTCTTTGGAATGACCGGTATCGCTACTCAGCAGTATCACAACGTTGAGTGGCGAAGATGTGGCGCGAATTCGACCACGCCACGGAGAACGTGAAAAGGCCAAAAAGAAAACCCTGGTGATCACTAATTCTCATTGACAGTAGATGGTGGGCATAGGGAGCACTGCGAATGAAGGTGTCCAAGACGAACGAGAACATTTGAACGCACCATTCCCTCCGATCCTGAGGCCCAACCTCCTCCATCCTCACATCCGTAAATATCCTCCCATCCAAGAACTCCATAACATAAAATGGAGTCCCAATAACACCTTCGTCCTCACACAGAACGTATGGTTCTGGTACAGGCACACGGCGTTCAGGGGCCGTAGTGGGTAGAACATTGTGCTTATGGATAGCGGTCAGAATTGTGTATTCACGTTCGATTTGGTGTGCCGTTTTAGAGAGGAGGGCACCAGCAGGCTTTTTTCGAAGGACGAAGCGATGGCCGGTGGAGTCGGTGAGGAAGTAGGTTGGGTTGGACTGTTCGTAAAGGGAGATGGACAACGAGTTAAGACTCGCGCATCTATCTGTCAAACGACTACGGGGCATACCTGTCCAAACTGGAATATAATTATAAGTAACTGTTGCCTTTCAAACTATCGAGTGGACTCACCTTGAACTGCTTAACCTCGACGGGAGCCTTGACGGACGGAACCTTTTCTTCGAAATACTTGTTCAGCTTGTCCACGTCGATGTTCGCACGAACCTCCCCGAATTCACCACCAATCTTCTTCGTCGAGCTTTGATCTGACATTGTACCTTTTTACTAGACGAAGTGGTAGTAGGAGAAGATAGAGATGGACGAGCAGGAGGACAAGGCAGTTCACATGTTGTGCTGTACTGAGAGCGTCTGGGGTAAAGCGCTTCCGGCTACCGGCATCCGCGAGTGCGGGGAAGCAAACATGTGTGGCAATTATGCTACCCAATAGGGCGACGGTGAGAAGAGAGCCAATGAGGGTGCTCGCCACACCAAGTCGGCACAAGTCGGATGCCGATCGGAACTTGAGAAAAGTTGAGCGTTCGATGAGGCTACTGTTTCGGTGGTGACTCCAAGGTGACTCGCACCGTTGTACGGAGAGCTTGCGTAGACGATTGCGTCTGCTCGGCGAGTTGGTGGGTTGGTGACTCGAACAGCGTAGCCAGAAATGGTCTCACAAGATGGGATCGCGGGGAGTTTGATTATTTTTGACAGGGCAAAATTTATTTATAGATAAAATAGAGAGCGTTGAAGATACAGAAACGACATTTCTGTCTTCAGTGAGGGACGTGCGCGACGTCGGGGACGACGAGGACGCGACGCCGCGCGATTCCGGAATGTTCGAGTGATCACGTGGTGGTTTACGTAATTTACACGCAAACAAAATTTCGAAAGTCGCTCGTCAGCGCTTCCCTCACTCCGTCTTCTCCCCCAACGTCAACGTCCTCCTCCCCCCTTCCCCACTCAAAACACTCCCCGTCGTCGCCATGTTCACCGCTGCCCGTTCGCTCAGGCAAGCCGTCTCCCGCAATGGCAACTATGCCAACATTCCCCGCTCCATGATCGCGAGGAACATGAACTCGAAGGTATCCGGTACGTACCTCACTTCCCGACCGTGCACGATGAAATTCCGTCCTGACGTGTTTTCGTGCTCGCAAATAGGCCCCGTTGTCGGTATTGACTTGGGTACCACGAACTCTTGTGTCTCCGTTATGGAGGGCCAGACGTCGCGTGTGATTGAGAACTCGGAGGGCGCACGGACAACACCGTCCGTCGTCGCTTTCACAAAACATGGAGAGCGTCTCGTCGGTCTCCCTGCTAAGCGTCAGGCCGTCGTGAACTCGCAAAATACCGTCTTCGCCTTCAAGCGTTTGATTGGTCGTCAGTTCAGGGACAAGGAGGTCCAAGAGGACGCGAAGCACTGGTAAGTCGTCATTCCCGTCTTGCTTTGTTCGTCACCACTGTCTCTGACAAATCAGTGTCATTGCAGGCCATTTAAGATCGTCCCAAAGTCCGATGGACGACCAGCGGTAGAGGTCGAGTCGAACGGCAAGAACCAGCAATTCGTGGGTTCATTTCATTCGTCTTGGTCATCCATAATCTAACGTTTCACCTAGTCTCCGGAAGAGCTCTCCTCCATGGTCCTCGCGAAGATGCGCGAGACTGCTGAGCAGTTTTTGAACAAGAAGGTTAAGTGAGTATCTTTTAGTCACTGTATGACTCACCGGAGTGCTCATAACATCATTTAGCCACGCTGTCGTCACCGTACCCGCTTACTTCAATGACGCTCAACGACAAGCGACCAAGGACGCTGGCCAGATCGCCGGTCTTGAGGTTCTCCGTGTCATCAACGAGCCTACCGCCGCCGCACTCGCATATGGTCTCGACCGTAACGAGAACTCCGTCATCGCTGTCTACGATCTCGGTGGTGGAACCTTCGATATCTCCATTCTCGAGATGCAGAAGGGCGTTTTCGAGGTGAAGTCAACGAACGGTGACACACATCTCGGTGGTGAGGACTTCGACGTCCTTCTCGTCAACCACGTCCTCAACGAGTTCAAGAAGGAGTCAGGCGTTGACATCTCCGAGGACCGTATGGCGATCCAGCGTATCCGTGAGGCTGCCGAGAAGGCCAAGATCGAGCTTTCGTCGACGTCCCAGACCGAAATCAACTTGCCCTTCATCACCGCTGACGCCTCCGGACCCAAGCACATCAACGTGAAGCTCATGCGTTCGCAGTTCGAGAGCCTGACTGCCCCATTGATCCAGCGTACCGTCGAGCCTTGTAAGAAGGCGCTTGCGGATGCTGGTGTGAAGGCTAGCGATATCAACGAGGTCATCCTCGTCGGTGGTATGACCCGTATGCCCCGTGTCGTCGAGACCGTCAAGTCCATCTTCGGTCGCGAGCCTTCGAAGGGTGTCAACCCCGATGAGGCCGTCGCCATTGGTGCTTCTATCCAGGGTGGTGTCCTTGCCGGCAACGTCACTGACATCCTCCTTCTCGATGTTACTCCTCTTTCTCTCGGTGCGTTTCCTTTTAGCTTTGCTCTCTGGATCTCCGAACTAACATAGGTGCATTTTTTAGGTATCGAGACCCTCGGTGGTATCATGACCAAGCTCATTTCCCGCAACACGACCATCCCCACCAAGAAGTCGCAGGTATTCTCGACTGCCGCTGACGGTCAGACCGCCATCGAGGTCAAGATCTACCAGGGAGAGCGTGAGCTCGTCAGGGACAACAAGATGCTCGGCAACTTCAACCTCGTTGGTATTCCTCCCGCTCCCAAGGGTGTTCCCCAGATCGAGATCACCTTCGACATCGACGCCGGTAAGCACTCGTCCCGTTCCTTTCCTTGTGAAATCGAGTCGCTGATCATCTTTGCTTTGTCTAGACGGTATCGTGCACGTTAACGCTAAGGACAAGGCCACCAACAAGGATCAGTCCATGACTATCGCTTCCTCGTCCGGTCTCAGCGACAAGGACATCGAGCGCATGGTCTCCGACGCTGAGCAGTACGCCGAGACTGACAAGGCCCGCCGTGACGTCATCGAGGAGTCGAACAAGGCTGAGTCTGTCTGTGCCGACACTGAGAAGGGTACGTCCTCTTTTCAGCATGTTGACCCCGCCTCCTGATGACTGACCTCTTCCTGATCTTCTCTAGCTATGAACGAGTTCAAGGACCAGCTTGACCAGACCGAGAAGGACAAGGTGACCAAGCACCTCGCTGACCTCCGCGAGCTCGCCGCGAAGGGTCAGGCCGGTGACGCCTCCGCCACTGCCGATGCCATCCGTGAGAAGATCAACGAGGCCCAGCAGGCCTCCCTTGGTCTCTTCCAGAAGGTGTATGAGAAGAGGAACGCGGAGAACAACCCTCCTTCTGAGGAGACCCCCAAGGAGGAGAAGAAGGATTAAGTGCCTCGCTGAGTGGTGCTCGGTTCGTTCTTTGACTCTTTCCGTGGATTCTTCTCGTCGTGTTCGCTTTCGTTCATCGGACATTACTAGCCTTAGTGTCCCCCCTTCTTCCTCGCGCATGCATCTCTGCTCCTCATCGCACCTTACTTAGAGCCTCCGGTTTAAAAGTACCCCCTTATATCGTCGCACGCTTTCTTCCCCCCTTTTTATGATATGTTACTCTACTCACGCTTATACATACGTACGCCCACAACGCATCCCCATCCCCCGCTCTCCACGCACCACTCGACGCCCTTCACCCTTCAATATCATCCCACCGCCGATTTACTTACATCTTCATATCGTCCCGACTCGCATCGCACCACACAACCCCCGCTCAGTAGTTACCATTTATCACTTTTCCGGCCTCGTCCTTTATAGTCGTCTACATATACTCGTACTCTTCATGCTTCGTTCATGCTATGTAGTTGACAGCTCCCCCGACGTATCACTGCTTTTTGCTTTTTTTTTGCGATTGAGACATGAGAATTTGTGTTGATCGTCTGCTTTTGAGGGATGTGTGAGTCTTTGAGTATGGATAGTTACTGGATTAAAAATTCTGCGTCTGCGTAAGTCGAAGGCGGACGAACTATTCGAATTCGTGGCTAGCTACAAACAAGTGGGCCACATTGCTTGACGCCACCTGCCCCTGAGCAAGTGCGACTCGATATCTTCCCGTCTCGACGACGACGAGGACTCATCTCGTTTAATGGTCCTTTCTTGCGACGCATTCTATGCTATTTTCGAAAGCTTGATCTACACGCTGTGAGAATATCCTAGGCCTATCTGCTACATCGCCTGTTGCATGAATTTGCACGCGTCGAGAACTACTATCTGGGATTCAACGCGAGCTGCAGCTGCCACGAATCGACGAACGTTCACGTCCAGAACGACTCCCTTGAACTTATCTAGACCTTCTTCCCTTCGTGTCTTACCGTCTCTCTCTCTTTGGAGCTCCAGGTCGGGCGACACTCGACCGCCAGGATTTCCGCGCCTTGAACTCCTTTCGAGGTTTGGACGAAGCTTTCACTCTCAGATTATCGCACGGTGTCCTGTTTCTGTGATGGTTGCGCCGGGTATGAACGATCACATGAATGATGGTGGAAAGGAGGTGAGTGAGACGTTGGGAGCTGTAGAAGGTACGTCGACGTGAGATGGTGGATTGGGTTGGTGGAGATACCTATGCTTAGAGTAAGCGAGACGTTAACGATGGCCTTTTCTTCTTATTCGTGCAGGATCCACGCGTTCATCAGCGTCAGAAGACATTGGAGGATCGACTATTACCTCTGGATCAGTCCCAGCTCAATCGTCCTCGTCGGCACCAACGGAGACGAAAGTAGCAGAGACAGAGGCGTCGCCGCTGGTCATGCAAATTGTGGTGCGGCGAGACCTGCTTGAGGTGTGCACTTTCTCTCGATTCGGCCTTGTGGTGAGCCTGAGTAGTCACATTTTGTTTATATGTGTCCGTGTAGGCGGAAGGATGGGGTGTAGGACCGTTGATGGCGCAGGTGGCGCATGCAACTGCCGCTGTGAGTACAAGAGGCCGAGCTCCGTTCGCTTTTCTCTAATGTTAACGGTGCATTTGGAGTGAACAGGTACTACATGAAACAAGAGAAAGGCCAGAAACAGTGGAATATCTTGGGGATTTGTTGAGGATGAGGAAGGTGAGTACAGTATATTCCGAATTTCATAGTACTTGGACGTTCCTACTTATAGGGACGATCCTTGGTGATAGGTAGTTATGCAGGTATGCTCAATTTCGTGTCCATTGCCTGGTCTTCTCACCGAGTCTAGTTGGTGCCACCGCCACACTGCTACTGCTAATCATCAACATGTTCAGACTGCAACGGACGCGACGCTCCAAAAACTAGCCACCACACTCTCCTCTTCTGAGCCTCCCGTCCCTTTTCACCTATGGATCGAACAGCCAGAGAACGTGCCTACGTGTTTGGCTTTGGCGCCGAATAGGGCGAGGGACGGTTCTGAGAGAAGTAAGAAGGTGAAGAAGGCGTTGGATAAGTGTGGATGTCGACTGTGGAAGGGGTAGATATGTGGCGACCGGCAGAAATTGGGCAGTGCAGTGATGTGCTGGGAGTAGGCAGCAAAGTCGTCATCATTGCGCAGGCTGGCTTTTAGGGCTTGCGATGGGCCGAGAAACTTGACTTGTGTGGATAGCGCACGAATGTTTGCACCGCGATAGATGCGAAGGTATGATTCCCAAAATAATACAACAGCAACTTACAACGACTGCTTGACTATACATGAGTCATGGTCCTCCGGACAAAATACAATTATTCTCTCATCGATACCTCTCTCCCGCAACACATTCGGGTCTTGAGTGTGAGACAATGGTGCAGGCCAGGCAGATAGACGACGAGATGTTTGTTTTGCCGACGAGATGCTCAGGAGCCTAGTACATCTCGAGTGACATCCCGTCGTGGATCTCGTAATCGGCGAGCGTTATGTGGTCTTTGTAGATCGTGTACCTGTGTTTGGAATGGGGTCGGCGAATGAGTAAACAAGATAGACATTGGTGGGATGTGGTCGAACAGCGGAGTTCGAACGTATATGAGAAACGCACCATTTCTTCAGCTGGATCTTCGAGCTGTCAGTTCCCGTCTGCGCAGCGATGAGCTTCTTCAGATCGCCAACAGTGTCGTCCTGGCTGCACTTCACGCGGACTATGTGGTTGGTCGCATTTATTGCACCACGCATGAACGAGATGGAGGAGATGTTGATTAGCTAGAGAATAGGGTACAAACGAGAAGGGGGATAGAGGGTGGCGACGAATCGTACCTTTGCGACCGAGACGATCGTTCGCGATGATCTGTATTATGATGAGTTCTGTTATATATATTACTTGATAAATGAAGACTTACTTCGATGAGAGGCATTATGCAGAGACAAGGAGAGTGCGGAGACTGAGTCGAGGAGAGAAAGCAAGAGAGATGATCTTGTAGATCTGACTCGCGACGTCAGATCGGGACAACTTGAAGGTCAGATAAGATAAGATCCTCCTTGTGATCGCCACTTGATCTGTGCCACGCTCGCTGTAGTACGTTCAGTCGGTGGAGTCTTCAAAGCTTCACTATAACGATTCATAGGGAAAGCAGACCAGACATAGCGATGGAAGTGTAATGTTACGAGCTCTCATTCTCAGAATCAAAGCGGAGAAGTAATATCTAATATATCTACGGAGGCTCATGAGGGGAAGCGTAAGTTCTGAGCCAATAATCACAACATCTATGTAAACGGAGCGACGACGTCGTGAAGGGAGATGTGATTAACGAGGTCTTGGTAAAATAAAGCAAGGGGGGTTCATGTGAATGGGAAGGTTTGACAGATACAGGTCGTGAGTTTGGATTTGAATAATATGGAACGCTCGAATTGAATCCACTCTGTGGAGGCGTCGGAGGTATGAAAGCGTGGTTGGTAAGAAATGTTGAATGGGTATGCACAGGTATAGCGAAGTGTAAGATGATGAAGCAATGAGTGTACAGGAATGGCGTTGTCCAGGGCTAGTGGGTCTGGAGGCGTAGGTAGTATGGGGCTGATTCCTCGGGGTAGTTTGGTATCTTCGTATACAGGTCGTCAATATTTGATGTCGCGATATCTTCTATAGACGGGTATAATGCGAATCAGCACCGGTGCGACGTATAAAGAGAGTACCAACTAAGATGAACGGGACAACAAAGAAACGCACCTCTTAAACCCACAACACACCCACATACTCAGTATCACCACACAGATCCACGTAACCACCGTTGCCGTCAGCACCATCCATACCCCATTTCCAAAATGCACCTCAAACGTCCCTAACGTTACACTCTTCACTTTCTGCCTCGCAATGACCACCAATGCCAGGTCTGCCGCGAACACCACGCTGCTCACGAGAGCCGTTATGATGCTCAGAATGAGTGAGACGACCCAGGGTGCGGTCCGGAAGAGGCAGCAGGTGAGGAAGACGGGGAGCATGGTGAGAAGGGAGAGGGCAGCGGAGATGGGGTGCAGGATGAGGAGTACGGTGAGGACTTTGAGGACGACGGAGACGAGGGAGGCTTGGCCTGTTAGGTCGAGGACAGTTTGAGGGATCGTGTAGCCGAGGGCAGGGCCGAAACATTCGCCATCGTTGCTGAAGAGCGTGGGGGCGTCTAGCGCGCTGCAACGTACAGTCAGCAATCAGTTTTTCTATTGCAACACGTTCGGTCAAGGTAAAGAAGAGAGCTAGGGCGTAGAGTAGGTATAGCTTGTTCCTCGAGCAGAACAACTTACCTCGTTATACATAGACCCCATACACCAAACCGAATCTGCGTCCCGATGCTCGTCTCCGGTTGCCCATCCGCTGGAACAGCCTGTATCTCGAACAGATAGATAGCTTTTATGATGGGCATACAGATGCCCACGAGCAGAAAAATTATGAACGCTCCGAAGAGCAGAAAGCCGAGGAGAAACGCCTGCCCTGGGTGGAAGAACTTGTAGGCCCTGGGTGTCGTGCCTCCCTCCTTGTCGACTACAGCTTTCCGACGGAAACGGTTGTACCAGGCCATCGTATACGATGGTTTAGGTGGGGTATGGTACGGGGGGACAGGTTGCTCGAAGTCGAACGAACTGCGATCCGACTCGTCGAGCAGAGGCTCGAGGAGCGAACGCGAGGTCCTCGTCTTGAATAGGGTACCTATTGTGCCTGCGTGGGAGTACAAGTGACGTTTGGGGGTGATATGCCAAATATAAGTCGAGACGTGGCAACCGTGTGTCGACTAGAACGAACTGTCAAAAAACCTGGAGGAATGAGTGGAAGAACGGACAAGGCGATGAAAAGGCGGGGAAAGCAGGTGAACAGCCTGGCGAACGACGAAGTCGGCTCATACTCGCTTATTTTGCTGTGAACAACGCGCTCCACTGAAAGGGTTCATCATTCTTGGGGGTTTTCCCGATGCTCTTACGTTCACCCCGTCGGGCCAGCAGATTGATCGTATTTTCGCGTGGCGAAGGGGATGGATATTACCTGGCTCAAATGTCATAGATGTAGAGCACTCGAAGGCGAGATCGAGCAGGAATGAGCATGGATCAACCTGATTTTCGCTGCTTTTTCCAAGGGTATTTTCTGTGTATCATCGTGGACAGCCAAGAGCTGATTAATGATTGTCGCGAACTGGGAACAGGCGAATCGCGATCTTCTTGATCTTCTCGCTGCAATGGGACATCGGGAGGAGGCCACGTGCACAGCCGACGTTCCGTCATCTCCGCGACTCCGAATTTCAGCCCCATACTCTGTATACTTGCTTTAGCCTGGCCATAAACACAGGTCAGTCTATATTCTTTGATTTTACGATTCATGCCCCAGGTCTTTCGTCTTTGCATTCTTCTGGGTATTGCTGCACGACAGGACATGTGATAGAGCGCCATGCATGACTGAGCAATGCTGCCTCGGGAGTGGAATACTACCTCAGCGCCGGCCGTCGACGTGTATCATTTATTTTTCTATGATCCAGAGCATTCGCTAATACTGGCTGTCTCATTCCTACTACATAGGTCTTTGGAGCATTGGTCTTCATTGAGTTCAGCTCGTGCACTGCGCTCAATGCTCCCCCGCGCCTTCCCTTCGCACGTTCAACCGTTCCGATCCTTTATTTCTCGTCATTATTCAATCTCTCAACCCCCGTTACCACGAACAATACTCAACCAGCAATGGGTCAAATCTCATAACTCACGTATAACTGCTCTATCAACTCTTCAATTCAGGCAGATCCACCACATATCTTGCCTCCCTCACCTCCATCCACGCCTCTTCTCTACCTCCTCACCCTTGCGCGACTCAAGACAGTCTCAAGAGCCACATAATGACACTACAACACCTACACACACCAAATCACAGCATAAACCGTCCTCTTCTCTCTCTCCTTTCTCTCCCGGCCGCACAGGCATCGAAGATGGACAAGCCGAGGGCGTCTCACGCGCCTCGTCATTCCGTAAAATCGCAGCCTTAGCCACCCCAGAACGCAAACCACTTCTCACAGCGGTTGGCCTGCTACTCGTGTCGTCTGCCGTAACACTCAGTATCCCATTCTCGGTCGGAAAGCTCATCGATTTCTTTACGACCCCGGAACCCGTACGTCTGTTTCAATACGTCGATTTGTAATGTGCTAGGGTTGTTAACGATTGCGTGCTCATGAATTTGTATTCGGTGGTGTGTGTTGGGCGAAGTGTAGACTATACCGATGGGCTTGAGTTTGACGCAGGCATGTGCGGTTCTGTTGGCTATTTTCACTGTTGGTGCACTCGCGAATGCCGGAAGGGCGTTTCTCATGCGTATATCAGGTAAGGCCCTCTCGTCCCGTATTGCCTCATCTCCCTTCGAGAACTTCTCTACCCGCGTAATCCACATATTCTCATTGTACTAACGCCCACCCATTTTCATCAATGAAGGCCAACGGATTGTTGCTCGACTGCGTCAACGATTATACGGTGCCGCACTCCGGCAAGAAGTTGAATATGTGGAGAGAGGCGAGGGAGATGTCTTGAGTCGGCTCAGCGCGGATAGTAGCATCGTCGGCGAAAGGTGTGCGGCCTTATACCTTTCCTGACCGCTGCGGTACTCGACCATCGGCAGCTCGTAGGATTCGGTGTGAAGATGATCCCTTTGCTAACTGCGTCCACGCTTTTTCTTTGTTTCTTGGTAGCGTTACCCAGAATCTTTCGGATGGATTGAGGTCAATCGTGATGTCCGCTGCTGGAGGTGAGTAAATAACTGCATCGTTTCTCTGAACCGCCTGCCCATGCTTCATGCCGCTTTCCGCCACACCTCACTTAACTCACAAATCCTTGTCGGTATCTGGCAGTCGGCGCGATGTTTTATATCTCGCCACAACTAACGCTGCTTATGCTCAGTATCGTTCCACCTATCGCTCTTGGTGCTGTAAGTTCTCCTCTGTTAATTTTCTCGCTCTTTCTACTCCTTCCCTTCTTCCCGCATTTTGCCCCTGTGGCCCATAGGGCTTTTCGAAAATTGCGCCACATTTCTCTCTTTTCGTCTTGTCTTTATCCAGCGCCTATCCTATAACACCACTGGTCGTAAACTGACTTTTCTATTGGCTGTGTCGCGAATTTTTGGCTTGGTCGTGGTGAATTTAGGTGTTCTACGGTCGATACCTCAAGAAACTCTCTAATAAGACGCAGGAAGCTCTCGGTGAAATGACCAAGGTTAGTCTCCTAATCGCTCTTCTCCACCCATCCCTCGACAGCTTCTCAACATTTCTGTCTGGGCGTCTCAAACTTGTCGTCCACTGTGTCATCCATAAACACTCAGGTTGCTGCCGAAGCCCTCTCCGCTCTTCGAACAGTCCAAGCCTTCAATGCACACCATGCAGAAGAGAAGAAGTTCAATGTGAGGTCGGAAGAGGTGTTCAAGTTGGCCAGGAAGGAGGGTATCGCGAGCGCCATTTTCTTCGGGAGTACGGGCTTGAGCGGGAATGTCGCGTTGTTGGCGCTTCTGGGGTATGGTGAGTTTTGACTTTCTTCCTGCCGATGGGGTTCTCCGTTTAGGCGACGATTGGCTTTTGGTGGTCACTGACTGCCTATTCTTTTTTTCGTGTGGCGTGTGGCGTTCGGTTATAGGTGGCTCACTCGTCAGCCGTGGATACATTTCTGTCGGTGATTTGACGAGTCTGATGATGTATACGGTGTACGTCGGGAGTGGAATGCAGATGCTGACGTACGTATTCTCGCACACTACCACACATCTGCATGTAGGGTCTGACTTGGTTTTTGTAGATCTTTCTTCGTGAGTAGTCTTCCCCAATGCTTCAATATTAAAACTCGACGTTCATTCTCTGTGGATGTGATCCTTCTTAGACCTCAATAATGCGCGGCATCGGCGCTGGCCAACGTATCTTCGAACTCCTCGACCGCCGCCCTGCTATCCCCATGGACCCCAGCCACCCGAACACCGTCGTTCTCTCCCACAACCGCCGTGGATCCCTCCGGTTCGAGAACGTGAAGTTCTCGTACCCGAGCCGCCAGGGTATCGAGGTCCTGAGCGGGTTCGATCTGGAGGTGGGAGTGGGTGAGAGCGTGGCGATCGTGGGGAAGAGTGGGAGTGGGAAGAGTAGTGTGCAGAGTTTGTTGTTGAGGTATTATGACCCTGTTGGGGGGAGGGTCATGTTCGATGGGCAGGGTGAGTTTTCACCGTCGTTCTTATTTATTTATTGCTACCAAGTTCCGCATACGTTTTACTGATTAAATTTGTGGCGCAGACATCCGTGAATTCACGACGACTTCATGGCGGAATGTCATTGGTGTTGTCCCACAAGATCCGGTCCTCTTCACTGGCACGATCGCGTCGAACATCGCCTATGGGAACGAGGACGCGACGAGGGAGCAGATCGAGGCGGCGGCAAGGGAGGCGAATTGCGAGTTTGTGTGGGGTTTGCCCGAAGGCTTTGATACACCGAGTACGTCCTTCTCCCTGGCTGATTCATTCCATCAATTTCTTATTGGGTTTGGGCGGATTTCACACAGTTGGAAGGTTGAGCTTGAGCGGGGGTCAGAGACAGAGGTTGGCCATTGCCCGTGCGTTACTCAAGAAGCCTGCGATCTTGGCGTTGGATGAGGCAACAAGCTCCCTGGATGCTGCATCGGAACATAGAGTGAGTCGTATTCTTATTCCACCTTGTCTCGATTCACTTTGGATGCTGATGTGGCGTGGCGTGTGTAGGTGAACGATGCGGTCGACAAGATTCTGCGCGCAAGGAATACGACTTGTTTGTTCGTCGCTCACAGGTTATCAACGATTGCGCGAGCAGAGAGGATTGTTGTATTGGAAGGTCCGTGCTTCTGTCGCCTTTCCTCCTGGCTCTGGCCCCCTGATCGATTTACTTTATATATTGTAGACGGTCGTATCACCGAGACCGGAACATACAGACAGCTGGTACGACCTTATCATTCCTTCGTGCACATATCGTACCTGTAACGTCGCTAACATTCTGAACCACAATCTTCTGCAGGTCAACCGCCCCAACTCTCGCTTCCGAGAACTCATGGCCGCCCAGCTCAGCGCTACACACCCAGTTGAGTCCGTAGACCGTGCGTCAGAGACTGAGGATGTTGTCGAGGAGAAAGGGGAATCGGAAGCAGTGGGTGACGTGAGAGAGCTGAATGAGCGAACGGAGAGGGACAGCGTGGCTGAGATACGCGCGTAGGTACGGTGGCGGGGTTCCTTGGATTTTGGGTGTTCTACGTAGTATGTGCCTTTGCGACCGTACTGCAGGGTTTGGGCCTACTGTTGTTCCATTCTCATCGGGGTCTGGAACGCAATGATCAACTGAGAGCAAAATCTAGATAATATGAGGACACACATATTCATAGAGCGTTAAGGTGTATTATTCGTATTTCTCTGGGGCATCAAGGTCGTCGGTTGCGCTCTCCCTAATAAACAACTCGTTAACCCTTTGTGTCTGGCCCACAATTGACATTGATTCAGGGGCAGACGTCAACATATCACTCCAAGCTGCGCAGAAAAATATGTACACCCTTTGTATGTGGGATCTTGAAAGATTGACATATCCTCTTTGTTCAGAGAAAACCAGTCGCAGTCTGTGATCGGTGTCCTATTCAATTGAGACTGGCGCTGAACACCAATCTTATCAATTCCTTCTGAAGAGTCGCGTTGAAGAGTAAGAACTCTTGTGACCGACTTGTACTTCCTCCTGCATTCCGCCTTGATCGTGAATTACATAGGTATTATCATTCGTAGACGTAGGTAGGACATTATAGGGCGTACAGGAGCATTGAACAGTGATGAGTCATCATATGGTGGCGTTACGAGGCATAGAGGTAGAATGGGACGAGAGAAAACAGTCATACATACAAGGGATAAAGATACTACTCCGAAGGACCCGACACGCAGAAGAAAGAAAAAAGAGGAAGGAGATAGAGAGTGGAGAGCGAGGAGAGTGGAGGCATTGTTCGTGTCACCTCTGACGCTCGATTATTACCTCAGCGCATATCAAAGAAAGAAAAAAAAACTTCCAGACTAAGTTAGTCCGATATGAATTCATCTCAACAAAGTTCCGTCAAAATCAAGGAGCGCGGGGATCATGACATCCCCACAAGCAGCTTCAACCTTTCCACCCCATTCTCCGGCGTGGTCCATGTGAAGCCGTTGAAAGCGTGCCTTCTGAGTAGGTAGTCAACCCGCTTCACACCTGCCCTCCTCTGCTCCGTCTCCGATGCGGGATGAGCTTTGGTCCGCTTCGTGTATGCCTTTGCCACATCCGTCTCCTGGGTGGCGTTGAGCCTTCCCCATTCTTCATGTGTGATCGGAGTATGAAGATGAGCGTGAAGGGAAAAGATCACGTCGCCAACCGTGATGTATGGGAGGGCGGGACGACCACGGAGGGGCGGGTTGAGCGACGAGCCGGTGATGGAAAGGTCAAGGGGCCATTGGGGAAATGCGTCGCTGACGATTCGCAGACGCAGGGTCTCGGGGCTGGTTACTGCTTGTTCCAATTCGTGAGCCGTGAGCGGAACAGACTGTGATGGATTGACGCGTCGTTGGACAGATGGGATGTGGCTAGCGAGATCAAGAATAATATATTGAGGAAGAATATCCCCATTGAGCAAGTGGTGGATCTGTGGAGGGGGCAATTCAGGAGGTCCAACAAACATCCAACCTCCATAGGGCGAGTGGTGAGGATTCGCGTCCCTCGGGTATCCCGGGCCCCAGACGGGGTCGACGAGAGGCCGAACAAATGCATGGTCGAAAGACGGCCGTCTACCGTCGGGATAAACAGGGCGGGTGTTGAAGTGAGGGTAGGGTGGGTAAGGTTGTGGTGTGGATGCTCGAGGCGTCGGAGGAGCGTACCCTGGGCTACGTGGAGGAGCTCGCGCATGCCAGGAATTTCTACGACCTCTTCCGACTTCTGGAGGGACCAAGTAGGGAGCGGGGGGAGGAAGGGTGGGAACGTAGGCGTTGGGAGGGTAAGCGAACGGGTATTGCGGGTAGTTAGCCATCGTGTGTTGTTTGCAACTCGACGCTGGCTAATGTAGGATCAAACAGAAGCGGATGGAGAAGGCGTGTGAGTGTGCGGTATTGTGCTCAGTGGAGGAAAAGGCCTTTGGCAACCAAGTGAAGACTCCGTTTTATAGGCAGCGGACGAGCCTTGCTAGGGTGAGTCAGGCCCAGACGCCTGAGAATATGCAGTACGCCCCGGAGCCAGGAAGAACAACAGAAGGAAGCAGGCGAAGCAAAGAGGAACCCGCCCTGAGAAGGCAATGCGGAGGGTTGAATGGAGGTCGTAGCACGCCCTGCGAGCTATTTTTCATGGTTGTTATCAACATCGGATGACGATCAAAGCACTGCGAAGAACGGGTTGGCTGTGCTGCATATCATGCTGATGGGTCAGGGTGATGATCGCAATTTCACCACCGCCTCGAGCTCATTCGCAGGAAAGGTATCACAGAAGACATCCAGCGATGACGTTGACGACCCAGATTCAATAAGCGAAGACTCGAAGGAGATTTATACGTCCTTGAGACAGACTTTGTAGATTTCGAGGAGGTCTGAACGATCTGAACAGCTGAAAGGCTGCTCACGGAAGAGTTTAGTTTCCGAACCATCACGGCATCTTCCGTGAATGTGGGAAAATATCCCGTTCCTGGCCCAACCACGTAAACGGTAAAAGATCACCAACTGCAAAACAACTCCCTGTTCGGAAAGTCACTATTGCTGCGAGCCCTGACCGCATATTGAGTACCAGCCTTTTTGATGTACGTGGGCGGATGCTCGATTTTTTTTGCTCGACTTTTGTCATAAGTATGCGCTGCCTAGCATCAACGTTATTACCAACTTGATGCCAGTGAAAGGGCACTCCCTGTCACGAACTCAGATGTAGACGATACCTACCAACTATTTTGACTGAAAAATAATGATAAACTGAACTTCTGTACTCCCGAGGCCGATGCCCACATAAACTCCCCACACTTCCGACCATACTACAGCCGTACGCATCTCGCCGGCAGCGGGACATGGGTAAGATGATATCTATCTTTGAACAATGCTTCGAGGTCCCTCGACAGCTCCACTCGAGTATGAACGTATTCTCAGTTTGTCCATAAAGCACATCTATCACTTCTTGATTTTTCAAGAGGTCCGAACTCAACGGAGCCTGGGTTCAAGCACACCTTGGTATTCTTCGAGCCGCAACTGGAGTGTTATCACACGATTCTCGAATCATCGTGTTCCGCGCCTCACCCCGCGCCCCGCCCCATACCCCACTCGAGGCCCATAACTCCACGGTCATGATAGATGAGCGGTCTGGGCGATTTGAGTCGGCGGATTGTCGTCCTACCTGAGTGAGGACTCCTTCCGAATTGCGCTGTGGGGTTACTATGATGTCGACGTGGTTATTTCCGTTGTACATCGCCAGTAGGAAAGGTTATAAGTCGGGAACATTATTACTGTGCACCCAAATATCCTGGCGAAATGACGACAGTCACGGCACCGAGCAAAGGCCACTTTGGATATGTACAATGATAGACCCATGGACATTGATCCTGTTTCGAGTGGTGTACCACTCACTCACGTATACCAGCCTTTCCATCACTTAATACGCCAGTTAATAGGGTCAGAAAGGATTATTGAAGAATGACATAGATATTGTCGCGCGTTTACTATCGTGATACAGCCAATATATGGAAGCAAGAACCTAGCATGGAGGTTAGGTAACCTCAGAAATAGCCTTGGTTGCGGAAAGGACCGGCAGCCATCTAAATTACATTCTCTACAATGTTCTACACGTACGATAAGCCATATGAGTAAGGTCAATGACGGCTGCAACGACCGTTTCGGTGATCAGGAGAGAAAGTCACCAGAGAAAGCTTACAGGAGAAAGGCTACAGCGAGGACCAGCTCCGAGTCTGTGGTCCCCATCCCGCCTTGCCAAATATATGTCGGCCACAAGGAGTATCTTCATGATGCTTGTGGGGTGATGTTCCTTCTGTTCAGGCGTAAGTCACGCCATGGTATGTAAACGCCCTGATTTGCTATACACGTAGAACAGGTCAAACTCCTATACAATTGGGTTCATGGACGACGAGAGTGTATGTCGAGCGTTCGGCTGTGTGCTCGTAAGTCTTCTGGAAAGCGACTCAGCAGTGAGCCCACGTCCGTCAATCCCGGATGATACCTTGAAATGTAGGAAGAAGAGTCATCTGAATCGCAGCAAGGAAGGGAAGTATTAGAATGAAATCGAGCGATGATTCATCAGTCCAAGTACGAAGATGGCCTTCCGGAGATGACAGCACAATATAGGCCCTTTGAAAGTCCCGGCATGCTTAACAGAACCAGGTACTCCAAAATGGAAAGAACGAAGGAGCGACGGGTTCGACGTGGAAGACGACAAGCTGTACGCAAGCCCAGCATCGCCATGAGCGCGTAGGCGCTTATTCTAACGTGCACAGCACCCCGTAATGGACCCACAAAAGACTTCAAAGCGTGCGCGTCTCGAGACGATGCATCGGGCCTCTCCTAAATCTGTTCCACTCTATCAGGTGAGGCTGGACCCTCCAGAAATAATCAGGCTGTGGACGTATGTTAGCAGTGTTGCCGACGAGAGCGTAGTGTGAATGAGTAACGATGCCCAATCATTGCAGTAAGCGTAGGAATCGTTGGGCGATCCTGCGCATATGCATAAAAATGAGTCGGTGGCCGGTAGCACAGAGAATCCGACCGTTATACTACGATGCGTGTGGAGACGGGCTGAGCGTGGAACGCAAGTATACCTTCGTGGCGGGGTGAGTAGGAGAGTACGGCGCTTCGTTCGTGCGATCAAAAATCTTTCTAACTCGAAAGGCTGTCCGTATCCTGGGATTCTAGTCCAAGCCAGACAGTGTCATGGAAGTGTCTGTATTAAACGAAGGGTGCATGAGGCAGAGGCACGCATATAGCTATTGCGGTAGACAAGGACGACGATACCGGTTTTACCAGCGCATGTGCATCGAAAACGTATATGGACGGAGCACCCAAATGGAAAACAAAAAAAAAGAAATTCTTGCACGAACACTGCATGAGAAACCACACAGGCTTGTCCACTCTATACTGTGCACGACACGGATTCAGAGTCGAACGGGTGATAGAGGTAAAGCCCACGACCTGCAATGACATCGAACACTGGATGCGGCGGGTTTAAACATGTGCTAGCAAGCAACGTTGCTGTGCTTAATGTAGACGACCACGCTGGGCAGAGGGCCACTTTACCCTGAAATGGTTGCATTGGTTTTAAGTCGAGGCGATGATGCTGGAACGACAAGAACCGGTTCGATATCAGGTCAAATTCGCGATGCGTATGCCGTGCTTGGGCATCCTCAAACACAATTGCCCTGATTGCAGGCTAACGCCATGTGGATTGGGAACTTGGTCTAGCCATGAGACGACCACACCTGGAAAGCGTGAGGACTCGAGTATGTCGCCGGCCACGTATTAGTACTCATCCGCGGCCGGTACTTGTTCTCTGTCATAAGTAACGAGTAATTGGTGAGTCTGTTGCATAAATCAGGGAACTGCCGCACTCGTCAAGTTTGTATGAAGTTCAAGAAGATAAATTTTCAGGGAGGACCGGTCGGACAAGCTTGGGTTGGGACAAGTCAAATGCTTTTTACTAGTTTTTACTACCTAAATTCACCCGAACGCTCAACGGACGTTGCCGACGAATTCGAACTCAGCGGGGACCAATGGAAACAAAGCAGTGCAGCTCATAGGCACGCGGCGTACTACCAGTTGCATCCGAACCATCCAAAACCTGTCGATATTCTCTGGGTCGGTACACTGTAACGACACTTTTAACCCATTCGCTGACTTTTTGTCTACATACTATAGGCCCTGTTCGAAACCCAAGTTAGTCTTTCCGAGGGGAGTCAAGTCTGTTGATCGTACATAAATCGAATCAAGTCCACCACACCGATGCCGCCGACGACAAAGTAAGAGCAAATCATGTATAGGCCAATTATCTTATCGAAGTAATACGTACTTTTACCCCTTAGTGATGAATTTTGGACCACGACTGAAAGCCAGAGGCTGACCGCGGTTACAGATCACGTCGTCCAAGCCTCGAACGCAGATATCACATCGACAAGGCAGTATATGGACAACGAGCTGCTCTCACTTGAACGCTACAGGCTCTCCATTCTGACCCACAAAAATCTACTCGCACCCGTCTCTCGTATACCACCAGAAATTATGGCCGCCATCTTCGCTCTTGTGGCGCCACTCTTAGACTCGCGCCTCGAACTCGAGAGGACCTACAATATGGGTCCCTTTCAAGATCATGTCGAACAAGATCGTGCTCGGGAGCTCGAAGATATTCGCTCGCTCATCTCCGCATCTCAGGCTTGTTCTCGATGGAGGGATATCGCCTTGCGCTGCGCGACGTTATGGGCTAACGTTTGGCATGAGAACCCTTGGTGGGGCCAGGAGATGTTGAAACGTGCACGCAGCGTTCCACTCCAGTTTTTTTCTATCCACTCATCCGGTACCGACGCTTCCATCCGTAAAATCATTTCGTCCCACACCTTCCGGAGGTTATGTGCACCTATCGACGACACGGACTTAGGAGACGCACTTTCACGCCCTGCACCATGGCTCGAGATCGCGCATCTGGCTCTCGGTGCTCTCCGAACCACTGATCCTTGCATTCCATCCCATCTCTTCTTCCGAAACGCCCCCCGCTTGCGCTGCTTGCGTATCGAAGGCGACTTGGGCTATGGCGAACTGCTACAATCCCCCATTCTCCATAACCTTTCACGCCTAGAGCTCTATTCTGAACACACGCGCGCCCCAATTCCGTCCATCTCGCACCTGCTTGATGCGCTCAAGCAGATGCCGCGTCTTCAAGTTCTCGCTCTCGAGGATGTCCTTCCCCCCCAGCCTCTGCAACTGCAAGCATCTACATCTGCTTCGGAAAATATTGTTCAATTGCCGCACCTTATCCATCTCAGCCTCCGAGGACTTTCTGGGGGATGCGTAAATCTCGCGCAAAACATTGTTGCTCACCCGGATTGCCGCCTCGAATATTACATTTGCCATAACGGCGATGTCGACCTGTGTTTGCCAACAGCTACCATTCCTCCCCTTATCAACGTAGTCCCCGGCTTCTCGTCCATCCCTATGCGCGCTCTCTGGATGGACCTCGAGTCCTGCATGGCTGAGCCTTATATAGCATGTTGGAATGTCGGGTTTTCCTGTCTGGGCAGCAGCTTTGATACGGACATGAATAATGGCAAGAAGTTCGGCGCACAGTACTCTGATTACGGGGATACCGGTGATGCATACCACAGGGAGGAAGTGGACTATGACATCGTGACCCGCATTTGCGATCACTTACGGCTGGACTGTGTGGAGGACCTCCGCGTAAACCAGAGGCTCCGCATCACCATGTCTCGATTCGGATTTTGGCCCCGTCTTCTTCGCCGTCTCCCTCGCCTCGAGAGACTTATCCTAGGCGCAGCCTCATCCCTCAAGATACTCGAACTGATAGGAAACCCTTCAGCTTTCTCCGCTCATATTGCCATCGAGCAGCAAGCGGAAGAAGACGTTCCACTTGTTCCACTTTTATTTTGTGTTTGCCTTCCGAATTGGGGATTCCATCCCAGTAATCCAATCCCGGAGCGCTTGCTCGACTGCCTCCGCGGCCTTTCCTCTCGGGTCGGAGGCCTTCCTCTACGCGAACTTCATATCGTCAATTGTAGGATCACCGCAGCCCAGGTCGCTTCTTTCGAGAGTGTTGCAGAGTCGGTGATATGGGACGGTATCACTGGAGGCGACTATGCCTGCATAACGTACAACCCTGATTTCGATTCTGATGAAGATGAAGATGACGACGACTAGGCTTAGGAGGTCCGTTCTTTACTTTCTGCACGTTTCGGCTTTCTGCACGGGCTCAACTTCATTCAAAATCAGGGGTTTGTTATGTTCTAGCGCTCAGACTAGCGCATGTTCGTCTTTCGTACGGACAACATTGGAAGGGCACCAATTTCTGGCTTTTGTTTAGTAGGAGTTTATATGCCCCGTATCGGTTCATCATGATATTCGACTACTCCTTCGAAGGGGATATACACAGGCTCCCTACATGTGTCCGAGAATAGCAGTGACTTGTGTTTTGTAGTATTCGTCCCAAGGTCTCCCTAAAACTAGTCATTAGCCGAAGGTTCACAAAGGGAGCATGGCGCAAATGCGGTTTGGCGGTCTCGGTGGACGGGCGAACATTTCATCCACAATCACCAAAAAGCTCCCGGGTGCGACGTAAGGCAAGGGTATCGGCACCTCCTTCACTTGCAAGGTATAAATGACTGTCACGACATTGCCTAATGTTCGCTCTGCTTGCAGACGAGGCAATGAAGCGGTCTAGCAGCGTCACAAGTCCGTCAAGAAGAGAACTCGGCATATCATCGACTCGGCGTCACAAACGTTATCGTACACATAAATGATACACCACATTGAGAGACCTGGACTCCATCACTCCAACCGGCTTTGCATGAAATGGGGTGCGAGATGCTTAGCAGCTGCAAGCCTTGCCGGAGTTGGCGCAGTTGCAGTTGCTCCCACTGCCCCCGCAAGAGCACTAACAAGATACATGTCCCAGTTAGCGTGGCGAAAAAGAGGGGGGGTGTACGAGCTGCACATACCGAGGAGGCGTGGGCCTTGTTAACGCAGCTGGAGCACTGGCAGGAGCCCTTGGCACAGCTGCAGCTGTTGGAGGAGGAGGATCCGCAGGAACTAGAGAACAGCAAACTGAGGATGAGCGTAGGTTCGGACGATAACGACGGTAGACATACGAGCAGTTCTGTTCACAGGAGCAGGCCATGACGAATGAGAAGGATAGATTGGGTTGAGTGGGTGGAGTGTGTGTGTGGTTGGGATGATTGGGGATGCTGGGTGAGCTGCTGTTAGATAGGGCGAATGGACGAGTTTATATACTGTTTGAATTCTATCACGGGCGGAGCAAAAGTCACACTATGACGATAGCATTGAGGTAAACGAGTTTTTTTTGCGCTCAAAGGTGGTGTGGGAGCATGGCAGCGGTGCTGAGGACATACGAGACCGATCGAGGGTGTCGGCCCCTATCCGAATCATTTGTTCTAGCCGCAGAAGGATGCAATCTAAGGTCATGCACAAAGCTTGAGGCAATAGTGCCGCAGTTGTGAGGCATTTTAAGGACAGGGGCCTCAGAGCGGGGGTAAAATGATGGAGTAGACCACAGAAAGCGGTCAGGTTCAACCAGATTGTCTATTCAAAGACAACTGGTTCACATGCGTTATGTGCGTTGTGTGTGTACAGCGTACAGAATCAGACTCATTGTCCGTTATTTTTATGTGTCCTGGATAAGCTAGATAGGAACAACGAATGAACGAAGACCGCAGAAGAGCTTGAGGTTGAGTTTACTGATGATTGTGAGAGGCATTGTGCTTCGGAGATTTCCGAACGCACCTCCCACCGTCACGTCTTGCAGCTTTGTGGCACACGCTACACTTGTTTCCAACTTACGCTGACCCGAACTTATGATTATCTAGAGGACCCATTCACTGCGCACTAGCTCTGGGGACGTACTACTAAGACTGTATTCAATATGAATTCGTACCCTCCAGAGTTGCTTGTACAGCTGGCTCCCGTGATGTTCGTGGCTGGCCTCGACGTTCCCAATCCGAATCCAGCTACACCTTCGACAGAGCCAGAAATAATTGTCGCATCTCCCTCTCCGACACCACCATCTGTTCGTCCACAACAAGACCCTTTCACTATCTTGATCTTACGTCTCCGAGACGCGCTCAACGCTCAACGCAAAGTGGCAGTGTGGCAACCAGAGAAGGCAAAGACATTTCAAGTCGTTCTCGTGGATAAGGCGAGGCAGTGATGTTGCTCACCCGTAGTCTGTATACTTACGTGTATTTGAACTCCAGGCTGTCAATTTTCCGCCACGCAAACTCATTCCACCAGACGCCGACGTACACCATTCAACTGTTGCTCACTCTCCCCTCTCGCCCCTCACTCCCTCGTCACCATTGCATCCAGACGGTCTCATCGCACCGATCTGGATTCGAAAACACACGGCCCTCGTCCCGTCTGTCTTTGTTTTGTTCATCCGACTTTATGAGACCCCTGCACAAGGTCCTCGATCCCCTCTCGATATTGTCGACCCGGAACGGGAAAGAGAGAGGGAGCAAGAGGAGCGGCGGAAGGATGCCGATCTGAGCGCGGAGGTGGCGTTGAGGAAGAAGGCGACGAACGAACGAGGAATCAAATTGACGGTCGTGCTCATTGCGAGCAGGAAGATGTTAGGTTCGTTCATCACGATTACGTAATAAAACAATAGTGTATTCACTCTCAAATCGCGTATAGATGATCCTGCGCTGGATGCCAGGCTGACTTTTATTCGGAGACAAAGTGGCTTGGACTCGAGAGCCGCCCTCTTCGTTTTAAGCCCAGTAAGTCCAGCAGAGCTAAGCGATTTCGTGAAAAGGTAAACCTCACCGCCCGGTGCCCTCGATGGCTGTCGACTGATTGACTTCAGCCTCCAACAGGCCTTATACGAACCTGCCGTAGACTACTACACAAACCACTCCAAACGGGTCCGACGGAAACGGAATCGCCACACACAGGCTACATCCTCTTACGTCGGTCTCATTTCGCCCGCGAGTGTGGCAAACATCGCTCGTCCACTTAGGCCAGAAGGATGGACGGTGCGGTACGAATACAAGATGGCATGTTTTGCAGAGTTCAGAGGCGAGGATGAGGTCGCGCTCAAGTCCGTATCTTTATACCCAACCTCTTCGTTGTGAGAAGAGGGCAACTGAGCAGCTGCAGACATTACCAGGATTCGTATTCGACACTGGTGATTATGTTCGGTTCGACAGCTATCTTACCGCCGAGGACGAAGAGGTGGGCTGAAGCCAAGGTTTTGGCCGATTGCATCAATATCAAGGTTCGCATCATCTTCGTGTGGCGTGTGGCCTAAGTGCTAATCGGCGCCCGCAGATATGCAAGCTCTACCTGTATAACAATGAACACGCCTTAGCACTCTCGCAACACACAATACACATGAGAAAATTCGGTGACTTTTCCAGAGGATGGGGAATCGGCGAAGATACTTTTGAGTTCTGGAGCTGGATCGCACGGCAGTAAGTATCATTGATCCTTTCTTCCATGCGCCACCAAATTTGTTTATTACTGTAGACATCGCGTCTTCGCCGAACTCCTCGAACAGGGCACACGCTCGACACTCATCATTCCATCACACCTTCCTCTCACCACGGCGTCGTCCTCCGCGAGCTCTCTCGCTGCCGCATCGTCCGGTTCATCCCTTGCAGTATCTCAGAGTCTGCGATCTGGTATAGGGGCTGGAGGTGCAGGAGCGTTGGAAGTGGATGCGATGCGGGTGTTAGGCCTGAATCCGAGCCATGCGTTGCAGCATCCGGGGTTCTCATATTATATGGCAGCGAGGGCGACGGAGAAGAGGAGGGAGAGGTTGATGGCTATGATCGAAACGGTGATTGTTTCCTTCTGAGATAGTATTTCTGAAGTTTGAACTGACATTCTAGCCGTAGACATCTGAACAGAATTTGAACAATTCACCTGGGTTTGCAAATGAGAGGAAGGTCGATCATCTAACGATAATTCTCGAGGTAAGTTCTGTCTCCTGTCACTGTTTGGCTTCGTTTCAACTCATCGTACGTGTGACGTAGCTCTTCACGAAATCGTATGAACTCTTCAAAAAGTACTCCCTCCCCAATGGCCAAGGTCAAGGTCGTCTCACGTTACGTATCGCATACCGCATAGCGCAAACATACTACGAGGCGGGTAAATTCGATATGGCTGTGAGGTCAGTTGTTTCTTTCGAGCATTTTCTATCTATTTCAACGCATAGTCTTCTACTCGAATGCTAACTGTCATAATGTCAATTGTCTAGGTTCTTTGAGCGTATTGCACGAACATACAGGAGGGAGAAATGGGGTTCCATGCTGAGGCCTCTCCTGTCGACATGGTACGCTTGCGCGCAACAGTTGGGTGATGTGGAGTTGAGCGTGAAGCTGTTGGTTGAGATGCTTGCCCATGGTTAGTCCGCCAATCAATCATACCGGTGTATGTGGTATTTACTGTTATGTGATACAACTAGGAATGGCGTTCAGCTCGGATGAAGAGGAAGGAGCTGCGGAAGAGGATCTGCTCGCCGTACTCAAGGTTCGTCCCTTCTTTAGATTCAGCTGTCACACGACGTCCCTCATTGTCCATGGTCGTCTATGCCTGATAGAGCACAGTACCATCTTCACCAGACGAGCCTTTAGTGGTCGACCTCTCCGATTCTGAATCAATATGTAGGCCCACTTATTTCTTCCACTCGCCAGGACTTTCATTAACTCCGCTAAATATTATTAGTCACCTCAACAACGGTATTCTGGGACTCGGAAACGAGTGTCGATGTACCCTCAGCATTTCAGATCTCTTTGAACCCGCCTAGCTCTGTGTCGCTTTCCAATTTAGCGTTTTCATCCCTCGCTATCACGTTCTCGCATGATGAACGACCACTTGTAATAACACACTCGGACGACCATAGTACAGAGGGTGCACTTTCCGAAGATTTGACGAGGGTCATTCGGGTGGGAACGATATCGCCTACGAGCGACACCCTAGGTCCGGAGGATGTGAAGGCCAATTTGAGATGGGGAAGGGGCACCACAGTCGTCATATCCGGCACGGTGATGTCCAATATACCAACTACATTGAATGTGAGCGAGCGTTTCACGGTCTCAGTCATCACGGGGGCTGATTCAGGGCGTCTTGCTGGCACATTTAGGTTTCAAATATCGTCCTGACCCTCCAAGAAAGTGCGTGGAGAATCGAAATTCCCATTCAGCCGACTTCGACTAGCGAGGGTAAACCGAAAACTCCTCAGTGGCTTGCGTCTGTTGATCCAGCGCGCTTTGTACCCGTGCGAAGGGAGCATTGCCATGAACTGCTGTGAGTCAAGAGTTGCGCGTCCGGCATGGTTATATGTTGATCACTTGGCTGCATACAGCATCCGTCATCGCCCACATCTCCTCCAGGTGGCTCTGAAACACTATGCACCTGCCTTTTTGGATGAACAGTATCCGATCGTAATTGATGTGACAAACGTGGATACACGGCCTCTAGATGTTGTGCTAGACGTACTCTTGCAGCCCACTGAGATTGACGAAGCTGGTACGTATGGACAACTATCTACGATCCGTTTTTCCCGAGAGCTAACTATGAATTAGTCAACGATATTCGAATCGATGAGGAACGGTCGTCGGGGCTGATCAAGGGTATCGCCCTAGGGATTGTTCCTCCAGGAGTCTCAGTCCTGAAGACACTCTATCTCCACAACACAGGAGCACCAGGAGATCGTATACTCGATATCTCTATTCAGTCTCGTTTCACCCCTTCCTCCCTAGCATCGACACCAGACACTGTGCCTCCTAGCCCTCTCTCCCCATCTGATGACCACCGCGATACTACCGAAACGCTTGAGACGCTCGTTATACCCACTACAGAAGCTATGAAATTGAGCTACGACGTGAAGTACATGAGCACGGGAACAGAGACTAGGATGGCAGGGTTAATGGATCTTGAGGCGTACGTGGATGAGTACTGGGACGATCGCGATGGCGGGGTCGCATGTGTGGAAGCAAGAATGGAGTGTGTTGGTCCATGGAGTTTGAGCGTCGAGAAGGTCAGACTGGTGAGGAAGGTACGCGAATTCCCGTTGTGTTTCGTCTCTTCTTGCAACTGTGGTCAAGAATTCACCATGCATCCTCTAATGTTATGTTGTGCGGTATAGCCTGGACCACATGCGAAGGTATTAGACTGTTCAGTTGATGAAGATGAAGACGAAATTGCGTCAGGTGGGGAGTGCTGTGACCACTTTCAGCTAGGATCTGAATAGGTGCTAACTTTCCAATATTCGTATAGACTGGCTTCCTGGGGATGAGTTTGCAGCCATCTGCCGAATTAGTCTTGCACCAGAAGACGAACCCGGAGAAGACGACGCGATTGCCGGCCCAGGAGAGTATGAGCTATCGTGGAGGAGGTAAGGTTGAAGCTTTTGATGATCCCCAAGGTCATTCGTGCTGAACTTGCCATGAATGCAGAGTTCTGCCGAACGGCGAACATGGACCTCTTTGCATCAGTACTTTTCCTCTCCCAATACTCCAACCACCACTTGGCGGTCTGGTGGCTCTTCTATCTATCCCTTCATCCGCCAAACTCCACAGGCCCTTCCAAGCGTCGCTGACCATCCGAAATCATCACCCGACTCGCACTGCCACAGTCAGTGTCCAGCTGGAGCCCGACGCCACTACTGATGCATTCCTAGTCGCCGGCTTGCGTAGTGGACGGATCCCCATCTTGATGCCAGGGGCGGAAGAAAAGTTGACGTGGACCTTTATCCCAGTCGAATGTGGGTTTGTGCGGATACCCAAGATGTTCGTTACAGACAAGAGGTTGGCGGAGCCACGTTCTGAGGACGTACTCAAGGCTCCAAGCCAGGACGAGGTCGGGAAGCCTGTGAGGATCATAGATACGAGGAGAGAGTGGAGAGATCAGGAGGATGTTCAAGGGGCGTATGGCACGGTGAATGAGTTGCAGGACATCCTGGGTGGGAGAGCACCTGGTGGTGAAAGCATGAGTGGGATCGAGCCAATTCTTGTACTACCCTGACACTGTACGAGTCCCGTTGAGCATACTGGGATCTATAAAATCATTGCCGAAGAATTTCTTTCCATGACTTCGCCAGTGGCGACCATACATAGTACATCTTACACGAGTTACAAAAGGTGCTACGATATCACGGCTTCATGGTCTTACGCCTTTGTTTGATCCAGTAACCACTTTACCCCCTCTACATAGTCCTTGACGAACTTTTGAGCAGCTTTCATGTGTCTCATATGCATCTGGGAGCGATAAAGGCTGAGATCAATTTGCCTCTGATGTTTGTAGATCGAGTGCGTACCTGGAAACCGTGAGGAAGCCCTGGGTAACTGTTTGGGACAGCGCCCGTTAGTACTAGAACCGTGGATATTCCTATGATAATACAGCATACACGTAGGTCCTAGTTTTGACTCCAGATTCCCTTAGCACACGTTCATATAGAAAGTCCTGGTCTCGCAAGGGATCCATTCCGCATATCATCATAACCATCGGAGGAAGATTAGAGTGTGAAGGGAATAGGATGGGGCTAAAATTGGGGTCCGTCGCGCTTGCTTTGGTCAATCCTATGTATCCCGTGAAATATGTCAATGGTCTAGATATATGGGAAGAACTCCGCTCGTATACGATACAAGGTGCGTACCAGCATACCAAGAGCAGTCGCCTCCAGTAAGCATAGGCGCCGTCGGGTCGTTATTTTGCTCCATCGAAACCAGCTCCTCTTTGTAGCTGTCACAAGAAAAGATCAACGGTCAGACCAGCACGGACAACACCGAAAAGGTTGTATATTACATGCTCTCGGATGCAGGATGCAAGACCAGAGGGTATTGCAGTAGTTGTCCGGTCAGGCGTTTGCCCTCTCCCTGAAAGAATGGATCATCCCTTGCCCAGTGGGAGAGCACAGCGGCTATTTCGCCTCCTGCCGACTGCCCGGAGATTATGAAGCCTTTAGCGGGGGACGCGTGAAGCTCAGGAGCGTTCGTGAGAGCCTACGTAGTACGAGATAAACACGACCTTTAGAACAAATCCCAGAGTGCAGGTAGATATTGAATCGAAGCCGCACCCATTTGAGCGCCGCATATGAGTCTTCAATGAAAGTTGGGAACAGATGCTCTGGTGCTCTTCTGGGAGTATATCATGCATTATGAGTTCCTTTCCTCTGTGACCACATATGTGAATAGCAATGATCTGACCTATAGTTGACATTCACTATACATATGCCCACTTCGACGCACATCATCCGGAGGTCGTAGTCATCCTGGTCGATTTGGCCAGCAGCCCATCCTCCCTGGTCACCCAGTCAATACCATCAGCTCAATTGCTTTGAGAAAAGAGGTGACTCTCATATCATGAAGTGCACGTAACTTACTCCGTGATACCAGACTAACAGAGGGGACGTTTCTTCACTCTGTCCAGCAGGTGTAGGAACAAGGCATCGTATCTCAAACTCCTCACCATTGATCGACTCAATCTTGTGATCTAGAACGTTGTATTCAGTATCTGTGATTTTTATAAGTTAGTCGTCTTCCCGTGTTACTCAACAGATATGCGTACCCTTTGGCAAAGAAGGTCCAAGAATTCTTTTGAGCTCGACACCCACAAGCTCGAGTCCTTTTCGTGCCACTGCAACATCGTGACTTTGAGATCTATCTCTACTCGGAAGAGATTTGACCATCTCGGAATATTCGACATCAGGAGTAGACAGGTGCGCGTATTGAGACATCGCTGACTGGGAGATTGAGAGGCTGGAATCAATGGAGAAATGACGGCGGGCTCTCGCTAGATGATCAGGATTGTAATTTCTCGCGACTGTGGGAGGATGACCAAGGGGGCGTTACGATTCCAGGTGGCGGCTAACTATGAATATCTCGCATCTGATTGCGGGAGGGCATGGTGGTCAACCGTGACCCGTGGTAGCGTGTCAAGAGACCGTCTGTACTTACACGCCCCGCTTGATGCCGGCGGAGTGTATTTTCCTCCGCTACCAGTACTGATGTAAGTATATACATGTTTGAATTACGCGCATGCTGCATAAGTGGCAGTTACCACTGCATCCTGACCTTATGATTCTGATATGAAGCCGGAACTTATGTTTGTTCTAGCAACCATTTCACTCCCTCCACGTATTCATTCATGAACTGTTGAGACATACTGATGTGCCTCATAAACATCTGCAAGCAAAAGAAAGGATAAGATCAACTGCCACTAATATTCGAAAATATAGACTAGTGCGTACGTAGAAGCAATGGGGAAGGCCTGGATAGCTGTTCGCAGTACTCATCAGCGCCAATAGCATAGGATCGATACGATAAGTAGTAGAATAACATACATGTATGTCTTGGTTTTAACGCCTGCTTCTCTCAGTACACGTTCATACAGAAACTCTTCATCTCTCAGAGCATCCAGCCCGCAAATCATTATGACCATCGGAGGAAGGTTGGAGTGCGACGTGAATAAGATGGGGCTAAAGTTGGGGTCCCTCGCACCCGCTCCCGTCAATCCTATATTCATCAGGACAAACGTCAATGGCCGGAATATATGATTAAAGTAGTCACTTCCAAGCACGGGTTGCACAAGATACTTACCGGAATACCAACGGATGTCGTCTGCGTTCGCCATGGGGGATTTTGGATCGTTGAACTGTTCCATCGACCGCAATTCGTCTTTGTAGCTGTAGTGACAAGGAGAAAATTCAGACGAGCTTGAGTGCAAAAGGAGAGATGGATGAGTACTGCGTATTCTCAGAGGCCAGTGGATGCAAGACCAGAGGACATTGCAGAAGTTGTCCGGTCAGGCATCTGCCCTCTCCCTGAAAGAACGGGTCGTCCCTAGCCCAATGTGAGAGCACAGCGGCAATCTCTCCACCTGCCGACTGCCCGGAAATGATGAATCCTTTAGCGGGGGACGCATGGAGCTCGGCCGCGTTGGTGAGTGCCTAGGTATAGAGTCGAGACAATCATCGAGAAAAAATGAGATCAATACTTGAGGAATTGACTACGCAGACAGACCCATTTGAGCGCCGCATACGAATCTTCCATGAAGGTTGGAAACGGACACTCTGGTGCTTTCCTGTTTGTTCTATAAGTTATGTTCTCATTTGTGACCGAACATCGATCTGACCTGTAGTTTACGTTGACTATAGAAATGCCCACTTTGACGCACAGCATCCGGAGGTCGTAGTCATCCTGGTCCATGTGTCCAGCAGCCCATCCTCCCTAGTATTTATCCAGTCAGTATCAGCTCCATTCCTCTGAGCGAAGAGGTAAAGCGTATATCGTTCTGCACACGTACCCCGTGATACCAGACTAACAGGGGGAACGTCTCTTCACTCATTCCAGCAGGAGTAGGAACAAGGCATCGTATCTCGAACTCCCCACGATTGATCGACTTGATTTTGTGATTTACAATACTATATTCGCTATCTATAATGATTTCAAGTCAGTCGCCTTCCTGTGTTGCTTAACGGTTACAGTGCTCACCTTTGGGCAGTTGGGGCCTCAGAACCTCCTTGAGTGTCACGTCTAAGAGTTCGAGTCCTTTGCGTGCTACTGCGACATCGTGACTTTGAGCTCTATCCGTACTCGGAAAGGACTTGACTACTTCTGCGTACTCGGGATCAGGAGTAGACAAGTGAGCCATTGTTGCAGATTGCGCCTGAAGTCAATTGGATACTAGAGAAGGTGGACTCGCTGTACTAAATAGTGCGACAGCCTGCGTGCCATGGTGGCCTTCGCCGTTACAGTATGAGGGCACAGGGTCCATCAATTTGACGGATCTTGAGTCAGAAGGACACAAAGATGGTTGTCAGCTATGGGTGATAGGCGACTCACCTCGCAGTGGACACACAATGGACACACAATGGGGGATTTGGATGTCGAGCCTTCGAGGACAAATGTCGTCAGCATTGCAAGTCGTACTTTCTCGCGCCACAGGTGTGGTCCGACTTCTGTGCTCGATGCAGTTATTCAACATACTTAGCGGGATCCATCGGAAGATTGAGCCCGATGTCCACGACAGTCGAATTGTGATATATCCATCTGGCCACAACATTGCCTGGAACCCATGGGGTAATACGCCACCTGCTAGACAATGAAACACGGTCAGGACTCAGTAGAATGTTCAACTCGCGGCAGTTATGTGATTCACATTGTGTCCGTACATCTTTGTCGTGATACCTGAGTCTTTCAGGGGTCTCTCGTAGAAGAACGAGGAAAAGTGTCGTCTTTGGCCACTCGTAAACGTTATGTTCCGGGGACACTAGAGAACAATGTGTCTCTAGATGTAGGAACGGGCAAACTGGTCTCACCGACGTCTAGTAGGTGCAGGACTGCTATGAGTCACCTACCCCAGAACATAATTCGTCGAACTACTTCGAATTCACTGAAATAGCTCTTGTTCATCCTTACATGTGGGGAGCAGGGGCCTGGAGGCTATGGACCCCGTATAAGTCACGTTTGGGTAGGGAGAAGGAAACACATGAGTCACAACCAAATCCATTCACTGGCCAAAACAGGTCTCATCAAGGTTCACTGAAGCTGTGACTGGTCTACACGTGAACTTGACAGCAATGAGCGGTTCACGTCATCCCTATAGACAAGCTGCCGACCGCGTTCAGCTGAGAGAGACGCTGAAGCTCTCAATAATGAGGTCCGCAGAACCAACGAAAGGTTCCGTCCCCGTCTGAATAGCTTGTAGGAACTGATAGCAGAGTAAGCGTGAATAAAGTCTAGGCTCTGGCAGATGATACGTACCTGGGAAGTAGAAACTCCCTGATTAGCTACCAAATATTCTGGAGAACACGAAATCTTCAGTCTTTTCCCGATGGTGCAAGCGATGGGCGACCACCAGCTTACCGAAGAAATCGTTCAGGTCTGAGGTGAAGCTGGTGATGTCCCCATCGGCACTGACAAAGGAAAACACCTGTTCAGAGCAGCACAAAAAGTCCTCAAACACCGCTCTTCTTGAATACGAGTACAAGGTACAAACCTCCCAATTGGCGTTAGGGCCACTCCAGAGAGTCCAGTTATGTCCACCGATCTGGATACCAGACGTATTGACGGAGCCGACGGGTTGGATGCTGTTCCATAGCAGCGTTAGGACTATTACGAAGTTTAAGTAGGTGCATCACCACTCACCCGCCAAGGCCTGACAGCCAGATCATACTGTTGACGATGATGACGGCCACAGGCGATAGAATGAACCAGTTAGTGCTCAGAAATGAAAAAAAAAAAAAAAAAAGAAGAGCAGCCCCCGACGTAGACGTACATTTCATAGGAGGAGGCGGTAGTAGCAGGAGTGCCGTCCGGAGTGGTACCGAGCCAGATGTCGTATCTTTCGAGCTACACATGAGAGCAAGGTCATACACCAACAAGAATTGCTTACGACACATCAGCACGAATATCCGACGATTTTGTGGCATACGTCCAGTTCCACGCGGTTGGCACACTGGTGATGTTTGAGAGTTGCGCTCCCTTTACAGTGCTCGACTCTACATTTGCATCTGCGAGGCAGTTCAGCGCACGCACCGAGGGCCGCCAATATATTGGTACACACGTACAACTCTTGACATTGTTAGGGCCATTGGCCCACGTCCAGTTGGTCATCCACGACACCTCGTTGCCAGAGGTGCTGATCAACGTCGAATTTTGACCACCAACGCCGGCGGCTAGCCATAGCCACAGTCATCAAAGAGTATGTAACGCGATACAAGAGGGATATATACATACCTGCTCCCCACAGGTTTTGGCATAGTGTATATTCGCCTGCAGCCTCGCATGTGAATGCGCCAGTAATAAGCTGAGCGCTTGCGGTGGCGACGCACAACAAACCAACAAAGACCGAAGACAGAGAGAACATTTCTGCAGAGATGGAACTTGCTAGTCAGGGTGTCGGAGCGTAAAGACAATGATCCTCTTCGTTCTGAGCCTTCAAGTTTTATGCTGTCCGGATGGTCTCGAATTAGTGCATATAATTGTCGGAGAAATGTGGCTACGAACCTTGGCACCGTAAGACCATTCGAAGCTAGCGAACTTTTGTTGGTGATGCGGGCTTTTACTCGCATCGCTAAATAATTAGACCAAGACCAAGGTGGCTGATGATGACCCCACATTGCACCGCGCAGAATCAAGTGAGTTGGCTCGTGCCATCCAATGCGCTTCGAAAAGCACCGGATACTACCGAGGTATATCCAGCACGTATGTTGAAGGGGAGAGGACATCAGAGAAGCATTAGCACAACTCGGAAACTCTTTCAAATGTGACGCTATCCCGAGATTCGGTTGGAAGAAGTAAGACGCAGACATGACGGAGCCGACAACATCCCTAGGTTTGCATTACAATCCAATTATATTTCCTTGCAGTCAATATACAATTGCACAGAAGAGGGAACTTAACTCCTCCAAGGCATGCGGAGGGTCTCGAACGAGATGCACAGAGGCAGAGGACGAACACTTGGCGCAGGACAAAGTTCGGTTGGGTAGAGAAGACGAGATACCCGAGGAAGGAGTGAGATCAACAGAATCGAGTGTCAGACTTCGGCGTAGTACCGTATCACAAATAACTATGAGAACTCACCGGTTACGGAGAAATGCAAGCTAACACGACCTCAAGGAGGTCTCAAAGCTTCAAGGTCCCTTTCCTTTCTCCCTCCCGTTTTCCGCCACATCGGCATCCGGTTTCGTTTTCGAAAACGGCGCGAACTTCGAGCTCTTCCGCGACCATTCCTTCAAGCTCTCGTGGACGCCACTCTTAGGATCGATACCAGCCTTGTCCTTGTCTGGAGCGACCGTCAAGAAGTTCAAGACAACCGACCACAGGTTGTTTGCGTTCCACTCGCTCTCCTGAGCCAACACCGCCATGTCCGCGACCCTGGCCAATTCTAACGCTTCCTCAGTGTCTCTTCTCGCCACAATTGAGCTTGGCGGAGGTCTCTCGTCCCCATTCAGCGCCCACGCAAGACTCCAGCTCGCCGATGCCTTCAACAGTCCATCTCCTACCCCCGTCCCATGATCCTGATCTTTACCGTGTGAGTTATCGAGTCGAGGAGTAGATGGCTGTGAGCTGCCTCCTGCGGCTTCACGTTCCCTCTCCAGATAGTGTTGCAACTGCGTGATACGGCGATGCGCATCTTGACTTCCTTGTTTAAGATTCCGCTCCCTCTGCTTTGCGATATGCTTGATGGTCGACGAGAATTTCTTGTCGAACCGTTCTTTGCCATCGACATAGCGTCGAAGAGCACGTTCGGAGAGGGCGCCGATCAGGTCTGGCGGGACTTGAAGGGCCGGTAATTCGTCCTCTGGCTCAAGGGGCCGGATAACGCCTTGCGTAGAAACACGTTCGCGGATCATGGCGTTGTTTGGAGGGGAGAAACCCTGACACCTCATACTTAGCATCCAACGACTGTAAGCAAAAAAGAGAGACGGGCTCACCCAATTACTCTCATAGACTATGGCGTCCCCAGCCATGACGTCCTCCATACCCTTCGAACCTTCCTCGCTGTCTCTCTTCCGCTGCTCTCTTGCCTTCTCTCTCGAAGAACCGAAAAGATTGAACCTCGGTCCCGCCACGTCGTTCGAATCGTTCCTATCCGGCGGTGCGTCCTCCAGTGCTCGCTTCGGAACAGGAGGAGCAATTTCCTTCTCGACAGCGCCATCGCCAATCCCTCCACTCACGGTGGCGTTGCGGGCTAAAGACGCGCCCTTTGCAGAGCCAGATCCAGAGGCCTTGAGGCTCCGTCCTGTCCGTATTGTCGAAGCAGCTTTCGAGAGACCGCTATGCCAGCTCCGCGCTGACTCAACACGTTTCAAGCTCCATGTGGACTTCTTGTCGTCGGACACCCTCCCTTTCCCGTTCACGTTGAACTGGATGTTCGTTGGAGAGCTGAGCGAATTCACGGGCGAATCGAAGGACTGGCTCTGCGAAGGTGGTGTCGAAGGTACAGAAGGTACGGGTGGTTTGATATGTTCGCCGTTCCACGGCGCTCGAAGGTTCGATATGGGTGCCGAGCGAACTTGAATCTCTAGACTGTCGTCTCGTGAATTCGGGAGTGCGAAATTGTTACCGTCTGATACAAAGGCTGCACCAGACGTCGAGGCAGATGCGAGGCTGGACCTCGAAGCCCCCATTGACTGGGCCCCACTGACGCCCAACGATGCCTGCTTCGTGTCCTTTCCGTTATTACCCTCCGGCGCAGGAACGGCAACTACACTCCTTCCATCCGCTGGCGTAAGCTCCCCAGGAGATGATGATACAGGAATCGGATCCCCGGAGTGAAGATCGGGTACGGACACAGGTTCGTCAAGGAAGGGGATAGTTGACGCGGGGGTCATCTTGGTGACGTGCTTGCAGAAAGACGCGATGGCGCGGTAGCAGTACTTAGCGGGAGTAGTGAAGGAAAAGAGGACAGGAAGAACGTGTGCTGCATCTGTGGTGAGAAGTCAATGCGTTGAATGGTTGAATGGGGTGCTATCAGTCGCACAGGGAGGACGAACCGTCGTAGACCTGTAAATGTACAGAAGAGGGTCCGTATCGAGACTCGATACCCTTCAGGGCGGGATACATCGCCCTCACTTCTTCCCTGATCGGATATTTATCCGGGTACGCTGCTTTATGTGCACTGTCCCATGCACATTCATGGTTCAGCAGACGAGTAGACGGTGTCAAAAGGCAGATACTTACGCGAAGATCACCTCGTCTCTCAACACCTCTCTATCGCTCGCTATGAAGAACAACGGGCACAAACCTCCCAAATAACTCAAGCACGGGCTGACAAGCGGATGCCTCAACACCGAGTTCGGGGCATAAAGCTGAATTTGTTGGGTGATCTCGATCCTCTTCCCGTCGACTGTGTCTAGCCAAATCAGTTCATCTTTCATCCCACTACGGCCTTCATGATGGGCACCAGGGCCTTCACTAGTCACGCGATTAGGCATTGGTAGTGACGCGGTGCTGCCCACGTCCATGGGTCCGTCCTTTGTGGGTAGCGTACGGCCCGTCGATTCTGTCGATTGTTGTGGAGGCCCGAGCATGGCTCCGGACATAACTGATGGATGAGTAAAATTGACGGAGGAAGGTGAGGAGGGGTGGAACGGTTTGCGAGAACGATGGAGAACAGTATGGACGGCACGGTGGAGACGGTCACGGACGTGCGTAGTCAGGTCATCTGAGGGTGGTGGCCAGAGGGCAGAGGGTTTGTGAAGGGAGAGGCCGGTGGCTGGGATGACGTCCTGATCGTGCCACGCAAAACCAATTATATGTTAGTGCCGCAATATTCTTTGGAGATTATAGCTGGAAGATATACATACGGTGTCTGTGTTTGTAAATATGCTTGGGAATGAATGGGTGAAATCACACCAAGGAGAGATCAACACAGCGCCCGCTGGCAATGGTAGGCCGGAGTCTCGCAGAACCTGGAGAAGCGCAAGAGAGAGGCCGCCACCGGCAGAATCTCCTGCTATGACGATATGTTCTGGTTTGACGGGTCTATGAGAAGCATCCGGTGGCGGACGAATGAGGAAAAGATCTGTGGGGCAAGGGTGTGGCACACGACGAAGTCAGGAGATTGAGCAGAGCAATGCGTGAGAGGTGTTGAAAGAGACATACATGCGGCTATGAGGTCTTGGATGGCACAGGGGAAAGGGTATTGTGGCGAGAGACGATAGTTGACGGCTGTTGGCCAGTCAGCTTAGGGGAACAGGTTGGAGACTGATGACTACTGACCGAGGACACGGCCATGTATCTTTCGTGCATAACGCTGGATACTGTACCTAGTGGAATACGATAGGATGAGTACGTCAAGTTGTGATGGTTTATGTAGATACCCGCTTACCTTTCCTGGTCAATGCTGCCGAAATAGTAGCCACCTGTAGTGTGACAAGTAGTTATAGACCGTCAGCCAGCACTCATGAGACCACATTAGGTAGAGGAGTGGGAGAAGTATGAAGAATACATACCTCCATGCGAATACAGGATACACCGCATTTCGTCCATCTCCGGTTGGTACGTTCCATTCGGCTCATCATCGTCATCCTGGCTTCCTTCCTTCTTCGCTCTCGGAACCTCACCACCCACATTGTTATCACCGTCCAACACCTCCGGTACCACAGGTTCCGCAGCCTTAGGCTTTCCATTGAGACGGATGCTCAGACTTCTATTCTTCTTCAGTCCCTGCTTGTGCGGTTCCTGCTGCTCTTTGGCTCGTCGTTTGGCCTCTTGCCAATCTTTCTTTGCTGTTAACCATTCAGCATCCACACTAAGCCAGGACCAGAAAGCGAAGGAATATCACCATGTGATGGGGAAGAGTCAGCGTGGTGGTAGGAGCAGGGATGGGAACACATGACGCACCCTTTGATACCGCGAACCTGCCACCATTTAGTGCCGCCGACGGTCTGCTTCATGACCTCTTCACCGCCAAAGGCCTCGATGAGATAAGTGGCTGCTTCATCACAACATGACATGGGGATGACTAGACGAATTGAATGGACCCATGGAGGCGAGGGTGTGCGGGTGTTGGAGAAAGCCTGTAGTTCTTCGACTGTATGTCTAGATATGATGCAGAGTATGCCAGCGCGAGGTCAGCAGAAATCCAAATAACTGGATAGACCACGTACTTGGTTGAGGCGTCAAGGAATTTCTGTGAACGAGAGGGACCAATTAGACACTATTATGATACCCCTCTACCTGCCTATCGGGGTAGGAGAAGCACGGTGACGCGGCATAGCGAACGTCGCGCACCTTGACGATAACGAACGTCTCATCGTAAAGCAATTCATCCTGCCTGAGCTGTATGTTTGTTTTCGATGCATTGTCCTTCCGCATCCTTTCAAAGTAATGCTTCACAAGTGTATCGAGGAAGATAGGGCCAAGCTTCAGACCAGCTTGACGTGTCAACGAGTTCGGCATTACAATAGACTTGATTATACAAGATTATTAGGTTGTTGTACAGCGAGAAAACGTCGAAATGTGGGTGGTCCAAAGAGATGCCAGTACTTCGTCGAGTTGGGTCAGCCAAGCGATCTATTATGTGCGGCCAGCAAGATAAATAGAGTGAAAAGGAGCCTAGGAAAGAATTATTTGAGGTTGAAGAGTAGCAATGTAGTGGTTGGAGGGAGAAGGCGGGCAGAGTATCAGAGCGAACATTGCGTTCATAAGGGTTGCACCTCCGAGAGCCTTGGCGCCGTGTCGGCTCCCTCGCCTCGCCACAACGTGTGCATCATTATTCCTACGGCCGGTTGTGGCGCCGTCCGCTCCATCCTTGCTCTCCAACTTTGCCGCCTCAGACTAAGACCTCCATCGATTCTATCCGCATAACCTAGAGGACGCTAAACTCGTCTTTCTAAAGCCTTATCGAAAACAAAAATATACATGAGGGAAATTCTCTACATTCAGGCAGGGAATCTCTCCAACCATATCGGTACCCACTTCTGGAATACCCAGCAAGAGTATTTTACCTACGATGAAGACGAACCCGTTGTCACCTTGAACGATATCTCCTTCAGACAAGGACTGTCGCCGCGCGTGCGTCTCTTGGCAGCACAGCACCACCTTGTATCCTGACTTGATGAATGCAAGCCTGTAGGGAGAGGAAACATTCTGCCCACGGCTACTCCTCTTTGACCGCAAAGGTATGTTTTAGATTATCTTCACCTAACATCCAATGTAATCATGTCGTGTTCCCGACTGTCGTAGCCAATTTTGGTGCCCTGCGACGCACGAATGCTTTATATGCCGAAGACGAAGACGCCGAATCCTTATGGTAGATCGTAATCTTTTTCGTCGAAGTGCGTGATCTGACCATTAGGAACGATAGGACTGGAGAGGTCTCCGAGTTCCGTCAACCACCCATTGAACCGAGCTCTTACCAGGCTCGTCTTGCAGCCGGAGAAGATCCTACCCCTGCGCCACAGACTGACGATCAGGATCCATCCTCCGAGAAAGTAGCAGAACCTCTGAGGAGCACTGATTTAAGGTACTGGTCGGATTATAACCGCCTTTATTACCATCCACGGACCATCCAGGCTTTGCCCGACGTGGCAGACTGGGAGAACGTAGATGGGAACTGGAGTCTCGGGAAGCAGACATTCGACCGATTCAACGCAGTGTGTGCTTATAACATTTGGAGTGCCGAGTTTATAACTGACCCAGCTCTCGCAGGATACTTCTTTGATGGAAGAGCCGTTCAGGCAATTTGTGGAGGAATGCGACGCTCTCCAGGTAAGTTTATATCTATGACAGGTTGTAGAGCATGCCTAACAGTTCGGTCATCCCTTGCAGGGCCTTCACTTAACCACCGAAGTCTCAGCTTTTGGATCCTTTACATCTTCACTGCTGTCCGCCTTCCGAGACGAATATGGAACCAAGCCATCAACTCTCACATTCCCTATTCTTTCCAACGCTCGACCGGGCCACATCGACGTCGACGATGTACGCAGCCTCTACTTCATCTACCGTCGTTCATTAATCTATGTCGGAAAATATATCTGCAGTATATAGGAATTCGAAACGCAGTCAATGATGTACTATGCCTTCGTAGCCTCAACGAACTCTCGACGATGAATGTACCACTGCAAAATCCGGACTTGTGGCGTACGGGGTCATGGTCTGAACAACTCAACTTCGATGTGAGTTCTTTGAAAGCTCGAATTCATATATCGATCAGAGATTGAAGCTGACACGATCGACAAAAGTCACGGAGCGCATACGAAACTTCAGCCATCCTGTCCGCTCACCTCGAGACCGCCACATTACCTCTCCGGTTCGTCTCCCACGATCCTTTCGACTTTCTTCATCTTTCCACCCGTGACTAACCTCCGATGGTGGTAGAATAAAAGGCGAGCTCGTATCCCTCACCGATCTGTGCACCAAGGTCAACTATGATGGCAACACACCGTTCGCGGAACTGAACGGTCTTTTACCTTTGACGTCAAATGCTTTTGCGTCGGACGAAGCACTGAGGAGAGGGATGATGAATTTCTCGGGCTTCAATATGCAAGAGGTTCGTTGACTCTCCTGTGTTAATGTACGGCTTCCTAGCCTCCAAGTCCTCATGTGAATTCTTTTTGATGCAGGATGACGTTGTGGTGCCGATATACCGATGGGATATCATACGAGGGGCGTCTGAACAGGGCAAGAAAAAATATTCGGATTTCGAACTACCATCATCAATCTCTAGGTCCGTCTCCTTTCCTCTTCGCTTTTTCGTACCAGGCCTCATATGCTATTCACTTGCAGCCTCTTCACCGCTACAACCTACCCTCTCCCCTCCTCATATCCCTCCATCTTCTCTCCTTCCTCCCTAACCACATCCAAGCGCGGAATCCTCGCCGCCACACCATCTACTCCCCGACCGCTACCCACTTCGATCTCCCTCCTATCGTCCTTCACTCTCAGCCCCAGCGGCCTCCCTGCCCTATTCTCGAACTACGCGACATTCCTAGACAAATGCGTGAAGAGGAAGGTGGATTGGGAGGCGGTGGGTGCAGGTGATGCGATCGACGGGGATGAGGTGAAGGAGTTGAGGGATGAGATGTGGGTGCTTGCGGATGGGTTTGGGGTTAGAGAAGGCGGGGAGGAGAGTGAACTAGGTGAGGACGAGGAGAGAGGGAAGCAATGGGAAGAAGATATGATCGACGAAGACTGAATGGTGTACGTTTCAGTGGTGAGAAGTAAAAATGCACGGCCATAGTATGAGGAGGGGATGACCACAAATGTATCCCGCAAAACAAGCCCCGTGGTGCTTGCAAGCTTTTCAAACTTGGGCCACAGTACTTCATATCCTTACTCTAAGGGGCCACAATATCATCCGCTCTCCCTGTGAGGATGAACACCTCTGCTTGTGCTCGTTGATTTTCCGTGTAATTCTTGAGTGGAGAGTGTATACATATACATGAGGCGATTTTGAAGAATACAAGAGAATTTGGTATGAATACAATTGTAGAGCTCCGCTCAAGGAATGGCCCTACCCGCCCTAATCGCCTTTGCAGCCTCACTCTGCGCCTCGTTGCGCAAGTATCTTCCATAGATCTCGTTCAGATATTGACGCTCCTGTATTCATCGCCAGGGTCAGCAACAGCCAGCCTGAGTTATATGCGACAACGACACCCACACTGCATGTCTTCACAACACTGTCTCTCGTCTCCAGCGCCTCCGCGTATTTCTCCCACTTCTCCCCCGCCAAGCTTCTCTCATAACCCCTGTGTTCCCTTACCACATAGTCCCTAGTCATCCACGGTGCCAACGCCGCATCCACCAAGCTCCACTCATCGCCAAAGAAATAGGGTCCCTTCACCTTTTCTGCCAGAGTCTTCTGTCCCTTGATCAGCTCTTCCAATGCCGCCTGTACTTTCTCGGGCTCGGAAGATGGCTGTGACTGGATGAGGCGCATGTAGGCGGGGACGATGACTTTGTTGATGTGATCAATCCACAGGCGAGCTTGCGCGCGGGCGAAAGTGTCATCTGGAAGGAGGTGTTTGCCGTGTGTGGGATAGTTATCCTCAAGGAATTCGTTGATGATGAGGGACTCGTATAGGGGTTGTCCCTTGAATTCCAGCGCAGGGACGAGGCCCTTGGGGTTGATGTCTACGTATGAAGAGTAGAACTAAGTGATGCTCTTCAATGAATGTTGAAAGATTGTCAAATACCAAGGAAGTGCTTCTCTTTGTTGTAGGGGTTCACTTCTTTGTACTGATACGGGATACCCTTCTCCTCGAGAACGATCCAACTCCGTTGAACATAAGGGCAGAACTGAGCGACGTCAGCCTAAAAACACTCGGAGACGTAACACCCATGTGAACATACCCATCCAGCCCAGAAAACTAGGTCCTGAGGTGCGCTATGCTGTTCAACGGTCTTCGCCGCGTTTCCAGTGGCATGAGGGAAAATCTGAGCGTCGGGGACTCGAGACATTATCAGGACCAAGAGAGTGATGTTGGAGCTTTATGGAGAGGATACAAGGTGCCCGGATGGCTTTATATATGCGAGACGGCCTCCCGCAAGCTCATTGCGACGGAACTTGTTCACATGTCGTCATCTGAGATACTGTCTGATCTATCTTCGTAGCATGTTACCTGCTACTTACAAACATGGTCAGGAAGATGAATGAGTAAGATACATACATGGAGGAGTGTGAAACCTTTGGTATCGAGGAAGAGCGTGACTTGCAATTGGAGCGTTGAGCCCCTATCTGAACGTGTGGCACCCGCCTTTGCTTCGAGCTGTGGCAAATGTGGCCCCCGAGGTGCAGACTCGTCTCATGAGTATAGACTTTCGGGCTGATGACGATGTCCGAGACAGACGTCTCCTATGTATGGTTCTACCCCCGTTTGAATTTGGAGGAGGTATAAAGTACGGATACAACAGCTAGAAACATCAAAGCTCGAAAGCGGACAACAAATAGGTGTACACTGATCATCAAACGCCGATGTGCGATCGGCATAGTATTCGTTCCTCGACGAAGATTAGAGTATCCATACTATACTCCGATGTCGATCCATAATATCGACGGGTGCGGAAGGACCCGGAAAGGCGAAACTTCTGTAAGTTTCTCGACACAGGTATCCATACTATACTCCGATGCACGATCGTTCCACAGACGGAGAGAGGGAGTACGCTCAGGCTCCCGCACCTTCCGATGACTCAAGCTCTTGGCTCAAACCACCCAATCATTTCCCCATAGGTGCTGTCGACGAGGCAGGATTGGAGGTGCGCGATGGTGAAGGTATAAAGGTGCTCCCAGCGGCCAGTATCTTCGGGCTGTCCAACATCGCTTCCCGGTATGTTTGTTCCTCTCCAGCCATTTCCTTGTTCACCACGGCTTTCGCCTTTCCTACATCTTTCCTCCTCCTTATTCTCCTTCCCAACTTGCCAAGTTGCACCTTCGCGCCTTGTATGCCTCCGAGCCCAATATTCCTTTCCTTCTGCTCCCTCCCATCACTTCCGCTTCCGTCCACATCCCCGCCTGCACAGATCCACCACCACCATCCCAGATAACTCTGCCAAAGTGTGATCGCCCAGATCATCGCCAACTGCCACGGCGCCTCCCTGACCATCGTCACAGTCAGACCACCCTCATCGTTCACGATAGTTGAGCCCCTGATGGCTGTTGGGTGAGCGGCATGGACAAGACAAGCAAGGGAGAGAATAATGTTGAAGAGAGAGAGTGAGAGCGTTGAGAGTGCGAGTGTTAGGGTGCCAGAGTGCCGAGACCAAGCTCGCGAGGAGAAGAGCTTGGTTAGGGAGCGTGCTCGCGGCAGAGGGGTCGAACTGAGAAAGAGGTGAGCAAGGGGATGCAGCGGTTTTGAGTGTGGTGAAGAAACAGCAGAGGATACGGGTGGATGTGGCTTTGTAGATGGTGTAGACGTCGGCACAACGTCATCCTCGGGTGGAGAAGAATTGAAGAAGGGTGTAGACCAGACAAGCAGCAGTGACGAAAAGAGGATTGCGAGAGAGGCGGTGCAGGTCATCCGAATGGCGTATGTGACGTGAATATAGTCCGGGTGCGCAGGTGGGATTAAAGGTAAAAATTGAGTGACGGCGCACACCACAACGAGCGGGCCTTGATTTCATTCAGATGACTGACTGTCTAGACATAACTCGAGAGCGACTAACCGAGCGTGCAGTGTAGCAGAAGGGATTCGAAGCGCGAAGGATAGAGCAGGGTTAATAAATGCACATGCGATGCCTACAACTGGTGTATAAGTATGTAATGCAGAAATCGAAATCGAAACTTGACGCTGACCTGCACGAGGGCTGAGCTAATCGTTCTGGCGACACACCAAGTGATGACTCGCGCCCTTGACCACACTGGTGGTATCTGGGGAGGTATTTCCACAGCAACCCAAGAGAACATATACGGCCACTTTAACGTTTGCCGGCTCGCAATCTTCAGCACCATGATGAGTATGGCGCCATGTGTCGATAGAAAGAACACAGAAGCCGATAACTGGAGGGAAAATGATGAAGGAGAAAGGCTCCAGTGGGTGGACGATGTGAAAGCCAAATGAACACATAACACGAGAATAATTGTACAAATGATGGTGAACAGGAGAACTTGGAGGGGAAGGGAGTACGACAACGATGGCCTGTAGCTCAATATAATGTCACTGACCAATACCGCCGAAGTTGACCTGTCTGTCAGCAATCCTCGAAGATATATATGGGAGAACGACGCACGTTGTGTCTGTCTCATTCTGGTCCGCTGCAACATGTCCACAAAGCAGTAGAACAAGAGTCGAACAGAGAAGCCCACTTGACCAAATGAACATGCGATCAACCAATTGCGTGTTTACTTATCACACGGGGAAAGCCAGCAGGAGCGAAGATGGTGAGAGCTTCAACGAAGTCGGCGAGCGTTTATAAGCAGCACGCCCTGCGTCCAGAATTAGAACAGTTCCGAGTCGCTCCTGTCCGCGTGGGACAGACATAAGATTCGAAACGTCTGATGCTGCTTCTTGAGCAGCCATTATTATCTTGAACGCTCACTGAGACGCAGCAACTGAAGGGAACGCAAAGCAGAGTGACACTGAGCAGCATTGAAGATGAGAGTAAGCGGATGAGTTGTAGAGCCAAGACTATTGACGTCGTTATCTGTGCAGCCGACGAAGCCAAGCCTGTTCCCATACTGGGGCCACATCCGAGTCATCATCTTCCTCGCGCTTTGAAAGCATTTCTCATTTTTTGCGCCTATCTCTCCTTTTTTAATACAGCCCGAGGCTGATGTAGAGGCGTGGTCCAATGACGCCCCGGTGGCACCAGGACAAAGGTGGAAAATCCAGGCTACGAATTGTATTCAGAAACTTGTTAGTACAAGAACGCCACAATATATACAAAAGACAGTTGACGGCTAAAGGAGAGGTTCGAGTGAGAGTCAAAGGTACACTAAGCGATGGAGTCAATCCTGGTGCATGGCATATTCCTCTAAAAGTTGCCTGACGCCGTCTTGCCCAATGCGGCGAAGATACTCGGGAGACCACTCAGTCCAGTCGCCGGCAGGAGGTGTCGCCGCTTTCTCTTGATAATCTTCGGTCTGCCCAACAAGAGGCGTGGCGTCGTTGTACACGAAGGGGGACGATTCACGGTTAATGATCACATGAACGGGTGAATCTTGAGATACCTTTCGCCATGCATCGACGTCGGGTGGAGAGTAAGCTGCCAGGCTCGAAGGTCTGTGTTCTTGCTCATCAACAGACTTTTCATCGATCCAGACCTCCCGATCAGGAAGCGGAGGAGGAGTGAAGTCATAGTGAGACGATGCGATATCTGATGGTGTATCAGCCAGCCACTCCGAGTCCTGGCCGGCCGGCTCTTCAGAGGAAGGGTGTCCCGTTGGGGTTGAGTGTTCTTGACCATGGTCATCTCGTTTGCCACGACTCCACCGCCTACTGCCAGTTGAAGGCGCCGGAGAGCGGTGTTGACCATCGGCGTCAGGACCCGAGCCAGGTTGAGGAAGAGTTGGCAGAGGCTGCTTGAACCGAGATTTCCATAGAGCGACGATGCCCTGGGCAGTCATCATAGATGTAATATGCGACGGGTGAAGGTCGACCAGCTCTCGTTCGCCGAATTCGTACACAGCCTTCCAGATGATGGCGTAGGGATGCGCAGTCGAACGTATGACAGGATACTGGTCGAAATCCGGTGGCGAAAAAATGTCACAATCATCCTCTACGAGACGATCGTAGAGCGCGGGGTCCTCGAACTTGCGACGAAAGAGAGGCACACTTTTCGCGCGCTGGCCGAAAGGAACAAATTGATAGTGATGCAGCTCGAAATTAAGATTCGTGCATTGCTGTAAATAGGATCGTCAATGTTAATGGCGCGCATTCACTGATGGGCTTCGAGGAACGTACTCTATCACCCCAACGAATCGGATTGTTGCCTTTCGCAAACCCCTCCGCTATGGCCAATAGCACTGGATGGTGCGGAAGGAGAATCCATTGACCCCCATCGTAGCCCATATGCCAATCGCCACGCACTGTGAAACAAGACACATTGTCAGTGACGAGCCTTAACGGGTGTCGGCAGTAGGGACTTACGCGGAATGATATTCAAAGGGTTCTCCAGCATGAGCTTTCCTGGATCCACTCCGACTATGCGTTCTAGTTTGGCCCTCTGTTTACGCAAACGAGATGCATGAGAAGTCACACGTGAAGTAGAACAGAAAAGGTACATACCTCTTGGGCTGAGATGGAGGCTGGAATGACATGTGCACCTTCCACTCCTGACGAGCTCCGGGCATAACCTTGCTCGTCTCTGTAAGGCTCTAGGGTAAGAACGCACCAACGCTGAACGTTGAGGAATTTGCGAGTCATCTTGAGGAAATGAACGATGCTGAAAGCTTCGCGTACGGGCAGTTGCGATTGACAGTCAGAGGAAAGAACGTAGGCCACACTGGCAGTGACAACGTTTCCGAGAGTAACAAGCGAAAATCCTGAGCACTGCAACCCTTCATATGCGTCGATCAACCAAATACAATGGGTTGTATACCGGTGTCGTACGAAAAGGGTACAAAGGAGAACTTCGTGGATGTCGAGAGGTTGAGGAGCACAATGGCTGCGGACAAAGGATGTTGGTGTTGATGATTGCCATTCCAGTCGCCCGGCTGTTGCCGGAATTTCCGTTCGCGTGTCAGTCGGTGTCAGTCACGGCCCTGCTAAAGTTTACTTCGAGCCATGGCGCATCATGATCTATCATGATGCAGCTTTCATCCTTCGAGACAACGCCTGTAGTTTCGCAACTTGCAGTACTTGAACTACTCAATGTATGGCGCTCTATCTCCTGCTCATCTCTATTCGCGCTACTTATCTTCAGTTTCAATCACTGATTACTAGTATTCAGCGAAACCGGCGAGAACGGTTTTGTCAAAACTTCGGGATTTTTGAGGCCATAGCACGCCTTTCATATCGCGCCAATATCAATCGTCGTGCGAGATGCGGGGAGCAGCGCGGCCGGATTTATGACAGCTTACCCAAAAGTATTGAGAGGACCTTTCAACACCCATACTCTGCCGCTGATTTGGCATCCCTTCAGATCGGCAACGAAGTGTGATTTTGGTATCGTTGTTCTTCTCTGCACCGGCGACTACGTACTTTCTAGGAAAGGAGGTTTGTCGCTAGTAGCAAGTGAATCGGTCATAAGAAGTAGTACCGCCGCCAAGCAACTATGTATCGTGCATCTGATTCGTGCCCGGCACCGCGTGATGCAGAACATTGTCTCCAGTGTCTCTACTCAGCGGCTAGGTGTTTCTTCTTTTCTCGGAATTTTCTATGGCTTTACCCCAATGCCTCACGGTCTATATTTACGACTACCACCACGAGTCTTATGGGCCTTGTCTTGGCCCTAGTATTCCGTCTTTCGTGACAGTACCATGCCCGGACTAGACCTTGTTCCTGCATTGTAATTATGCGAATGAACCAGTGGGTTCATGCGCCTAAGTTCCGACCTTTTTCCCTTCCAATGGTGTTGGTATTTGATCCTCGAGGAGATCTTGGCACCCACCGAACCTCGGAAGATTTACAGGCAACACGACAAAGTCCACTGTGACAAAACAGGAGAATGTTGAATATAAAAGGATCTCGAGGATAGTACGTTCATCATTCGTCTAGCCCCTGCGGCCTGTAGTTCACTCAACTTACAGATGGCCACGAAGTTCCTCGTCAGCGCTGTCTTGCTGACTTTCGCGCTCACGGTGTCTGCTGCCACGATCGAGAAGCGTCAGGCTGCTACCAGCATCGACACTCTTCTGAAGGGCCACGGCAAGGTCTTCTGGGGTACTTGTGCTGACCAGAACCGCCTCACGTACGTTTCGCATTCCTGATAGGCATATTGTTCTGACGACGATGTCTTCAAACTCTAGCGTTGCACAGGATGCTGCCATCACTCAGGCCGACTTTGGCGGAGTCACTCCAGAAAACTCTATGAAGGTACTCAGCACTCTCACTATCCAAGAATCTCACTCGCGGTTGACACGCTTTTTTGAAAGTGGGATGCCATCGAACCCGCTCAGAATCAGTTTAGTTGGGCTGGAGCAGACTATCTTGTCAACGTAAATACTCCCTGCGTATCATCATGTCATAGCTGATGGATGAATATAGTGGGCAACCACCAATGGCAAGAAAATTCGTGGACACACTTTCGGTAACGATATTTGTTTTTATCGTAAATATGTACGAAGCTCACACTTCTTCCAGTCTGGGCAGAACAACTGCCTACCTGGGTAACAAACATCAATGATAAGGCGACATTAACTAGCGTTCTTCAGGTAAGTTTTTGTTTTCGGACTTCCAACCTAGTGACTGACGGCGAGGGGCCGTAGAATCACATCACTCAGGTCATGACTCGCTACAAGGGAAAACTCTGTAAGCCACCTTGATCTCGAGTTTGAAGCAACTCTGCCTCATCGACAACGGTCCATACAGACGCCGTAGATGTTGTGAATGAGCACATCGTGAGCAGTCCGGCCTATCCATCGGTTATTATCTGCTGATGCCTGCGTATCAGAATGAGGACGGCACGATCAAGGTGAGTTTTAGACGGATTAACGCACAGATTTCCTTGTACTGATTGATGCAGAGCACCCACTGGACGCAAGTCTTAGGCAACGATGTCTTCACTATTGCATTCCAGGCCGCTCGCGCTGTCGATCCCACCGTAAAGGTATGTGACGAGGGTGGCTAATTGATATTGCAGGCCTCTAATATGCTCTTGTCGTCAGCTTTACATTAACGATTACAATCTCGATTCGAACAACGCTAAGGTTGCAGGAATCGTCAACTTGGTAAAGAGCTTGAACTCGGGTGGAACGAAGCTCGTTGATGGCATCGGTAGTCAAAGCCACCTCAGCGTAAACTTGTTTTCTATCTTTACATACTTACTCTCACTTATTGCTGTGCACTCTTAGGCCGGTGGGGCAGGCGGTGTACAAGCTGCCCTCACTGCTCTCGCTGGTGCCGGTGTCGATGTTGCAATCACAGGTTTTTCCCTTGTTAGCATCTAGTATTGTTGGTCCTCCTCACATGCATATTGTCTAGAGCTTGACATCGCCAATGCCGCCGCTTCTGATTACGAGGCCGTGGCTAGAGCCTGTGTAGCTGTTCCGTCTTGCGTCTCCATCACCAGTTGGGGTGTTCGCGACCCCGACTCCTGGCGTGCGTCTACTAATCCCTTGCTCTTCGACGCCAACTGGCAACCAAAGTATGTTGAGTATTTGCACGCTATTTCTTGAATAAAAATTATATCGAAGTACGCGCTCTAGGCCTGCCTACAACGGCATCGTTAGTGTCTTGCAAAGTGGGGCTTCTTCAGTTCCAGGCTCAACTAGTACGCCCGTCGTGACTCCGACAACGAGCTCTACTGGCTCAGCGCCCACTGGCGGTGGCGGCACCGTTGCTCATTGGGGACAGTGTGGGGGTATAGGTTGGACCGGGGGAACGGGTGGGTTGATGTCTATCACTTGTGGCTTGGGACTATGGGGTTGACATGAACCTTTAATTAGTTTGTGCTTCTCCCTATACGTGTCAGGCTTCCAATGCCTATGTGAGTAATTTCACATACCTCTTCCACATTTATCTGATATCGTTTTTATGGACAACAGTACAGCCAATGCCTCTAACATTAGGGACAGTCGTGTCTTTGCACAAATTTCTGATGCTTTTCCTTCGTTTCTTGAATCTTGGGCAAAGGGTAGACCCTGAAACGTAATTGTAACGGCGACGTTGTCCTCTCGGGTGTAGCGTATAGTAGGCACTTCCTTGACTTGATGCCGAAGCTAGTAGCAAGGGATGCGTGAAATTTTCTTAGGCCGAATTCGAGATCCCACCATTCCATCCATACCAATATGGCCTGACTGCATCAATGTTTCCAGCGTCACATGACGGTTGACGCACGATCTACCTTTTCTTGGGGGTTCTCGAGGCTTCGGAGGGTACCTATTCGTTGAAAGATTGCTTCGAGGTCTAATTGATGGATAATATATCTGCACTTGACACGAATATCGCCTAGCTTGAGCCAGACTAGAACAGATCTCTGGATCCAGGAGCCAGGGAAGACAAACATTCAAGACCAATGGCCGAGCACAGAGCATGTCTAGCGATACTGGGATCGATGTCCTCGGACATAGGCATGAGCGGACTGGGCGGGAAGATATAGGGGCCACACGAGCCGTTCACTCACCTTTTGGTAAGCGTCTGTTGGCTTCGCTCAGAGGATCGGACTCTGAGGACTGGAGCCACTGGACCACGACAAGGTCGACGCTATCCCAGGGGAGTCTTGAGAATTTCGAGGAATGTCGTTGTTTGGTTGACGACGATGATGCCGATGATCAGAGCGTCGAGCGTCTTGCACTTGAGGTCGTCTTACTCGGACTCACACAACTGTGAAAGAAACTGTACCAGACGCGTTAGAGAGTACTTCTGAAACGAACCGCTAATCCACTCACCTGTTAGTAGCGTCTCTTGGCTTCCCCCAGAGGATCAGACTCTGGGGTGCTAGAGCCCCTGGACCACGGCAAGGTCGACGCTTTCCCAGAGGAGTCTTGAGGCTCTTGAGGTAAGTCGTCGTGCTTGATCTCGTTCTCGAGGTCGATGTCGCCCAGCCCAAGCAGGTCCAGAGATCCAGCCCAGAGACTCAGAAGCCAGCACATGGACCCAGCACAATCATAGAGCCACAGCACTGGAAAATCGATCCCAACATCTCCAGCCTAGCCAAGCATTTAAGACCCAGCACAGAGACCCCAGCTGAGAAACCCAACCCGAGACCCAAGACCCACCACGAAGACCTAGCCACACCCGGAGACCCCAGCACCGAAGCCCAGCACCGAGACCCAGCATGGATACCCCATCCTAGCTAAGCACCAAGAAGAAAAAAGAAAACACACCTCCAAGCATGCTCGGGCTCGATGTCTTGACAAGTCGGCGACCCATGATGGCGGTGGCGGTAAGGAGACGATGACACGACGGGGGGCAAGTCAGCAACAGCGACAAAATAGTAGAATAGAACGAACGCACCATGATAGCATAGCGGCGGATGGGGTGTCGTTGCTGTGGACGGTAATTATTGGACTTGAGGGCCTATGGGGAAGGGGTCTCAGTGGGGTAAAATGCGAACAATGAATGCGCCACACGCACCTGGTGTCGAAGGCCGTCGTGGGCAATGGTCGCTAGAGTCAAGACTGGGAAACTAGAGAAAGACCTAGAGAGTAGTGAGTGGGAGGGAGGAAGGGAGAAGTAGAGGGAGGGCGGGGAGAGGGGAGGGGAGGGAGGAGATGGGAGTCGAGAGGAAAACCCGATATCGAAAAGCTGAAAGCCCCGCAGTCCTTATATACAGAAATCGGACGAAGACCCGTGAGGAAAACGCAGATCACTCCGGTACCACGAAACAAGAACAAATAGATCAACGAACAAGCGAGCCCGCATGACGCATAATAGCGCGGACCTTAGCGGTTTCGCAGGGTTTCAGAGCAACGTCGCATTAGGCAGACTATCTAAACGCATGTCCTCTTTCGCCGTTGCCGTGGGCACCGATCCTTGTGCAACGTGCTATGATAACGGCGTGTCTGGGGTGGGACCACGAAAATGGAAGCATGAAGGGGAAATCGAAGTAGGAGCCCGATTCGTCTTTTGACTAACAAGTAAGCCCCATTCGTCAGACTTGTTTTACGAGACAAAACAAAAACAGAACATAGCAAAACGATATCTCCCGCGTCACCGAGAGAAGTGCGTCCACTAGGCGCGATCAACGTGTTTCGCGCTGTGCTTGTTGTGCTGTGACAAGAACAAAAAGTCAGATAAGGAAGAAAGAAAACGTTCCCATCAGAGAAGCTACCACATCTGACAAGGGAACAGGAGTTATGCGAAGGACTCTGAGTATTGCTCGGTGCGGGAGAGCACAAAGAACTGTCCCAAAAAGGCGATCAATCGAAGCGTCGGAGCTCGAGATCCGGCTTTCCATAAGCCCTCTGCTAACCCTTCTCACTGAGAACAGACCCATAACGGTAGGATATACCGACCAGCCAAAACCATACCTAAGATAAAACGTCGAGCGCTGTAGCTCGCAAATGTGTTCTGACAAGCCTACGGGGATGCTCAGTCTTCGGAGCGCCAATGCCGTGTGAAGAATTGTTGGTGTGGCGGAAATGTGGGGCCCTTCTTTTCAGAGGGCTTGTAGATAGAGAAGTCTGTGACTCGGAGGAAACACATAGGAGATGTAAATAGTGAAAGTATCGTGCGGATGAGAGTTCAAAGGGTCGTAGTACACCGTGACCATGGACTTTTTATACAACTTTAGGTAGAGGACTGTCGACAAAGCGAAGTTTGAGACGGTAGCGATCCGATGAGCGACGGGATTCGAGCTGATGATGCGCCAAAGATGACCTTGAAATGACATTGCAACATTGAGAGACCCTGGGCATGAAGACAACTTGGTTGATTGTGGCAGGAAAGGTAAAGGGTGTCGACTCGGATGATGCTAACACTGGCCCTGTGGCACCTTATCTAAGCATCTCAACGACGCGTGGTCACGGGAATCACTGCTCTCGAAACACGTTGTGGCCCACAACCCTCTCCTTCCACTCATCTACTCCTGAGGTCTGAGGCTTGGGATTGAAAAAATGCCTTTCAATCTTCCCGGGACGCTCGTTGCATTCCATATTCTAGTCAATCCACGCGTCATCCTTCCGTCGATAGCAGTCGCAGGTGATTTCTCAACCTCTGTTTGTGGATATCCAAAATCGTAACGTTCGTTCAATGCAGGAAGATATTCGCCAACTTGATTTTGCTGCGCTCAAGCGTGCAGGCTACCGTGGTGCAGTGCTCGACAAGGACAACTGTCTAGTTAAGCCAAAACGCTTTTTTGTAACCGATGTCGTCAGTGCTAACATGAGTATGGGTCGTATCAGACAATACCTCACGACGACCGACTTGTCCCTGAACTCCAGGAAGCCTGGAAGGATTGCCAACGCGTCTTTGGTCCACAAAACATCTTGATCGTGTCTAACTCAGCAGGCACACATCTCGACACGTCCGGCCTCCAAGCCGAATCCGTCTCCCACCATCTTGGATCGCATGTCCTCTTCCATCGGTCGTTCAAGCCTTCGTATTCATGTGCGTCGGCAATACGAAAGTATTTTGGGTCATTGGAATGTCCGATAGAGACGAGGGAACTAGTGGTGGTGGGTGATAGAGTTTTCACCGACGTCGTGTTGGCGCGAAGGTTGGGAGGTAGAGAAGGATGGGTGGGCAGGATAGGAGAATTCTTCGGTGTTCGGTGGACCTCTGACCCTAAGCTCGACCTAGATGAGAAGACGCAAGACAGTACCTCACGGGTTGCGGAAAAGTTGACTGAAGGACCGTTGGCGGTTTGGACGACAGGAGTCTGGCAGAGGGAAGGCATGGCGATGCGGTGGGCGGAGAGTCAAGTTGTCAAAGGTGCGGAGAGATGGATCAAAGGGACGAAGGAGGAGAGAGAAGCAATGGAGGCCAGGTTCGTGAAGGTGACAGAGTCGTCCTTAGTGGGCGCGGACGTGACGGAGGGTACAGGGTATGGTGATGGATGGAGTGGTACTGCGAAAGCAGTGGGTGTCATGGGACTAGGTGCTCTAGGGTGGGTTGGAAGTAGAGTCGTGAGAGGACTGAGGAATAGGTTGAAGAGAACATAGTTTTCGTGTGGTGTAGTTCTCCTCAATGCTCGTGTTTGTCCATCATACCTCCCCTCATGATATAACGACTGTTCCTCCCTTCGTGGTCACAGGATTTCCATTGAATCTCCATTGTCAGTAAATCACACGGCATTTGTACGGCAATCTGAGAAGAAATTACAACGCAACACTTGAGCAAGGCGAAAATGAGGAAGGATGAAGCAATTATTGTTAGTTTCAGACAGCACAGTTCTACCAGTCATTATAGTACGAGTCTACTGGAGGCATCCATGATTCATACTCCTCTCCTTTCTTTCTATTATACAGCCATCTATGGCGAAATGGGCTAACAAAATAAAGATACACCTCGGAAAGTGCCTCTCCCTTCCTCGGAGCTCATTCTGGTGCATACCATTTAAAGTTATCATTTGATAGATTGACTCTGTATGGTTTTTTGAGCTATCGGGTGTGGCAAGGTGCAGGCAATGCGAGATCAGCTGAGATTTCTGTTATCATCCGTTTTATGACGGTTTGGGCTGTGACGAAGTCGCGTCGGTTATCAGCGGTCCGGTAAACCGACAGCGCGAAAAGGCTCTCGGAGATCTCCTGGTGTGACGCGTGATTACCATATGTGGCTGCATTGAAAATCCTCGTAAATTGCTCTAGGGCCCAGAAGTAGTGCAAATGTATCCCACAGATTGTCCTTGCACGAAATAAGGACCCAGATCTCATTTCGTATGGATGAATATGTCTCCAGATTAATTTTATGATTTATGAAAGAGTTTTGACAATGTTAGCGAGACTGCAAGTTTTGACATTTACAAGTTGTCCTTGTAGATCCATCTCTTGTAGGAGCACTATGATGATCTAGAGATTGAAAATATTCGGGAGCATGAATGAGATGTACAGTTAAAAGCACCAAAAAACTCCGAGAGGTTTCATGCGGGGAGTGAGGAGCTGTGGCCGTTTAGCCCATTTCGGCATGCTAGCCCATTTCGCCATAGATGGCTGTACTCTTCCACCTCTATGACCACCTTGTCCACCATAGACTCGAGCTTCTTTTCCCAATACCAGTTCACGACTTCCTCATTCTCGAGAAGGTCAATGGACAGGTATCTGATAGGCGGTATTCTCTTCTCGAGCGCAGACTTGGATTTCCGAGCCTGAATGACGAATGGGAGAAGTTGTCGGAAGGAAAGCGGATGCCGAGCGCGCCTTTTCAGACAATCAATGTTATTGTAGTCCAGCGTCGTTAACTTGGGGAATATGAACTGGTCATCCGGCGGCATCGAAGGATTGCTTCTATCAATGATGGGTACATTGCCGACGAGTGCCTGTGTCATGAACACAGCGATGGGGTTTGAGCACGAGACGCTGAGATGTTTCACATCTCCCGCAGCCCGCCATAACCTCACACACCTCTCCGTGTTCCAATCCGCGTCGATCCTATCCTCCAATTCTTCATCCGAAATGCTCAGCGTCTGCAGCTGAGTTAAGTTCAGCCTCGGTACCACGCCCTCCAGCATCCTGAGAGCAGAGTATTCCTCGGTCTTCTTCCAATGCAAGGCGAGGCGTAGGATGGGGGGTGGGGGATTGTCTGACAATCCTTGTCGGACGGTGGAATTGAGAGGTGAGGACTCTCCTGACTCCGATGATGAGTCGTGCCGAGTGTACGTGAACTTTGGACTACCGCTGGGTAAGACCGTTGATAACGGCCAGGCGCGGATGTTGAAGTGGCGAGCACGATAATGTATGCCGAGCGTGCGCAGGGGCTCGAAAGCTGGTGTACGGATGTGGGTTTCCAGCAGCTGGAACAGGGGCCCAAATGAGTTGAAGGGTGTAGTGGGATTACCGCATACAAGCTCAAATCGACCTAGGGAAGGAAATCGAAGGTGTTCTAGGATGATGATGGAATCGGCTGCTTCACCACTTAAGGAGAGTACCTTCAGATGAGGGAGAGTGATGATGCGGCCAACTTCAGATTGAGAAGGCGTTGACGGAGCAATATCGTGGATGAGGAGCTCCTGAAGGTTAGGCATATGTCCTAGCGTATCGAGGAAGTTGGTGAAAGGAACGTGGCAAACGTTTCCCGTGGTTTCTTTTGAGCCTGGCGGGTAGTAGCCTATGTTGAAATGTGTGAGATTATGGATGGACGGGGATTTCTCAATCCATGCGAAGCCGTAGAGGCTTAAGTGGCGAAGACGGGGCGCTGATCGGGAGAAAACGCAGGAAGGAACGGTGGATAGGTCTGCGGGGGAATCGAAGTAGGCGGGTGCCGTCAGTTTGACGCGTTCGAGTAATGGCGCAGGATGCTTGAGGGTCTTGGCCAATACCCTGTCAATCTTCATCCCCCCCGCCACCCACTTCAAGTCTCGGATATGCGATAGATGCTTTGCTATAAGCATCCTCACATCATGGCCCGCTGCAGTCTCGTCTTCTTCCGAGTCGTCGTCATAGAAGTCATCAGGATCAGCTCCATCATTGATGATGAGGGGCGCATCCCTAGCTCTACTCAACATCTCACGAATCCACTTCTTCCCGAGGGGGAAACAAATCGTGGTCCATAACATAGGGTCCTCGAGAGCGACCTCCCTCCAGTGTCTACACACTTGGGTCACCTTGATCCATCCAAGCCGGTGACTTGTAAGTGTCCGCCGTTGTATCACTTGGGACGATAGGTATCCTGGCACCGTAATTTCCCTCGACGCTGTACCAGGAGGCTCGTGGACGATGCAGAACGAGAAAATATGGGATATGAGCTCGGACGGAAGGGCACAGATGGGAGTAACCAGATTGCGCAAGGTGGCAATACGCGAAGAGGCGCGCTGGATGGCCTTGTACTCCAGGTCGAGAGTTTTGCTCATTTGTTGAGCATTTTCGCGCTCTTGTGGGTTGTGGACATGGTGAGAACTGGTGAGATGACTAGCATGCTCCAGACGCGGTTCGACGGCGGCGCTCCAGTACGCATTGGCGCTGCGTAAAACGTTTGAGGACCTTTTAAGGTAAATAAACATTGAATCGGTAAAAACATACCTCCTCTCGAAGGCCTTCCAGTGATCTTCTTCCATGGTCGCAGGAGGTGGTGACGGCCAGAGTCGAAGTGGTTGGAGACAATCCAACTTTGGAAGGAATTTGGAACGCGTGAGTGGCCATGCCATCGGTCCTTGAAAATATAATAAAGTGTGGCCCAACGCCACATTGACAGATCGCGATTTTTGATGAACTCAACTCAAGCTGAAAAGGAATTTAAGACGGATATATATTTGCATCCAATTCATAATGAAGGTGTATACTATATGTCTCTGCAAAGGCTTTTCATGGAAGGAAGACGGAAGCACACAGCTACCGCGATTCAAGCCAACGGAATCGGGGAGGAAAGAAATATACAGGCTGGCATAATATGAGCAGAATCAGAGGAGCGATTAACACGTGGACAACAAAAAATATGACTGAAGGAATTAGGAAATTCGTGAGAGCAGTCAACCAGTGAACATGGCAACAATGTGCAAAGTAGTGTCATGAGACGCTGCGACGGCTACAGCAACAACACGTTGTGAGATGAGCAGTACATAGTTGACTCTTCATATACGATGACGTGCATCGGAATAATACAACCGCTGGCGAGGCTGTGTACCAGGCGTTAGGAGGCGTTCAACCGATCCGACATAAGGTAAGGTAAGGTAAGGTAAGCGTACCTTCGCAACTCCCGAAAGAAGACCTCCTGAGGGATCCCGTCAGAACGCACGGCATTGTTTCAATTATTGATCTGGAGGCTGTCGTCCACGCCCATCGAGTCACAATCGTGAAGAGGGATTTCTCATAGCAAAACCTTTACTCGTCCGAAGAGTATGTCCACGTCCCGAATATAAATACAATGAAAAAGTCCGTGACGTCCAAACCCACAGAACCTTGAGCCCGCGCCGATACTTACTCATAGCTTGGATATTCCTTCGTCCACCGTGGCCTCAGGCAACTGGGGAGCACCTGAGCCTAAACGAGCGTTGATCCAGGAGATATACTCCGCAAATAATTTGGTCTTGATATCGTCTGTCTCGTTATGCAATTCGTGATAGCCATCCTAAAGACAAAAGCACGGAGCCCATATTAGCTCAGATTGAGAAAGAATAATGATTTGGGAGGAGGCGTACGGGATAGAGAGATAGGTGCTTGTCTGATGCGTCGATGCGATTGTAGAGTTCTTCGGTTGCCTTCACGGAGTTGACCTATACGGAGAACAGTGAGCGACCGGTGAAGTAGTTGTATCTTGAGACGTACGTTGTCCGCAGTGCCATGCACGAATAATATCTTTAGGCATAGGGTTAGAATAAAACGGAGCGGAAGCAGCATGTTCGACATACTGGTAGGCTCTTGGGCCATTGCTTGTATTCACTTGCAAGAAGGTTCTCACCCTGCGTACGGCCGATTTATCAGTCCATATATGAGCCGAGATATAACAGTAAAGAGAATTACCCCACGCAGCATGTCATCGAGACCTCTGATGGTCCCGTATGGCTTGCAGAGGGGATCATTCTTGTTGTCCTCCGCAACTTTAGGATCATGTGAAAGGTCCTGGAAGTACAAAGTATGCCGGTACATATCATAAGAAATAGTATAGTGTGTGAGAGTAGAGGAGTGTGACTGACCTCAGGGAACACTTCTGCTTTTACCCTCATATATGGCAGTACTCCTCCGGCCTTTGAAGCGATCCACCGTACAGGGGTAGGGACGGGTTTCGTGAGGAGGACGAGGGGGGAAGACGCAATTACTCCCGACAAGAGCGAAACTGTGGACTTTGCAGGAGGCTCGGAAGTACGTGTGACGAATGAGAGAACGATACCTCCCCCCTATTATTGACAGTTGAGTGTGTCGTGAGCGATACATGACGTTAATGCAAACTCACCATAGAATGACCCATCAAGAATAACTTGACACCGTCCCAGCCTCTCTTCTCCATCTCCTCCTTTGTGTGAGTGATAGCCCACTCGACATCAATCAACTGGTCCTTCCCGCTCGTCTTCCCAAAGCTACTCCCCGAGCTCTTATGCTCCAGGTCCAGCGCCGTCTTTCCAAACCCTCTCTGGTCGAAGGCAAATACGGCGATGCCATGATCCGCAAAGTACGAGTGCAGATGGTTATAACGCCCCACGTGTTCAACGAATCCGTGAACATAAACGAGTGCGGCTTTAGGACGAGTAGGTGGTGTTGACGCTGTGTCAGGGGTGTTTGAAGATGAGGGAAGGTAGAGACGGGTGTAGAATGAGGTCGACTGAGGGCCCTGAAGCCAGTGTTCGGCGTAGGGAGTCTTTAGTATTGACATCGTTGAGTGCAAAGAGGATGATGGTTGTTGAACGCAAGTTGAACCGATGGATGGGTCAGGGGAGGAAGACAAGAAGGTAGTCAACGCTCGTTGCGTCATTCATGGTTCGCCGGCTTCCGAAATCGGCGCGAGGTATTGTACCGATGCCGACACACATACGAGAGCATTTCGACGCGGTGCATTTGGTTAGACAGCACAGAGGTAAAAGAAAAGCAATGCCATCTCGCAGCAAAAAGAGCCCAGGACAAAGATTCGAAAAGAATTTGACAGAGTTTGACTCAAGATTCGAGGTCTAACCACGGCGGGAAACGCCGACGCGTCCGACGCGACTTCGAGTCACGCACAACCTCTTGCTTCACGTTTCATCGAGACACTTTGCTCAGTTTCAGTCTCGTCTTCCCGTAGCGATACCTATCCTCATGCGCCAATCTACCCTTCGATTTCAGCCGTACCCCCCGGGCAACGAGTCTGGAGGTACAGCTAAGCTCACATACACTACGTCCTCCGGGCCCCTTTCCTCCACCTCCGGAAAGACAACTACTTCCAAATATTTCAAGTCCTCTCAGAAGGATTCTTCCTCCACAGCTGCTCCTCGTAAAGACAACAGTAAAGAGACTACTAGCAAATCAGCTAACTCAAAGTCCTGGGCAGACCGACGAGCACATCTGAAGTCCATCGCTGATGGGACACTCGAGGCTATCGAGCGCGGTTCTTATGATCTCAACGGCACTGTGCACTCGATACAGCCGCATCTGAAGAACTCGCTGCAGGGAACGAAGTTCTATGGAGCTGAATCCGACCTTGCGAGGTGGCATGCACGATGGTCGGGGATTGCATCGCGGAGGACAGTGATATCCGTCCTCGAGGTCTCAACGCTCGAAGCTGCATGGTCGCTTTCTTCATCTGCTTCCACCTCTGCGTCGTCTTCATTATCCACTCCACCTCGAAGAGTCGGGATTCTCAACTTCGCTTCCGCCACCAAACCTGGTGGCGGCTTCATCAACGGAGCTCAGGCTCAGGAAGAATCCATCGCACGTTCTTCTGCAATCTATCCCTCTCTTAAATCCCCGATCGCGCAGTCGTTCTATCGGATTCATTCCTCACCAAAGTCGAAGAAGAGGTTGAGGCCGGGATTTTATACCGATTCGATGGTTTGGAGTCCAGAGGTCGCGGTGTTCAGGGATGACGATGGGGGATGGTTAGATGGAGGTGGATATACCGTGGATGTCGTCACTTCTGCGGCGGTCAACGCTGGAGTTGTCAGGCAAAACTCGCAAAGTATGCGACAGTCGCTGATGGACAAGGAGGATTTCGTAGACGAAGAGGAGGAGAGGAGAGACGTACGGAGCAATGGGAGGGAAGGGACGCCCGAAGTCGACCACGATGGCGAAGGTGACGAGGTAGACATTGAGTGGGCGATGAGGGAGAGGATGGCGAGGGTATTGTTCCTCTTCGAGATCCAGGGTGTGGATACGATCGTCTTGGGATCATTTGGAACGGGCGTCTTCAGAAATCGCGTGAATATGGTGGCTAGAATATGGAAGGAGTTGTTGGTCGAAGGACATCATTCGAACGAAGACGAGCCAATGGATGGATCGGACAAGTGGAAGGGCACTGGGAGGTTTAGAAACAGTTTTGGGAAGGTTGTGTTTGCTGTTCTTGGGAAGGAGACTTTCGAAGAGTTCGGGAGAGTTTTTAGAGAGAAGTAGGACTTTGGATCTCTATATATCGTTTCATCTCATACTATTCTGTCCTCTTTTACATGTATGCATCTGCACGAACTACGTGGCGTTGTTGGGCCACATAACCCCAATACTTTCCCACGCCCGTCTGCTTCCTGTAAGTTACAACGCGTTCTGTCGTGGCACCGACCAACCACCTTGACCTATACGCTTCATACCCATCTTTGTAATATCTTGCCTATCATAACAGCACAAAATGACAGACCTCCTTGGCAACTCAAATGATGACATTGACTTCGATGCCGCCGCCTCTGCATTCCCCGACATCTCGCTGGACGGTGAGGGTGACATTCCCGCGCTCCCTGCTACCACTGGTGTTGGTGCCGCGGCGCCTGAAGGATTCGATGACTTTGAGTTTGGCGGGGGAGATATCGGCAGAGAAGTGAAGGTTACAGGAGACAGCGACGATGAGATTGAGAAGTTTGAGGATCAGTTTCCGGATATTGGGCCTGTCGAGGTGCGTTCAGTGTTATCCCTTGGTCAATACACGTCCGCCTTCTGGATGGGTGGACGTGTGGACCGTTTATTACACGCTGGTGCTAATGTGGGCTTGTTTGGTACATATTCTAGGAGCCTCCGGTGCAGCAGCCTCTGTTTGGTGTTGCGAGCCCAAATACGCCGTTCGCGCCTCGCCCACAACAGTCCGCTCTTGCGTCGACACCTGTGCTGAACGCTCAGATCAACGAGGAGGAATCTCAGGCTATTCGGTACGTTTGTTACTCGTCTTTTGTCCTTCGCTCGGCGAGGGTTACGTCGCCTCCCTGTGCATTGCACCGCGCCGCTAGCGACGCTCTTCATGAAGGCCACTTCCCGTTGTGGTATCTCGCCTTTTATGGACAGACTCCGACCCCAGTTTTATTTCACTCCAACCCTTAGTCTGAAACACAGTTGCGCTAATTGTGCACCTCTGATATCACAGTGACTGGCGCGAGAGACAAGCCGAGGAGATCAAGAAGAGAGACGAAGAGTCGAAGGCTAAGCGCCAGGAGACGATCGCGAAAGCTGAGCGTGCGATCGACTCTATCTACGAGGACTACAATCGGAAGAAGGAACGGAACATCAAGGAGAACAAGTGCGTCTCGTTTCTCTGCCCCTTTGAAATCCACACGAGGTCTTGGCTACCGCCACCCTATTCTCCCTTGACCCACTGCCCTCCCCGCCTTTACACAATTGAAGCTTCTGAACACACTCATACTGATCATATATCGGGACTGTAGGGAGTCAGAAGCAGAGTATGTCTCTTCACTCACCGACGCTCTTTCGAAGGGCACGACCTGGGACCGTATTTGTGAGCTCGTTGAGCTCCAGAACTCGCAGTCCAAGACCCTTGCCCGGGCTGGACCTGGCACGACGGAGTTGGCTCGGTACAAGGAGGTCCTGTTAAGGTTGAGGAGGGAGGGCACGAGTGCCCCCGGTGCCGCGGGGTACTAGATCATGGATCATGTTCGGTTCGATCACTATATCCGGCGAGAGAATTGGCTAGGGCTCTGAGCAGCCTATACCTGGTTTCTATGGACGTACGAGTGGGGCTTTGAAAGTTACTATACGAGGACGGATACTATGATCATATTCCTAATCTTTGGCTCAAATTTGGATCGCCGTCGTTGCATTTGGAGGGGATGCTCAAGTTAGACGTCATGAACTTCAATCTTGTGGCGGGACATGGGAAGAGGGTTGTCGCCACAGCATCTCTCTGCCTCGTTGAAGTCTTCTGAGGAAGTCCGTGACCCAGATAGCTACCTGGTTATGCCCTGGTTCGGCGCCGTGCATCACCGATTGATCAATAGCATGGGACTGAGTATGGTTTGTTACATCCCTTTTGTCCTTCAGATCGGAAGTAAACTACTCGAGAATTGGACCGAGCAGATGGCGTACAGAGGAGGTAAGTAAGAACGACCACTGAACGCCACATGCGAGCACGTGGTTCTGTTGTTGGACTTCGCTTTTGTCCGGAAACAAAACGACGAGCACAATACGCGTCGTCGCCGTCTTTGACAGCGTGCAGCAAGCTTATCTGTGACAATTAATGCTCGACCAGGGCGCAGAATACGTACGATGGGAACAAAACTGCCTCGCGCTCAATGAGATATGAACGTTGGTCTCGAGCGAGGGTCTTTAGGGCGGCCTCATTGCAGCGCTGAACACGTGTAAACCGCATTGTGTGCGATTTTTGTTCGTCTCTTGCCCTCTCTCCACCTCTTCCTACTTATACCTTCTATCTCTCCGTTCATAAGCTGCTCATCTCCCTGTTGTATCCTTGTCTTTTTCCCTCCATTTTCCTTTCCCCCTTGTTGTAGTTTCACATTTCAGCCACGGCGTCCCTTACCTCCCCGAACATGTCCAGATCGTTACCCTCTGCGACATCTATGTCGCCAGTACTAACACCACTCACCGAGCGAGTAATGCGGCACGATCAATACTACATCCAGGGCGGCGATGTGATCTTTCGGGTGAGTGCTGTTCATGGACTTCATCTCCTCGACCTTCAAGCTTCATATCTGATCGTCGAATGTTTAAACCGTCTTATCTGTCTACCCCAGGTCGAAAACTACTTGTTCCGGGTCCACCGTTATTTCTTCGTGCGCGAATCCCCGTACTTCAGGGACAAGCTCCCTCACCCGCCACCGCCCGGCGAACACGTACAAGGCGCGAATGACCATAATCCATTCGTGCTCGAGGACGCTCTCTCTGAAGATTTCGCCAGATTCCTTTGGGTGTTTTACAACCCGTACGTATATGTACATCTTACAACACGTGCTATCTTACCAATTCTCACTTCATCCTTTAATAAATCGAATCACGATACAGGAAATACTCTATCTACGGCGCGAACGTTGTCGAGTGGACCTCTATCCTCAAACTCGCACATCAGTGGTCGTTCCCCGAGATCAAGGCGCTCGCTGTCCGCGAGCTCGAGCGTCTCACGATCGACGCCGTCTCAAAGATCGTCATCTACCACTCCTACGCCATCGACCGATCACTTCTTATCCAATCCTACATGACCCTCTGTACAAGGGAGGATCCTATCTCTCTCGATGAGGGTAAGGCTCTCGGTCTCGAGACTTCGCTGATGCTTGCTCGCGCTCGTGAGGTCTGTCGCGGGCCCAAGCCGAACAACGGCATGCGTAGTCCTACCGTCAGCGTCTCGGGCGTCGAGCTCGAGAAACTTATCAAGGATGTCCTTCAGCTCGAGTCCCTCTCCGCCCTCGAACTCACTGGTGTGGCTCCTATCTCGACCACCGGGCTCACTGCGACCACCCCCGGCTCTTCCAGGAACTCGGCGGTAACACCAATTACTGCAAGTATGATGAATTCCTTTCGGTCGCCTGCAGGTGGATTGGTGATGACCCACTTGCCATCCCCAGATCCATTCGCTGACCATCGATTCGTTGCTTTTCCTGACATGTAGAGAACGGCTCAGCAAGTACAACATTCACAGCCCCTCCCACTGCTAACGGTAACGGAGCCGCCAACGGAAGGCCCGGCCAAAACGGCAGAGGCAAGTAAGCCTGTCCAGCCGCCGCCCCTTCCGATGCCTCTGCCGAAGGATGGGCAGGGCTTGGGGCGGCGATCGACGGCGGAGGGGAGCGGTGTTGCTGAGAGAGCACGGAAAGTCTCGGAGAGTGGGACGGTGCCGGCCGTGAGGGAGAGGAAAGAGAGTTTGGCGAAGGGTAAGGGGAAAGAGAAGGCGAAGGAGTCACAGCAGGCTGTGCGGAAGAATTCGACGCCCGTAGCGGCGGCGTCGACGACGAACACTGGCGGTGGGTTGACGGAGGAACCCACGCCCATGACTGATATGAATCTTGTAGACAATGTTACGACCACGACGAAGGGTGGAAAGACGAATGACGGTCCTGTTCCTGTCTCCAATGTAGAAGATCTGCTTTCTGCTTCACTTACGAACACTGCATCCCTCGAACCTCCTCCTCAGACCGAGCAACCCGCCACGCATTCTACTCCGAAGCAAGCCACCGTTCCGTTGGGCAAGCCGTCTAAAGAGAAGGACCTCAAAATCATCACCGATTCCACCTCCTCCGGCGCTAACCCTGCGCCTTCACCCACCACCACTACCCTTTCCAATCCTCCCCCTCCCTACACCGTCCGCGCCGCCGTCACGTCATCTGCGAACACAACCTCCAAACAGAAGACCCGTAATACTGGATCATCTCATCAACGCTCTCGCTCCACGCCGACTGGACCTCCGCCCAAAACTCCGTCTTCGTCCGGACCAAAGTCGGGGCTCTTCGGCGGGGTTGCGAGCTGGTTGCTTGGGAGCGAGCAGCCTCCCGTGGCGGAGAAGGACGAGCGTGTCGACAGCGATATGGAGTCGGACGAGTTGAAGACGCCTGAGCAGAAGGTACGAAGACTTAGCTTGTCCAGTCAGTCGAGTATCGCATCCACGGCGATTCCTGGCGGATGGGGCAGTTTCGATCCTGCAGCGAAAGAGAAAGAAAAAGAGAATAAGAAGAAGGAACAAAAACGATTAGACGCAGAGACGGCGGAGCGCGTGGCTGAGGAGGCCCGGAGGGTGGCGGAGAGGGAGGCGAAGGCGAAGGCTGAGCGAGAGGCTCGCGAGAAAGCTGAGAAAGAGGCTCAGGACCAGGTTGCGAGGGAGCTAGAAGAGAAGACGAAGAAGGAGGAGGAGAGGAAGGCGAAGGAGGAGGGGGAGAGGAAGGCGAAGGAGGAGGCCGCTAAGAAGGCGAAAGAGGAAGAGGCGAAGAAGGTGAAGGCGGAAGGGGAGAGGAAGTCGAAAGAGGAGGCCGATAAGAAGGCGAAAGAGGAAGAGGCGAAGAAGGCGAAGGAGAAAGAGGCCAGAAAAGCGAAGGAGGAGGAGGCGGACAGGAAGGCGAAGGAGGAAGAGGTGAAGAAGGTGAAGGAGGTAGAGGCGAAGAAGGTGAAGGAGGAAGAGGCCAGGAAGGCGAAGGAGGAGGCGGACCGGAAGGCGAAGGATGAGGAGGACATGAAGGCGAAGGAGGAAGAAGCGAAGAAGGCGAAGGAGGAAGAGGCGAAGAAGGTGAAGGAGGAAGAGGTGAAGAAGGTGAAGGAGGTAGAGGCGAAGAAGGTGAAGGAGGAAGAGGCCAGGAAGGCGAAGGAGGAGGCGGACCGGAAGGCGAAGGAGGAGGAGGACATGAAGGCGAAGGAGGAAGAGGCGAAGAAGGCGAAGGAGGAAGAGGCGAAGAAGGTGAAGGAGGAAGAGACGAAGAAGGTGAAGGAGGAAGAGGCCAGGAAGGCGAAGGAGGAGGCGGACCGGAAGGCGAAGGAGGAAGAGGCGAAGAAGGTGAAGGCGGACGAGGAGAGAAAGGTTAAGGAGGAAGAGGAGAAGAAGGAGAGGGAGAAGAAGACGGCAAAGGCTAAGAAAGGAGAACTCATGGAGAAAGCTAGGCTCGCCAAAGAGAGCAAAGAGAGGGTGGCCAAAGAGGCTCGAGAAGAGGCGGATAGAGAGGCGGCCAAAGCGGAACAGCAGCCTGCCTTGACTACTATACCCATGCAGGCCAATCCTCCTGTCCGACTCAGCGTTTTGGACAGGATACGTTCGAAAGTTGCGACACCGACTGACGCCGAACCGAAGTCGACTCCATCTTCCTCAAAACCATCCACGCCCGCGTCGACTACTCAACTTAACAATCCTTGGGTCACAAAGGTTGGGGGCACACCCTCACGTAACGCTTGGGGCCAACCTCAAACGTCCAAGTCGCCTGTAGGCTCTGAGTCCACGCACGAGCCCGTGACGAAGGACCCACCACGTCAAGGACACGACGCGAGGCTTGACGCTGCAGCAAGTTCGCCCGAGGTCGCCAATTCCACTACTTCGCCACCCGTGTCCTCGACCGTTACTTCTGAACCTGCTAGCAGTGCTGTGCTGTCCTTGTCTACTCCAAGGGAAGACACGAAAGCTCCGACAACTGGTACGTTTTCTCGGTCACTTCTTTTTATACAGATCTTAATTTGATGTAGATGCTGCATCAGCCACAACGAGTCTTTCTGCCGATAGAACAAAGTCCTCCGAGGTCGAAAAGACGCCTACAACCTCCACCAATATACCTTCGGAGCCCGCTCCCACCGCTGCTGATGCAAAGGATGCTGCCCCCGCCGAAGACGACCTTGTTCCCCCTCCCGTTCCCCCGAAATGCGATCATGATCTCACCAATACTACATCCGGCGTCGTCGCGAACGGCACCGCGGAGAAGGATGGCGTCCATGAGGCTTCGTCTACACCACCTGCTGCCGGCAATGGGTCAGCGAAAGCGGAAAACCCCCCCGTCGATGCTAGTGCAAGCACAGAGACGAAGGCTGCCGAGACCATTGCTACTTCCGAGAGCTTCCCTGAGGCAACCTCCACTGCACCTACCACTGGTGATCAAGCAACCAAGCAAGACGAACCTTCCAAGGCAGATCCTACCGCGCATGTGGCTAGCGACCAAGGAATCAAGCTCGACGCCTCTTCCTCTGTTGACGCTGTCGAGACTCCCACTCCTCCCGGGATCGTTCCTGCCACCCCCGCGGACGAGAAGGGACCTACAGAGCTAGATACTGAACCTGCTACACCGGCTAACGAAGTGGGACAGGGAGCGGCTCCCGATACCGCCGAGGTCCTCGCCAACGAGCATGATCCGGCGAAGAAGCTTATGCTCGAAGCAAGTATTCCGGACAATGCGAGCGAGACAGGCGAGAGTACTATGTCTGGGCCCGCGCCAAAGAAGAACAAGAAGAAGAAGAAGAACACCAAGCCAGGTAAAGTTTGCGGTTTAAAATCTGTGGCTGGCGATGATTAAACTCTTGTTTTGTTTCATCGTTAGCATCAGGTGCAAAATCATAGAGTCCAATTTGGCCGCCCCAGTCCCTCAGGTTTGCTGTCGATGGTCGTTTACTTCGACAATTATGTTCTACCAACTCAACCCCGCTACCGCATCCAAATTTCCCCGAAGCATGATGTCACCATCTCCCATTTCTTCCTGTTTTATTGCTTGAATTTACTCCCTCCGTATTCCTCCGTCGGCTCTCATATTTTCTACGTTCGGAACTTGACTCGCTCCATCCTGTTGTTGTTCTTTCTGTTCGTCCGGTCATGCTACTTGATCTCTTGCCATGTTTGTTACACCCGATTTCTACGCCACCTGTCTTCGTACGCCAGTTTGGCAGATCTTGCTCTTCGGTTGTTGTCTTTCTAGTCTCGTTCGTCAAGAGTCTTTTACTCTTTCCATCATTGTCTGTGGATGTTGTACATACTATCGATCCCTGTGGTTTCCGGAATTCTGCACCATGTAATAGAGCTTGTTTTGATTGTTTCTTGATGATGCCGACGATGAAGTTGGCATTCAATAAAGCGGATCCAAAAAAAAAACGAGCTGATGCGCTTCGTAGTCGCATATCGCACTTCATGCACATCCATCATGCGGTATTTGGCTGGTTAACTAGTAGTTAACAAACAAACCGACTGAGCACAGAAAATACGGGTCGTGTGCCCCGACATACGAACCGCAGTCACGAATGAATGGCTACGTTGTGCCTTTTCCAGAGTAGCACGCTGGTATCTATAATCTTATACCTATAAGACATGAAGTGAGCATGCTTTCCGAGTATTGTACAACTGGGCACATCATACAAACTTACCTCGAGCCAACCGAACACTTCCCCGTGGAGATGCACACGGTAAGATGTCTCCCGAAACTATACATGCGCGGCATAGATTGTATTTCTAGCGGATGCAGACAGACATAACTGAAGCACAAAGACAGACAAGGACAGGCAATGTCATGACTTAGTAGTCGATGATGAAGAGGAAGGGTCCGTGTCTAGTCAGGAAAAGAAGGCGTAAACGTGGGATGTTAGTCGTCAAGAGAGACCACAATAAAACTAGATAACCAAATGTTGAGTTAAACGAGATGGAAGTAAACGTACTAGAAATATCTTCATATGCGCTCGGTCTCTCTGCCGTCTTCCTCCCCAAAAACACTTCCTTCCATCCAATATCCTCATCTCCAACGATCACCACACCATTCGCATCCACTCCCTTCTGACCCTCTCGCCCAAGCCTCCTTAGCCTCTCAATCTCGGTATCATCCACATTCTCTCCTGTTTTCAGCCGTTTCGTGAGGTCTTCGAGAATGGATATCCGTGCGTTGAGATGGTGTCGTTCCGTCGTGGCTTCGCGGCGCTGGTACAGGAGGTGTACTGACAGTGAGCTGAAGATGACCGAGTATATGAGTTCTGGAAGGTGTCGCATCCGAACACGTGGAGGTCTGGGAGGGAGAGGGAGTGTTGAAGACATCGTGGATGACGGTCAAGAAGGTATGAAGGTAAGGTTGATGTTCAAGAGTGGCGAGCGGACTTTCGTCCGCACGAATTTCAATTGGGGTGCCACCGAGGTTATGTGAGTGCCACCGTTGCAGGCTTGCAGCTTCCTTCACTTTCGAGCATTCCGTCGTCGTAGATCAGTCGGGAGAGGTTGAAATAATTTGCCAAAGACAGTGTACACACGTATATTCTGTAAGTAGTTCGTATATCTAGGGAACATATATAGCACTCGGAGAGTTGAGCGAACCCAAACCGAAAAGGGTACTGTACAACGTAAGGAGAGATAGATCGTACAACATATAAATCAGGGAAAGAAGCGGTAAGGTTGAGAGGCTCTGTCATCGTATCAGCACCATGTGAGCCCTACTTACACTATCAACTGCACCGGGCCATTGGATGTCGTCACTTGGACCGTACCACTCCCTGTCAAGCTTTGACCACCGTCGGCTTGCTCCTCCAGATCCACAAGACCACTGCGCCATGCGACGTTCCCTCGCAAAGTCCCCCCGATCACGCTAGAGGTATCGACACGCCGACTCCTTCCAGCACCAGAAGGGTCTTCTACGTCGTGAACCCTTCTCACTGCAGGCGCGGCGTTCGAAGTGGACAGCACAAAGTCGCCTTCGTAGGCAGCGGGGACAGAGACCTCGGCTGGTGCATTGGAGGTTTTGCCTTCGAGAGTCAGAGTTGAATCGACGGGAGCTTTGTGAAGGGTGAGTTCGAGGGGCTTGTTGCTCGTTCTGGCGTCGATTTTGAATTGGCCATAATCAGAGGTGCGGTGGGAAGAGTAAAGAGAGATGGAAGTCTCAATTTTCCTGCATCGGTGCGTTTAGGTTGAGTGATCATAAGTTGACGAAAGAAAGGGGAAACTTACCCATTTGATGTTTCAAGCCTGAGAGAGGTCGGCAGGCCAGCGTTATCGTTGTACATGTGAATGACCGCGTCGATCACGCCGTTAGAGGTGACGAGGTCGAGCGAGCTGCTTGTGTTGTAGTAGCCATATATCGGTGCGTTAGAACTTTCCACCTTCGCGGTAGCCGCGCAGACGGACTGTGGAGGGAGATTAAACACCCTCCATTAAAGCGATAAAGGATAAGACGTACCTTCAGTTGAACTGGTTTATTGGCGGTCTTGAGGGCAAAGTGGCCAAACTCGTAGGAGCTTTGGAGGTCTCCGATCGTAGTAGAGAATGAGGGAAGGTCCATCTCGAAGGAAGGAATATAGGTAGGAGTATCATCGCTCGCTGGCGGTGGAAGGCGAACATGGATCTCGACTTGCAATATCTTATTGAATATGTTGTTGAACCACGAAGAAGCGCGCTGTAACATCAGGATATCGATGTCGATATCAGTCAAAATCAAATCAAGAACCGCTTGCGCAGTCAAAAAGGCGATGTCACATACCTTGACACCGATATGGTTCTCTCCAAAAGGTCCCATCCACCAGCACACTTCCGTACTATCAAGCCCCGACAACGAGGCAGCGTGAACAAAAACGTCCACCCTGGTTTGCTGATCTTCCCTGCCAAGCGTAGCATCTTCATAGACGTACACGTCTCCGGAATGGGACCATCGTGACTGCGATGATAGTACGAGACTGGCATCGACAGGAAGAGAGTATGTGGCAAGGGCCTGGGCACGGTGTGAGGGTTGGCGTACATTGCGCGTCTCGTCTGCTTCCGATGTAGAGACTAGCTCAGAGGCACTAATGCATCCTAGCTGCGCCCAGTCTGAAGGGGAATGATGATGTCCGTGACGTCCATGTCCATGCCGACGTCCAGCCAAGTCTACCACACCATGACTTACGACAGCAAAAACGAGCCATACAAGGACGGCCACAGACAGAGCCTTGAAAAAGCGCATAGATGTGGACTCTCGAGACTGGGGGTGGTATACGGGTGGGGGCGGGTCTGATGACATAGGGGGCTGTCTGACGGTATATGACTGTTGGGAGTAGGGAAACGACACAGGAGGCCCTTGAGGCATTGGCCGTGAGGTACCAGCAGTGCTATATGTAGCTGGACCTTGAGCATCGTACGCAGGAGGCTCATCGTTTGGTTCGTCTGACTTGTGCACTGGAGAGGAACAGCGTAAATCGTCAGCGGGGGAGATCAAGCTGGCACAGCACGGACTCGGACGATGACGACAACATTGGACTGGTACGCACTTCTGGCTTCGTCGATGATATCGGTTTCCTACACTGTATGATTGAGAATTCTAAACACCCGTTGACGATATACTGCTATGATGACCAGCGACCAAGTACTGACCGGTGGTGATGGTGTGGTGCATGAACGAGGCGCAGTTCAAGCGCCCATCTTTCTTACGCCACCAGGCGGTAGCCTCCGGGCCGGATGTGATATGAGAGGCTCGCTGCGCCACAATAGGGGACTGGCTATCCTCCTCACGGACTTCTGGCAACATTTTGAACTCAACATCAGAGCGCACCGCTGCTCACATATTCAAGCCTTTACACGTATAATAACTTGCTTGTATCATCCACGAAACGCCCGCACTGCCATGTTGTTAAAAATGGCCCTACAAGAGGCAATCTTGCTTTCGGCGCATGATAACTTCCCCCACTTCACTGTCTACCTCTACCTCTCTGTGACCCTCGCATGTCCATGGTTGCATTCACCTTTGGCTCGTTTGGCGACATTCTCTCCATCATCGACCTCGCCGTCAAAATCCGCAAAGCACTCGGCGATGGCGCCGGCTCCTCGAAAGACTACCAGGCTCTGCTCTTCGAACTCGATTCGTTCTCTGATGTCTTGACGACTGTACACAACGCAATCTATTCTCAAGATAAGACGCAGAAATTGCCAGGTTCTGTCGAGCGAGCGATACGAAGTGCGCTCAACTCGGCGAGAGAGCTCTTAGGCGAGTTCTATGCGTCTATATCATCGTACAAAGGCAGTTTGCAGGAGGGAGGGTCAGGGAGCATGATACGGGATTCGTGGTGGAAGATTGGCTGGTCTTTGTTTAAGAAGGAAGAAGTAGTAGAGATGCGGAGGAGGTTAAAGGATCAGGTCGAGAGGCATAACGCGCTACTAGCAGTCTCTCAATGGTAAGTTGAGCTTTACGCTTACATTGCGGACAAATATCGATTTACATTGCTCTGTATACGACAGGACTTCTCTCCGACGGTTAGAGGAAACTTCCAAACGACAGCATCTCACGCTTGCTCAGGTTTCCCGTCAAATGGAGAGGCCTCCTCCAAAGCTCGGTCATACTTGGGAAGGAGAAAGCAGCTCTTCAACAGATCGGCTACTCCTACTGACCGATATGCTCGGCCAGACAATATCACTTCCCATAGAACTGTGTGCAACTCGCGAGGTTAGCTCACTGGTGTCCTTGCCACACAGTACACTGTTTGCTAACATACAGCAGCTCTTCGATAACCTACTGAAGCTCTACTTTGCCAATCGTGCGGGAGAAAGTTTCGTTGAGCGGGGAGACTATGATATCACTGTTTCTGACGATATTTCACATATTGCTCCGATCAAGTCAGCACAATGGGGTGATGTGGTCAAACCCGGTACTGCTCTCGCGATGAATGCAATTCTTCGCCGCGAGAAGAAACATCTTTGTTACTGTCCCTGCTGCAGTCGGGTCATAGAATCTGGATCGATGGAACCTGGCTCTAGTATAAAATGGTGAGTAGAACCTATCTCGTTTATAGTTATGTATAGAGGCTCATGCTTGTCACAGCACATATTGCAGCGCTTGGCTCACTGTTTCTCGAAGTGAACAGCCGTTTCTCGTTTCTATCGACATCGAATGCAATGGCCAACTAGTACATTGCAGGAAACCTCCCACTTTTCTAAGTAATATCACGCCTCGGTCGCCGTTTCCTGTGACGGCGCTAGGAGACAACGAGATTCAGTTCCTCCGCCGTATACATGTCACGGAATCAGTCTTGGTCATGCCACTGATTGCGGTATGCCTACCTTGTTCATCAACAGCATGCAGAACTCCACTCAACCTAATGCATCTTCGCAGACTGGGTTTCGCACGTCCTGGTATAACTCTCGCGGCGAAAAAGAGATAGGCAGGATTACGGATCTACGTCAAGTGGACGAGGTAAGCTTCATCTCGCTCGCTTGTGTGGATGCGTGCTCATCAAGCCACAGTGTACCGAGGTATGCCAAGTTATGTCTGTGGATCATGAAATTCTACCGTATTCATTGAGTTTTTTGCGCATCCCATATTTCTCCTCTTACACTGCTTTTACAGAACTGAGAGCACGACCTCAAAGTCTCGAGGCCGGGCCAACTCTTTCGCCTCCGTCGTTGGCGAGGCTGCCGTCGAAGAATTGGAGGACGAGTCTGACACCAGCGAGATCGGCTCTCCGCTTCGCGAGAACCTGTTAACCGACCTCGGCGATGGATTTGAGAGAGATATGGAAAGTCTCACTTCGATGCCCTCGTCGTCCGGAGCTACCACCGAAGATCGAGTGGAAGGACGCACTTCGTCGGGTTGTTAGGTGCGGCCTTTTGGAAAGTGTGGGTGCGATTTGGGCTCTTTTTCTGGTTGCAGATCTGAAGGCGGATCCTATTAGGCTTGATTATGAGAAGTCCTCACATTCTGGACTTCTCACTACGAATAGCGTTTCGGTGTATGGAAAGCATGTAATAGGCGTTTGCTTCGTTCACAATGTAAAGTGACGAGAGTGTAGTGGCAGGTTCCAATGGTAGACAGTCGTGGTGTCCACGAACGAAGGTCGTGAAGATGAATGTTCTAAGTATAAAATAACAATAAGTGGCATGGACGCACAACAAGAACGCTTCCAAGGACAGACGTACTTCGAATGCAGGCATGTTCGTTTCGACGTCTCTCCCTACTCGTTTATGGCAGCTGACATTTATTCAAGTTGTCGGACACAATTTGGATGCCGCGAAGTTGGCGTAGCTTCCGTAAACCGGCTGCTATTTTTGGACGTGAGTGTCGTCCGTTATTGTTCTTGTGCTCTCCCATCCTGAACACGACAACGTCCTTATCTTCCCTGGCGACCGGCAGAAGATAATACAAGTCCAATACCGACTGATTCGTGCGTTTAAAAGTCATGCCTCGTACTATCTGATAGTGAGCGTCAACAAGGCTGTGGTGGAGACGGATCGGAGGATCAGTGGACCGATGTCAGAGTCAGACTCACAGGGGTGTGAGAGTGTTCATTTATGGTTGGATAATTGCGTCGTCGTTGCCAGTCGCCAGTTTGACAGCAGGCGCGAATCATGCTGTGACTCCTCTGTTGACTTTCGAGTTCTCAAGAAACCCAACTGCGAGGGTAGTGATTTCAACCTTGAATTCGTCGTTGAACACGATGCGTACAGCCGCAGAGACTTTAGCTGCTCCGTCGGCTATCTAACCATGTGTGCAGAGAGCTAGTGGATAATCGGTATCCCAAGATCTCAAAGGTAGTTAGGCTGCGAAAGGTCCAGGTATGCAACTAGTAAATACGGAGAAAAGGGTCGTAACGCGCCGCCGACGTTGTCGTTTCATTAAATATACGCTTTGAAGGTTTAATTTGCCAATTTGCCTCCGCGCTTGAATTTGAAATGAACGTACTGTAATTGTTTGACAGGGATCTCCGGTGTGCTCCGGTGTGGCACCGCGGACATCGATGCCACCTACAATGGTGCAGGCTTTCTGTCCACGACAACGACGACGAACGACAACGTTCGGTTAACTGGCTGTGCTGTCTATGTGTCTTGCTTCTACGCTGCAGCATGTCCAGTCGGCTGAGATGGAAAGCTCGAGCGACGCCCGAACATGCGTGAAATGATGGCGATAGGCGCGGTGGGAGGGACGAATGGAAGGTGTTGGACAATTGTGCGAAGAACAAAAGCGTGTTGGCCGCACCGGCGCCTCTCGTCTGCTCGCTTGCCTCGAATTGTGACGGCGATGGAGATCCCACTGATTACAAGCGGTCTATATAGCCAGCGATCCCCAGAGGTCCCCTACCCGGCCCCTTCTCCTCTTCCGCACTCTCCAGGCTCAGCTGCCCGTCTGTGGCGACTCGACATCAGCCGCTCTCCTCATTCGTGTGCCGCGCACTTCTTATACTTGCCATCTCCTCGTTCCATCATCCCATCATCCCTCTTTCCCAACTCCGACCCGCCACACCCACCCCCTACATCAGTCCTCAGCTGACTCCTTCCCCTCCAAGTCCTCTGCCCCAAACCCAGTCCACTGCAGTCATCCTCACAGCTTTAGCTTCAACGTGAAACGAGGACTCGGACATAGCACAGCCGACAGCTTGCTTGCTTTGATCATTCATTGTCGTCTTGCTCAGCCCTTCCCACTCGCGCTCTCGCTTGAACCCCCTGAACGCAGACGACGACCTCAGTTCAGCTGATCCAAGCTCAACTTTTTGTTCTCGTCCGCTCTAAACCCCGACGCTCGACTACCTGCTCTCGTTTATCCTATTTCTTTTCTCGTCGTGTCGCTATGGCCTTCTCACAGTTTGGTGCTTTCCCCTCCCTGGACAATGTCCTCGGAGACGACGAGGACCACTTCATCCCCCAAGCTCAGCCGACGTCTTCCTCGAGGAGGCGCTGGTTCGGAAACCGTATCAATGATAGTGCGCCACTCCCGGCGTATGAGGCAGGTCCGAGCTCCAACTCCAAGTCGGTACGTATCTCAGGCTATTGTCTTGTTTGTGGTTCGTTGCTTTCATTTCGTCTTCGCTTCCGTCTTCGTCTTCGCATTCCGTTCTTCGTGTCTCCGAAGTCTGGAATGCGTCATTTTTGGGAGCTTCCATGTCCACGCATATGAAAGTTCGGTGCGGAGAAACCCTGGCCAAGACGTTCGTTCTGGTCTTTGCTTCCCGATCGCTCCGGACAAGAATAGATCCATCTATACTAGACAGAAGCGGTGGCGCTCTAACCACACGGATTTACATGTCTGCGCCGTTATCCGTCCTATCGTATTATTTCCTGCGCTCCAGTCAGGACACGAGACAAGCTACCTTAGAGATCATACCAACTTTGTCTCTTGCGTCTTTGCGCCTAAAATCATCCGATGTTACCCCAGTGAACGTACACTGACGTGCTTTGAATGTTACTTTTGCCACAGCGATCACCAGGAGGACGGACGGGAACACCAAAAGGCCCACGCTCTCAATCACCACTACTAGTCGCTGGTAGTGGGCCTGGCTTGCGCGAACGTGATTTAGAAGAACATAACCGGCGCCTCGCACTGCTCGAGTCGGAAAACGAGCGGCCTTACTCGTATGGGCGCCACCGCCACCCACATGCCACTCGCCACCACCACGAACAGCAAGAGTCGCACGAGCATGGGGAAATTCACGAGAACGATGGGAACGGTGCACAGAGGGACCACGACCACGAGCTCAATATCCTCCACGTCGAGCCTTCAGAGCTGGATCGTGAGCTTCCGCCGTACGAGGCCGTGGATAGCGGTGTGCCGCTCGGTCTTCGGGGACAGGTAGAGCAGGCGTTGGGGATACAAGTGTCGATGGACGCGGACGGGACTTACACGTACACCACCACGCAATCGCCACTGGTCACACCATCGCAGCTGGTCGACTTGGGGTATCAGTTCTACACAAGGGATTCGTCTGCGGGGTTGGTCATGTCCTCGACCTCGGCGCCACGCTCACCACAGGATGAGGTGCCTGTGGCTGGTTCGGAGAACGTGAATGTGAATGTTAATGCGGCCTCTGAGAGTGGTCCGAGCGGGGCGGGTGCGAATGGGAATTCGAGCGCGAGCGCGAGCACGCGGGCGAATCGGAGGAGAGCACGGGCGGTCAGCATCGATTCAGCTAGTGAGTTTCCTCTTTCCTCTTCCCTCGGTTTTGCCTCCATCTGTCGCGGTTTCTCGGTTCGTCGACGGAGCGCTTCGTGCTTTTGGTTGAACCGGGTGGCGGATCGCCGCCAGGTTTAGACATTGCATTCGATGCATGACGTCGCACATAGCGTTTCATCAACCCGTCATCGCAACGAGTCAGCCATCATTCTGGCCCCTATCCCGCACAGTCCCAATCATCGTTCCTCCTTCCATTTCCATCGTTGAAACGGAGACAAAATGCTGACTGCCTGAAACTCTCTTCTCTCAGTCTTCGCGGAGATATCGAACCACAGCTTCGACCTCCGCTCCCTCGCCTCCTTCCGTACCGCCGACCTCGCGTCCATTTGGTCCGCCGACTCCGATCTTACGCTTTATGATGGTCCTGAGCGCGAGCGGCGAGAAAATGAGTACATGCAGAGGCACAGTCAACGGCCGAGGCAGTCTCGACCGCCTGTTGTGACTAGTACGTTGTTTATCAGCGACGGCCACGGCCGTCCATCCGGAGATGCGGTTGTCGTGCAAGGCAGGACGCCTGTCGACCCCGTCTTGTCGCATTTTGGTGGCACGGGGATGGATGATGTCGACTTCGACTTAGAGGGTGAAAATGCCCAAGAAGTGTCGGCCAGAATGTCTAGGTTGCCGGATGATGTGGCGATGGAGATGGGTGCGAGAGGAGGACAACGTGCCGGTGGTTTGGATAGGGATGCCGACTTGGTTTCCGAACTCGATATGGGCTCGGACTCGGACTCGGATTCTGGTTCAGAGCATGGCGAGGACATCGGTGCACTTCTGGACCATCCGACCGGCTCTGATATCGTCACCCCAGTGTCATCTCTTCCAAGACCTTCGCCCCTCCGCGACCCTGAAGGAAATCCCAATGCCTCCACTTCCTCATTGTCGTCGTCCTCCTCTTCGTCCTCGTGCTCCGTGTCGACGGAACGTGGCTTAGCGAGTCCCAACGCCGTCATCGCTACCGATGCGTTCGACCTTGACGTTGAGATGGATGAGCAGCTCCTCCGCGAACCTCAAGCCGCCTTCGCAGAGATGTGTTGGGCCAGCGCCGTCGCAGACCTCGACCCATCCGACTCAGAGTCCACCCATGACGACCAGTCTCCGACCTCGATCGATTTCAACGCTCTCGTCGGCGACTCGCAAGATCCAGAAACGCCCACGCGCATTGAATTTGCGCCGTTGCAGGCGGGTTCGAAGGCGGCGAGGGCAGGTTTTGCGAGGTCGAGGGCGGAGTTGGCGGGGAGTTATGGGTGGAGGCGAACGAGGATGTGGGCGGCGGCAGTTACGGTCGGTCAAACTTCGAGCGCAAGCTTGGAGAACGAGAACCAAAACAAGAAGTGGAGAATGTCGAGTTCTGAAGCAGATTTGTTGGACAGCGCAAAGAGAGAGATGTGGGACGTCGAAGAGGAGAGGGAGACCGAGGGTGGCGAGGAGGCTCAACGTACGACGCCACACACGCTCAACAACTCTCATGCCTATAAGGACCAGCCTTCGCCACCTCTACCACCGCTTCCTGTACATTCGCCTGCTCCGTCCCGTTCGTCGACATCGCCCATCTCTCCGATCTCGCCATTATCTCCGTCTTCCCCGCGCCCTGTCCCCATATCATCCCTGTACACCTCCACGTTTGATGTGCCTCCACGGTCATCGACCGCATCTCCAGTGCCGTCGCATACCCATTCCGCACACTCGAACTCGAACTCTAGTACGAACTCTCGGTCAAAGGCAAATTCCAATCCGGACAGCCGTGTCGAAAGCCCGAACCAGGCTTCCCAGTTCCTCCACCGCGACCCTTACTCCCCCACTCCCTCGTCCTCGAAACACGGCCGATCGCGCTCGTTCTCAAAAGGCCTCTCACCGTCATACGTGGATGCGCATCCGAGCGGGATGATCTGGCCCTCGCGCGTCCAGTCTCCCAGTCCGCTCTCGGCGAGTGTGACGGCGAGTAATACTATGCACATGGAGATGGAGACTGCGCTGGTGCGCAATGGAAAGTCGGTGGCACTGGATGAGTCGCAGGGCGTGCAGAGTTTCCCGGTGCCGGATGTGATGAGTGGGGCAAGTGTGGGTACCGGGCCGGGTAGAGGGTCCATTAAGAGGTTTGCGAGGAGGGTTGTTAATGTGAAGGGCTGGGGTGGAGGGGCTGCTAAAGTTCTTGCTTGAGGAGGATGAGTCGGTCACGACTTCTCCCATGTGCATCTAGAAGATGCGATGACGACCTTTCGACGATGCTTTTGATTATGCCTTGCTCACCTCCGTTTCCTCTCTCGGTCTCGCTGCTTGAATTCGCTCGTGATCGTTCTGTCTCGCTTGCTTGCTGCTTCGTCTCTTTTGGTCTCTTTGTTATACGCTAGGCTCCATGCATGATGTGCATTATAATACTCTTCTGTTCGTCGTCCTCGCCGGCACGAGTTCTCTTTCTTTGCATTGTCTTTCCTCTTTCTCCTCTATACTTTTATACTTTCTCCTAGTCTGTGTCCTCTTCCTTTTTTCTTCTTCTTTCACCACATCATCTGTATCCGCATCCATCATCGCCAAATTCATCTTATACGCCCGCTTTTTCTTCTCACATCCAAAAGCACTCCTCTTCCCCACGTTCCAATCTTCATCTTTTCTTTGGTTTTACTTTCACGTTCCTCTCTCTCGTAGCTTACTGCACCCCCTCCGTCAGTCTCGTCCCCGATCGCGGGTCGCTACCCCGTTTGCCTTTGCTTTGCCTTGCCTTAGCCAAGTGCCACCCGTGTGTATAATAGTATCGCGCCGTGAGCCTGTTGCACTATTACTACTGTACTCTGTGATGTCGCCGTCGTCGTAATATGAATCGGAGCTTGGGACTCCTATTGTCATTTTGGATGTTGGTGGCTGTCTGCTATTGGCACGAGCGGAGAGGAAAGTGATGAGCGGCCACTTCCTTAGTGACTGTAATCAGGCTCCGCCGGCTCTTGCCGGGCGTGTGTATTGTTTCGCGAACGGCAGTCGCCAAAGAGTACGTTATGCGCTTTCCTTCGTTTGGTTTCAGCGTGGTAGAGCTTAGCGGATGTGATTCAACCTGCTTTTAGAACGAGACAAGCTACGCTCATCCTCGGCTCTTTGAATGGTCCCGGGCAGTCAATCTGGAAACTCGGAGCCCTACCCAGGTAAACCTGACCGACTCAGACGGGATGCTCATCCTATGGCATGTGAGACATACTTACGTTGACACAGCTGGCGAGTGGGTTATTTTAACACTGCCCTCACAAGCTAAACACGCCGACTCTGAGGACAATGTTTTCATAGCGCGAACGGTGATACTGGCCAATGCTACGCCGTTGATTGCAACACTCTGAGTTTGCGAGGTCAATGACAGAATACTTTGTATTTTCGATGAAATATTGCTGCTCAAAGTCTTCTCTCAGCAACGGTATTCCATGTAGGTAATATATTTGTCCACAACCTTCGATGTCATGCACGCTGTAGATAAGGAGGGAAGGTTGACACCGGTGACGGTAGAATTAATATTCTCGACCGGTCTAATGGCGTAAGTCTTCGACCTTGACAACATGCTAATAATTTTCGACACCATAGTATGCCGAATCTTTTTGAGCGCGGCCCGAGACTGAGGATGCGAAGACTTTTTTTGCAGATCTATGAGTATCTGTGTCCAGAAACAGGTAGCTGTCCTGGCTTCAAGTTGTCTTTTTGAACATTCTGTATGACGCATCACACGCTCACAAAAATAACGAACGATTTACCATTCGAGAATCTGGGGGTGTATCAGTCACCTCTTATCGACTGATATTTTACTGTCCAGGTAGCCGGTCTAAGTCTAAATTTTTGTCGGAGATCAGCAGGGCATCCTCGAGACGATTAGGCCATACAGTGGTTATGCGCATTCCCAGACTCTCCGGCCATACTAACCCCATCTTCCACCCAAATACCCTATTCGCGAAGTATGCTAAAGTCTCATACTTATAGATTTCTCGTCACGTTCAAGCTCTCCCCCACCATTCCTTTCTTTGCCCTTGTCTCTCTTTTGCAGCCCAACCACCATGGACTTCGAATATGGAAAATAAAATGGACACTCACAAGGAGTCCTTTGACAATTTGAAACGGTTCGTCTCGAAGTTGCTTGTCACAGCGACTCCAAAATGCAGCTTGGCGTTTGAAAGTGGCACCCGGAACCCAACTCGGTACGTACTTGACTGGAACAGGAATCATGCGTAAGCCACAGGAATATTTTCCTGAAAAATGCCGAGTGGTATCAAAAGACGAACGGGCGGGAATATTTTCACACAGAAAAGTGCCGGGCATGGCTGCTCGCGAAAACATTTCGACTTGCTTCTCTCCAAGCACCAAGAATGGGTGGTTGGGATCCGTAACCTCCAGGCCGTACATGATCTTCATGATTGCTGCACCGACATATCTACAACGGAAGAGGAATAAGTAATACATGAACAGACGTGTTTGAAGCCCACAATGAGGAGGACTTGCAATCGAAGGTCGGAAAGAAACTCCGAAGCATCACTATGGCGGTTAAGGTTCTTCAGCAGCTTGTGTGCTTCTGACATCTGAAAACCTCGGTAGATCTTCATTGCCTCTGGCCCAAAGTGTTGGTGAAAGACTTTGCGCCGGATACGCCAAGCTTCGCCGTACGGCAGCTGAGTAATCTGCCATCCCATGTCCATCCTATTGTGGATCGACCGCAACATCAGCACTCTGAATCTGTACTTTGATAATCCACGCGAGAATAACATACAGTTCAACCATCATCACTTGACGCATTCTTCCGGAGTAAAGAGTCGAACGTTTCTCGAACAAATCTGTCACCGCCTCCGGTGAGCTCAGGATGATCATGGGTTGCCCAAACACCTCGACAGACATGATGTCGCCTACAGATCATAAACGACGATAATGACAAAAAGCCAGACCAAGCTCAGACATGAATGGCTGCAGATGAGATGAGACTATACGACTTACCATACTCCTTCGCCCATCTGTCAAATACGATCCACGGTTTTATTCCTTTCTCCATACAAAGCATGTCAAGCGCGTTACCGATAAATGGCCATCTACTTCGCCTTGGTCCAGGAGGTAGAAATCGAGAACGTCGGTCTTTGCGAGCCTCATGTATGCTCCAGAGTATGATACAAGAGATTGTAAACGCAATAGGACCCACGGATTTCCATTACGGCTGGTTTACGGAATGATGGTACTAGGAAAATGGGTCTGCGCCCACGTCTGTCGCGGCTTCCATGTTGGAAGACGTACACAATGAGGACGATGAGATTGTCGCAAGAGACAGTGTCGGTGTCGCTTACGCTGGTACGGTCATTTTGGGTCGTTGATTCACCATCGAAGTAAATTCGCTGATCCCATTTCCCAAATTTAGCAGGCATAGATACGGTATGATCTCGCGTTTTGCGTCGCGTAAGAATTTATAATACTTATATTAAAGCCTTCTTTTTTTGCCCTTCAGACCAGCTCCTTTTTACAAACATTCGTTCTAGCCATGATCACACATCAGTCGGTGCAAGAGAAAGCTCAAGCAGAGGTCGATCGCGTTATCGGCGTCGATACTCTACCGACCTTCAAACATCGAGACCAACTGCCATACATCGATGCACTGATCAAGGAGTGCATGCGTTGGGGAGTTATTCTTCCCATGGGTACGTAGTTTATGGACTACGCCGTCATGACTGGTGTTCTGATAATGATATAAACGGGTAGGCGTGCCGCACCAGGCAACGAGTGACGATGTATATAAAGGGTATCATATCCCTCAGGGCGCTCTCGTGATGGCCAACAGCTGGTACTGGTGCCAACCTAGAGCACTCTGAGCACGTCTTACTTACCTGTGTCGACTATGCAGGTCGATACTGCACAACTCGGAAATCTATCCTGACCCGGAAGTCTTCAGGCCAGAGCGCTTTCTCGAGGACGGATGCAAGGACTATAGTGACTTCGCATTTGGCTACGGAAGACGGTCATTACTATTTTTCGCCGTAATCCTCATCAGGCACCAGGTGTGCTCACGGTGTTATGAGTATTAGGGTGTGTCCAGGTAAATGGTTCGCTACAGAGGCCGTGTGGGCGGCCGTCGTATCGATATTGGCATCTTTCGACATTGTGCCGTCAATGGATGAGGAGGGAAAGCTAAAGTCTGTCACTGTGGATTGCACTGTTGGCGCAGTTTCGTTCGTATCATTCCTTAAACTCGTATCGACAGTCTTGAGCATGGACGTCTTGCAAGATGCTGACTGTTGCGTTGGTGTAGGATGCCCGTTCCCTTTGATTTCGACCTGCGCGTCAGGTCAGCGAGTATGAAGGAGTTACTCGCGGAATTGTAGTTCTGTCGTTGTTATTTCTTGACCTACGTACCCGCAGATGTATTTTGTGACGGTTATTTGGTGGAGTCCAATGAGATGAGAATGGAGCGAACATTGTTCGAGCCGCGAGATGCCATTTGGGGGTACTGCGCTTCTTGAGGAACCAGAGGCAAATAGCTAGCTCAGTGTGCGATCGTGAAGTCTTGGTACCACAGTAGATGGAGGAAGCTATGGACCGATATAGGCGTGGTGGCGGCAAAAAAAAATGAGGCCTGCCCCTGTGCTAGTTAGATTGCACATCAGTAAATATAAATATATACTATAGTAAAGCCAAGATGAGTATAAATAGGTATTATAAGTATCATGTCCACTCCCTGCTCGCTAGGCCGCTCTGTGGGCCACAGAGCGGCCACCCGGAAGCGGTAATTCATAACTTGGGCGGAGCTTGAAAAGGGCGGCGCCACCGCCACTCTGAGATTTCCGTTCCGTCGAGTAGGTCGTATCGATTGGTTCAATTCCTTTATGGTCGTCTCGCTCAGTAGTATTCTGCACGGGGAGTTATTGCAAGTAGAATCCAGATCCATTTGCAATTCCATACGCGAAAGTTTCTTAGATATGTAAGTTATCTGGTATGCTATAAAAATGAAATGAAGAGTGGCTTGAAGTTGTCGATGCTAGATAGAGGGATGTGTCCTGGAGATGATGTGAGTGGTGAAAAAAGGGGGTAAGGGGCAAGAGGTGAGTGGGGGGAAGATGGGTGGATGAGGAGATGGAGATGGAGGGGAACGATGCAGGATGTACGGTCTCAAGATCGAAGAATGAAGAATGAAGCAAGATGGGAAGTGAAGTGACGACAGCGGAAAGAGAAAGAAATAGACGAGTGAGAGATAGTGAATAGAGAGAGGAATGAGTGTGGTTGAACGAACGACGATTGATGCTACATTGGCAATGAGCAAGCAGAGAGACTGGAGTGGGAGATGAACGAGAGATTGAGAGATGAGAGGAAATAGAAAATGGAAGACGGAAGAAGCGCAGGAACGGACAAGAGAGCAGAAACAAAAGATAATCTAACGGATAGAGATAGACGAACGCAACGAAGCCCGAAATGGGGACCAACGGCCAAATCCAAACAAGCACACACAAAGTGAATAACTATACACACCAAGCAAACCGAAGGCAACAAGGAACAAAATATCGAAACACGGGCGAAACAGAGGCAGTGATAGAAAGCAGAAAACAGAAGCGGGAAAAACACAAGAAACAAGAAGCCTGACCCAAGATGATGACGGAGAGAAGGAATCCTAGAAGCAGGTGCACAGTCCAGGGCAAGTTTTACGATGGCGGAGAGGCAGCAGACACGGCTACGGATGGTGGCGCAGAGACGGGGATAGCAATCGAAGTCGGTGTGGGCGGCGTTGAGGTAGCGGTATTTCCACCGAAGAGAACGGTGCTCCTCCTTTTCCACTTCTTCCCCAGGTCCTTCGCCTTCCCCACCCATCCAGTGCCCAGATCGTCGTTCTCTTCCGCGTTCTCGTTATCAGGAATAGTCGCTTCATCGTCCCCATTCACCGCATGCCTGACAGTGACGGAGGGAACGCTGCTCTCATCAACCACCCGATCACTGCTCTTACTTCTCCGCATGGCGAATCTCGACGTCTCCTTCTTCAAAATCTTGCCTTCCCGGACTGTCGCCCTTTTCTTCAACTTGTCTCCTAGGCCCCCACTACCCATCAGGTTCATTCCCCTGGTATTCTTGCCGGCTGGAGGTGCGTTGAGAGTGTGGAGGGCTACGACGGCCGCCCTGCTCTCTGGCCGCACATACGCCGCCTGCCCTTCTACTCCCGCGCCACTGCCGTTCCCATTACTATGGTGGCTGGGTGCGGTGGGGCTGACAGGAGACGTCGGAAGGCCGTGATCAAGGTCGAGCCCGACCTCCAACGAAGCAGAAGAAGTCTTTTCTTCCACTACCACGCCGATCACGACGTTTCCGTCCAGCCCGCCGCCGCCAATGAGGGAGGCCTTGGACCGTGAGCGGGAGAGTTTACGTGCGATGATTTCGCCGACGCTGCGAGAGATGGAAGCACGTGGAGCGATAGTTTGAATTTGGGTGATGTGGTCGGATTCGAGACGGTGTGTGAGGGAAGTGTTAGAGCCGAGAGAGGAGACGGTATCTGTGCTCTGGGTCTAGAGGGAGTTTCGGAAAAATGTGAAATGGGTGGTGATGACGAGGACGAGATCAGTCAGTCTCGGCACGGTTCTAGAGAGCGCACAGGCACATACTCGGGCACGGTTATTAGACGGATATATTGATGCGAAGCCGACGGCGGGTCCAGTCCCGTTCGCGGTATTGCCGTTACCGTTGACGGAGGCGACTCCAGAAGGAGCATTTGGGTCCGTCGTGCTGAACGCAGATGCTCCCTGGTCGTCGGGCTGTGTCATATCACGGACGCGAGTTGAACGAGATCAGCATTCAAGTCACAGCATCGTTGAATGGTGGTGTGCAATACGTGGTCGCGAGCTGAGCTCAACTCACCTGTCCGAACCGAGTTATGGAGATGCTCCCCCTTCGCCTTTCCCTGTCCCTCCCATACGTGCGCTGGGGGTTTTCGTTCGAAGCCGGAACGGCCGCAGGACTAGTGGGGCTGAATGTGAGAGACTGTACCTCCGACCTGGGACTTGCGGGGGTCAAAGCAGGGCTCAAGCTCGTTGGCGAGCTCATTGTCGAGTCGACCTTCTCCGTAGCCGACGTGGAGTTCATACGTTCAACCGATGGTACTGCCCGTAAACGTTCGGCAGAAGCTGGAGCGCGTAAACGCTCGGAAGAAGGGGCGGCACGTAATCGCTCGCGGGAAGAGAGAGAACGAAGGCGTTCAGATGACGGCGGTGAGGAAAGTGACGAGGTGAGGGTGGTCGAGCGAACACGGGCGTTGTTCGTCGTACCAGACGGCTGGTTTGCGTCGTAGTTGACGTGGGAGAAGGATGTCTGATGTTGGAGTTGGTGCGCCTGGGATTCTTGAGCCGAGTGGGCGAGTGCCGCACGGCGTTCAGACTCTTGCTCCAATTTTTGGAAGATCTGAGTTGCATAGAGTCAGCAAAAGGACGAGACGTGGTAGACGGTTGAGGGCTCTCGACGCGTCGCGTGCGTTCCCCGTCCGGAGACATACTTTTTCAAGAGCTTCCGGGTGCGACATTGTGTTTGACGGCGATGTTCAACAGCGAGCGGACTGGTCGAGTTGTCGCTGGTGGTGGGAGGACGAAAGAAGGGTCGGGTTGACGGAAGGGGGTTCGAAGAATATATGGGATTCTGTGGGAAATATCAGAAAGGGTCGAGGCCGACTGAGAAGGGGCAAGTACCAGCGGGATCGGCTAACGGCGGGTCGGCGGCGATTGGTCCTCCTTAGCTTCTTCGAAGACGGTTCGCTTTCTAACAGGAATTTCAGCCCGGGCAGCTCTCAAATAATGCGTGGGGCAGCGGCCAAGCGTCTCGGGGCGCGGTGCGCGACGACAGCACGCCTCTACCAACTCTTATATCATCTCAACTGAGTACCGCATCTGCTATCAATTATCTCTGCTCCGACGACCAACGGAGGACACTCTCAGCTGGTACATAAGTATCCTGCCCAAAATAATTGGTATCACATGTACTTCCGTCCTAGAATTCTCCCATCTTAGAAGCTGACTTTCCCGACGACTCGCGAGGACACCTCCCAATTGCCATCCAGCGACAACGCCACATCCGAGGATACAATCATCACAGTCCGATACAACCAACTGCAGTGGATTTGCGAAGTAGAAGGTGTAGATACTTATATGTTTGTTAGGACTCAGACATTTGCGTGCAGGTGCGGCAGCAGCTTGCGGCGACAGCAGAAATAGGAAGTTGAGCTTTTCTGTGACGTTCTGATGCCGAAGGTCCTTTGGGTGGTAAGGCACTGGTTGAGTTGCCGTCCTGTCAATCGACCACCCAGTCAAGACAACAGCACGTAGTATACACCACAATGATCCAAAATAAGCATTTCGGACGCTGTCAAAGAGAGTTGATCCAAGCGATTAGTTTTGTCTTGTGCCGGTGCCGCATGACCATTGCAACTTGTCTTGGGAATTCCGGAATATATGTACAAACCAATACATCGGAGGAGAGGCGAATCGTGAGTCCTACGGCGACTGTCATGAGGTCGCTATGCCATGAACACAGTCGAACTCGTTCATGTAGTCGCACATGTACCGAAGAGACCAGCGGCGTTCCCTGTGAGGTTTACGTTTTGGCAGGTAAATGTCGCGTTCGATGATGCCGAGGACCTATGGACACACGCTGTACTATCAGCCTAGAGGTCTCTACCGCACAAAAAGAGTCAGATGATACTGACATGACGGTGATATTGTTTAGGTTGATGTCGTCGCAGCGGCCGTCTGGGGAGCACGCAAGCGACGCACCCGTCGTTCCAGAGGACGTCCCCGTGATGCTTCCGTGAATACTGATTAGATACGAATAGGAAAGACTAGACTAAACCCCAGACCTATTGAAGAAGATGTCCTGTATGAACGTGTTCGAGGGGAACTCAGCGCATTCTGATGCGTCGGTCATATAACACTGCGATATAACCGAGTTAGCCTCCATCGATCAAATTGAGCAAACAAAGCAGCACCTGGTCTATGATGATAGGATTGTCGACCTTCGTCTCAAAGAAGTGGTCGAAGGTGATGTTCTTGACGATACCGCTACCCACGTCAGGACCCGCCCAAGCCTTGATTCTGGCCCCATTTTCGGTATTCGTCATGGTGATGTTACTAGCAGACACCATGTTCAATCCTCAAATACAATGCTAAGCTGGGACAGACGTACGTCGATGTAACGTTCTCCACGATGTCGAACACCCCCGCAAATTGGCCAAGACTACCGACAGATATTCCACTAGGGGCCAAATCAGTCTGTGTGTAGATTCGTGAGACATCAAACATAGACTGCATACTGAGATCCGGTACACTGGAGTGATTGAACCAGAATATTCGTGGAGTCTATTTGAGGCTTCAGTGTAAAGCCATCCGAACAATATTGAAGAGACAGACTGGGCTTGAACGAAACACAGTCATCCCCGTTGTTGATCACGGAGTTCTGAATCACTACTTTGTCACTGCGATAGATGTCCCAGCCGTCTTCACAAAGTTAGAACGAGTCTCATCTCTAATTGGGTAACAGATATACCTGTATTGGACGGGCCATGAGACGAACTGGAGGTGGCACTGATGTTGATGGCGTTATATGTGACATCCGAGCTTTCCCAGACCTTTTTTCATCACACTGTGAATAACATTCATATCGTGTGGGAGACCGTGCAGCTGAACGTACGAGATTGGTCCAGAAAGGGCTGTTAACTTCATGCACATTGTCCACCGTGACATTCGTCCCTTGGAATACGGTGAGAATGATGGGTCGTTGAAGGGTGCTGTTGCTCGCACTGAAGAACGCTCAGAAGATAAGTTAGCCCTGGAATTCTAGAAGAGAGAACAGTTACACATGGGACCCACAAAGCGTCATACCACGCCTACAGGCAGGGGCATCAGCGGGAGATCTTGGGCCAAAGAGAACAAACAACACCGACTTGTCCCTGCCCGTCTAGAGTTCCGCCGCCATCAAGGATGATGTTATTCCCACCAAGGATCCAGAACGAAGACGCGTTTTGGAAGTCGAAAAAGAAGGCGTTCTGTAGGTAGCTTCATTGGATCTCAAATAGAGAAATATTGAAGAGGGCATGGACGTACACCGCTCCAGAAAGGGGTATCGTTGGTGAACCTGATTGTTCCTTCGACACTCTGACAACATTTAGGTCAGTTCTTTGGGGGAAGTGGGACCACGCAGAACAAAACTCACGATGTGCTTGTCCTGCAGACCGCTCATGTTCAGAGGAGTGGCAATTGACAACGTGGTTCCTAGCGGAATGGTCGTAGTGTCACAGCTCTTTACGGCGTTCAGAAAGGCAGGGGCATCATCCCCTCCACTCGCTGTGAGAGAGCAGCTAGCATCTGTGCCACGAGAATTGAGAGCGCTAATTTTACCCAACCTTGAATTGAACCTTTGTGAGCGAGTGAGCCGAGCCTCAGCTGCAGCAAAACCGTAGATAAGCAGAAGGCTCAGGAAAGCAAACATTGGGGATGCCAAGGTCGAGAGCAATGGCTGTAAGACACTTAAGGGAGGACCTGATACTTATAATGACGCCAGCCGTGACCAGTCAATGTCGACGAAGGCGCAGTGTCATCATCCGCTCAGCAGGCTCACAGGAGCGGCCCGCGTCGAGAACAATGTTCTTCACTTTGCGGTCCGGAAGCATATATATCTTGGTACTTTCCCAAGGCGAGGACATGAGTGGTTGAAAACGACGGGAGCAGTCAATCTGCCCAGTCAAATGATAACTGAGTCCTGTGGTTGTGATATCCGATCTTTCATTCCTGGGGTCGACCGTACGTGTCTGCTGTGTCGCACGGACTACTGAAGTGGGGTAAAAGAGGGCGGTTCAACGTACGATGCATCGCAATTAAAGACACACGGAGACCCCTTTGTTGGATTTTCGTGAGCGAGAGAGAAAAGCACGAGAAATCAGAGAGGGCTTGCAATCACACTGAGCTGTGAGGCTGGCTTGTGTTAGGGCAAACCGATGCCCTACACAGGTAAACACATCATGTATCTATACTACTGTACAATGTATCTAGAAAATTCTACAGTACTCGAGAGATTGGCAAAGCAGCTGCGCTGCTGAGTCATCCGTGTCCGTCGAAAGCTCGCGAAAGCTCTCGCGACGTCGAGCTGCACCTAGCTAAATCCAACACCCTTGATACGGAGAGCATAGGATGATCATACAAACTGCACAGGCCCAAAGAAGCGTGACTGGCTTTGAGATATCTGGGAGCATATGGATGTTCCAAACGAAGAATAGCACTGCGAGCACACTGAAGAGTGGAAAGTAAAGCGGATGACGGTGACGCGTGCGAAACTATGCGCAACCCATCCTTGTCGCCCGCTGCCGGCACATTCCGAGGGAGCACTGCGCCTCCACTGGCATGACCGCTTGCTCTGAACTTGCTCAATGCTTAGCTCTGCGTCCTCCATGTCTCGTTTAATCCTATGTATTACCCAGAGGTATGAGGGCCACGAAGGCCGTGCTGTGCACACCCACCTCATTTCCTCTACATCGACTCGGTGCTCGCGATGTACTCGGCGCACCGAAATACGGCCGAGATCATAGTTGCGTGGTATTCGTTGCGTACTATCCACTCTCTGTAGGACGTTATATTCGCTGCTTTCTCCATGTTCTTCTACACCAACCTACCTCTTTAAACTACCACTCACTTTCATACCAATGCGACGAGGAAAACTGCTCCTCATGGTCACCACCGCGCTTGCTGGGACATTTGCATCTGTAGCGGTATCCATTGATGTCAATGCATTGTTGAGGTGCGGACCGCCATCATGTTTTCAGTCATCGCAAGCTAATGATCTCGGACTACAGGTTGAAGACACACCGAGCGTACATTAGCAACTCTGCTCCTCTAGGTGTGTCGGTGAGCGTAGACACCGATGGTACACGATATATCTCGTCCTCATCTTCAGCGAAGGCGGTACTGATACTTTTTCTATATTCACGAAGACATTTTTGCGGCAGGCCTTGTCTTTGCTATCGCCATCGCTCTAACCCCAGCCCAGGGTATCCTCAATAGTCTGCTCTTTACATGTCTTCCTTTGCGATACCAGTCTCGCATTCACCGACTATTCTTCCTATCTCCCAAAAACCTATGGGGTCAAGGGATATTCTTCGCGCTGGTCACCCTGATTGGAATAGGACCGCTCATCGCTCTCGACTTTCTCGTGTTTCATGGCTTGAGGGGCGCTATCATCAAGGTGGACGGTGTTCAGATGTCGCCGCATGAGCTCGAGAGCATGGGAATTCCTAGCTTGCCGTATCGTTCTCAGCGCTATAGTGAGTACCGACTCCTTATTTTCGCCTAATATTCGACCATCCAGACTGTATCTGACCCTTTCGTGGGCCACCAGTTCGCGTAATGGCCATCGTACCGTGGCTCGCCATTCTTTTCAACATCATCGCTCTCCCGTTCGTGTTATATGCAGGAAGTCACTGGCAGGAAGACCTTGGGCCACCCGCACCCTCTACGCCTTCCGCCGGCTTCATAGAGATGGGATTACACCGGGGTCCCAAGTTATCGACAAGCCAAGAGCATCTTCGGCAGTATGACGAGGTTTCATAGGGGAACGACGGGCGACATACGTAGCTGGTCGATCTGTCACGATAGAAGGATTCTTCGTATACACAAGGACTATCGGTAGGCTTATTGGCTGACCCACAATATCGATATGTATACTCTATGTATAATTGGGTTTAAGTGGGATTACCATCCTAATTACTCCGATTTCTAGTCTGTCAGTTGTCTTCTCGAGTGCTTGAAAGCCTATCATTCTCACAGTACTTGAGCTGCAAGGCTCAGACCCGATAACTCGCATCACTATCCAGACCGAGAGGCCCTATGTTACTGGTCTCCTGTTGGTACCCTGTCAATTTTTCATCCCCGTGTCTCCGGTCCATCCGTTAGGTCTCACATACAGTACAACACTCATGTGGCATTCCGGTAAGCGATGTGCGTTGATAGGCCTTCCTTCTGGGATCTGGGTTTGAGCCATTCACAGTCGTTTTCTCTCAGGTTTCTCATGTGCCAACCGCGAATCCCACTCCCCGCAGTTCTACTGAGGCATACGTTGTATTAATATGTCAGACCGTGGACGAATTGCGGCCAAGCAGAGTATATAAGGGCCTCCCATCGTGTGGTATTTGTCGTTCCATTCTCTTTCACGTTTCCCCCGATGCAACGAGCGAAACTTCTCCTTCTGGTCACCCTCACACTTGCTACGACCTGTGGAATTGTAGCGGGAGCTATCGATGTGCAGGCATTGATAAAGTGCGCTTTGCCATAGGTCCTCCGTCAGAACGAGCTAATTCCCAAACAATAGGTTGAGGGGGCATCGATCGTTTATTCGAAGCTCAGCGCCCGAAGGTGTGTCGGTGAGCGTGCAGACGAACGGTGCGTACTATACATCGTTTCTATCTGTGGCCAACGGGAGACTGATACCTTCTCTCACTCTACGAAGATCTTTTCGCTGCAGGCCTTGCATTCGCTCTCGTCATCGCCTTGTCTCCAGCTGCCGGCCTTCTGATCAGTCTGCTTCTCCCCTATCTTCCTTTACGACATCTCTCCCGCATTCCCCGCGCGCTTCTCCCATCTTCGTCTAAACTACGAGGTCAGGGATTATTCCTCCTATTGATCACCCTTCTAAGCATCGGACCACTCGTCGCCCTCGATTTTCTTGTGTTCCACGGTTCGAGAGGGGCCATCATCAAGGTGGATGGGGTTCAACTTTCAGCATCTATGCTGGAGAGCATGGGAATTCCTGAACTAATATATCGATCTCAACGATATAGTGAGTGGCACCTATTTTATCTTCGGCGGGCCGTTCGACATTCGAATGAACATCTGACAACTTTGTGCACACCAGTCCGCGTAATGGCCATTGTACCGTGGCTTGGCGTTCTTTTCAACATCATCGCTCTCCCGTTCGTGTTTTATAGTGCAAGCCACTGGTCAGAGGGCCTTGCGACAGCCGTGTCCTCTACACCCTCGATCAGCTCTGCAGAAGTGGCGGAGATTATACGGGCGTCGAGAGGCTTTGACGAGAAAGTACCTACTTTTGTCTGACGAAGATCTGCAGATGAGGAGGATGGTGTAGGTCGAATTGTCCGACGATTTGTTTTGTCGCAGGGGAGGGATACTGGTCTCCGAAAACAAACTTTAGCACATAGTTACCCCGCTCTGAAGACGGAGCAGACGGCGCAACACCTCATTTGTACCACCCGTTCGAGCTTGTCGAGATCTGCGTCTGAGACGTCGATAGTTTTCACGGGTCAGAGAACGAGTACTCAGGCCACGTTCGCAATGAAAATAAATCATGTCAGGTAAATCTTCGGTGCAAGTATAGGAACAGTGAAGCTCGCCACGGTGACTCGAGAACAGAGCGTGTGAATCTGTGTGAACTTGATAAGACTCCGTTGTAGATCAGTGCTTTGAACCGAGTCAACGACCATCATCTACTTGCCCTCTGCCGCGTCGCTTCTCCTCCACATCCCTCATACGTACGGAGCATGTCTCCTTACCACATAGACGAATCGTCCGGATCGGATGCCACTGGGAACGGAACCGCAGAAACGCCATACGCGACCATCGCCTTCGCTCTCTTCACGCACGGCCAAGATTCAAAAGTTCTCGTTCGAAAGGATCCCAACACTCCGTACGATGAGCCCACTCAGTCAGCACTGAAGAAAGCTAAGAAAGGTGCCGACGGCCTGGAGAAGAAGAAAAAGAAGGCCGAGGAACTCGCTGAGAAGGAGGCTGCTGCTCAAGGCGCGGAGCGGGAAAAACGGGATAAGCTGTTGGAGGAGAGTAAAAACATAAAGTTGGTGGAGGATACCAGTCTTCCTAAGTCTGTAAAGGTGAGCAAACATATACAGAACCCGTCGTAGGCATTGCACCTATTGTTTCACCATTCGTACTTTTTTTGCCAAGATCTGTGCTTGATATGCTTTAGCATTATTGTTTATTACAAGGTTTCTTAATTGTAGAGGCTAATTGGTTGACTGACAATATCATTCCTCACAGGCAAAGGTAGTCAATCTCACTGCCCACCGAGGCAGCCGCGTTCGAGTGCTCGGATGGGTGCATCGTCTACGATCTCAGAAGGACATCATCTTCATCGTACTTCGAGATGGTACCGGATATCTGCAGGCGGTCTTGTCTGGCACAACAGTAGGTCACTGCGGTCGCGTGACACCTTTCTCCGGTTAAATGACTTGGACCAGGCTCAAACTTACGACGCGCTCACACTGACGCTCGAATCCACCGTCGAGCTTGTCGGTACCCTTCAAGCGGTACCAGACGGAAAGACCGCTCCTGGAGGCCATGAGCTCGTGGTCGACTTCTGGCGCGTTGTCGGTCTTGCCCCAGGTGGTGAAGATGCTTTCACCAACCGATTGAACGAAGTACGGGGTTTTCTCTTCGTTCATGGCCTTGAGCTAACCGATCTCTGGATCACAGAAATCTGACCCTTCGATCATGGCTGATCTTCGTCACCTCGTCATCCGCGGCGAGAATGCATCTTCAGTCTTACGCCTCCGATCGCTTCTCCTCAGCTCCTTCCGAGATTCTCTCAATGCTCATGACCTCATGGAGGTAACCCCACCATGTATGGTCCAGACGCAAGTGGAGGGTGGTGCTACGCTGTTCAAGTTTGATTACTACGGCCAACCAGCATTCCTGACTCAAAGTTCCCAGTTGTACCTTGAGACATGTTTACCCAGTTTGGGCGATGTCTTCTGTGTCCAGGAGAGCTTTAGGGCCGAGAACAGGTCAGTCAATCTTCGTGATGTTTGGATACTCATTCTGATCAGATTGTAGTCATACCCGTCGCCACTTGAGCGAATACACACATCTGGAGGCGGAGCTAGCATTCATAACTTTTGACGATCTCATGGATCATATCGAGAGCATTGTTCGTCTTTCTCCTCTTTAGCTCTTGATTTATCTCACATCGCCTTCGGATAGATTTGCGAAACTGTGGATCGTCTTCTCAAAAACCCAACATCTGCTACTCTTATAAAACAACTCAACCCCTCCTTCACTCCACCCTCCCGCCCATTCCTCCGTCTCAACTATGTTGATGCTATCACCTGGCTCAACGAGCACAAGATTCAGCATGAAGCCGAAGATGCTGACGGCAATGTCATCAAAGACGATTCTGGAAAGCCCATCATGGTCGATCACGCAGTCGGCGACGACATTGCAGAGGCGGCTGAACGCCAAATGACCGATATCATTGGTACCCCGGTGTTCTTGTACGGCTTCCCGGCCGAGCTTAAGGCATTCTACATGAAGAAGATGGCCGCACCGGAAGGCAAAGAAGCACAGTCGGCTGGCAAGATGTTTACGGAGAGCTGTGATCTGCTCATGCCTGGTGTGGGCGAAATCGTCGGCGGGTCAATGAGGATTGCGGATCTGGAGGAGCTGTTGGCTGCGTATAAGAGGGAGGGTATGGATGCTGCGCCCTATTACTGGTATGCGGACCAGAGGAAATACGGGACTTGCGAGCATGGAGGGTATGGTTTGGGTGTCGAGGTATGTGTTTCTCGCCACATGTGCACGCCACATACATACATACCGACCTTTCTCCAAACCTTCAGCGATTCTTGGCTTGGTTGGCGAACAGGTACACCGTCAGGTAATTCTTGTCATTCTCGTGCTATCGAATAGATACTGATTGTACTGGATTTACAGGGAATGTTCTCTGTACCCCAGGTGGCCGGGTCGTGCGACACCATAGATGTTCTGCTGTACGAAGAATCCAGACTGATCTTGTTTGTTGTCTTTATAATTCTGTAGAGCTCCTACTTCGCTTTTGGCGATGTACTTTGATTGTTGTACGCGTGTATCTTTTTTCTCTGAGGGTTCATTGGGTGACAACAGTAAAACATTTTAGTATCAAATTGGGGAACACACCATTTCATGAGGGTCACTGATGTACACGACGAGTGCTATTCAGTCATGTTAATGCGTAAGTTGAGCAGGGTAATCTTGGACTGTACTGTCTAGTGCTGCGATAGCTCTGCGGGACACTACTAGCTCACTCAGGCCAGGTAGACATGCGAATTGAACTACAAATTTTGCGCACAGGACGCGATATTAACGTACATTTTATTGTGACTCCGCGTATTCAGTACATCAATCAAAATTACATTGGTACACATTCTTCGCCACTGTAATCCAATTCTCTTTATTGACAGCATACGACTCGGCGTACTCTGCCTCTAGATGGTGCAGTCTTTTCCCAACAATAACCAGACTATGCAGAGGCTCACCGTACACATCGTCGGGCTGCTCGCTAAGCTCTTGAAGCGTCCCGCACACGATCCGCTGGTGCTCTCCTCCGCCTACACGAGACACGGCGATAGCGAGCGTCGTTTCTGGGGATAGGATGCCAGATTGGCGGGTCGACTCGACTTCCAGGAGCTGTGAGACGGCGAGAGGGATGGACATGTAGCGTGGAGGTTCATAGATCTTGCGTCCCCTACATATGGGCGGAAGATGACACGAATCAGACACGCTTTTATGGGATGGGAAAGGACAAGGAATAGCGCACCTTGCGAGGTTTTCTTCGCTCTGTTCCTTCACCTTTATATCCAGAAGGACAAGAGTATGCATTCCCAGATCCGCATTTTCTTTGACGCGATCATAAAAGCTGTCTGGTTTCCAGGAATCGGTGAAGAAAACGAGCGACACAGTTTGACCGAAGTTGTAGAGTTGCAGGCCACAAGCCCCTATAGCGTTCATGATGGAGGCATTGTGGATGACGTGGGTGGGGATCTTGAGGCTACGGGCACGAAGGATGATGTCGGTGTGCGTCGTTGCGCTGTTGACACCGAGCAATGTTGAGTGGCGGTATAAGAGGACTACTTGGAGGAACGCACCCGAAAGGATCTCCGACTACGAGCAGAGAGATATCCTCTTTGTCAGCATCCCGCAGAATCTCATCGCTCTCCGTCTCAACCATGTCTCTGTCCGCCAATATGAGTTCCTTTCCGTAGAACGCTTCCTGCATCCTTGCAAACAATCCATCATCAGTTTTAGCCTTGGGCCACAACCAGTCTCATATTCGGAATGTGCACTTGCCAGGCGTTCTTTCTGGACCATCAGAATGCTCGTGTAGGCTTCAAGATAAACTCTCGAAGAGCCTTTGACTGCCTGTCATTTTCAGGGCGGCTCAGGGTGGGTAAGATGTTTTTAAAATGAAGTAAAGGAGGATAGGGACCTACTTCGAGGCCGCGGACAGTAATGTCTTTTTCATCGGAAAGTCCCAGTCCAATGACGTAGAACATCGTATAGTTGGCTTTAGAAATCAAGCGCTCAAATAAACGTAGAGACGTCGATAAAGCGCGATGTCTTCGACTAGAATCTGAGCAGATGATGTATGAGATAGTAAACATAAAGAAATTGGAGAGAAAGCCCGCGAACGGAGAAAGCCGAGCCGGCTGGTTGGCGCATGGCCTTTGAATAGAATGGCAAGTTCGGACGGCTGAAGCTAGCGCGACCCACGACGAGATGTTAGCTCTCAGCATCTCCCGCACACGGGAGCATATCTATATGGCTATCTCGAGACCGCGGACCCACCATATCTCTTCCTTTCGCCTCAATCACGCCAATACTCGTCGCCACACCTGTCGCCTCAGACCGCCACCTTCAAGTTGTACATTCTTCTGTCCTTTGAGCTGCCTGATACCACTCGGAGCGTAGCGCTAAAGCTGTCACCAAGCCAAATCTGGTCTTGATCCATACCACTTGGTGCATGATGAGTATCCCGCTAGCTCGCTATACGACGAAGCTGCCCACTCCAACGTCTCGAGGACGATATCTATGTGGCGGCGGGGCCTCTCTACTCTCTGTTATCTTTATCTATGCCTTAATTTTTCGGGCTTCCATCTCTCATCCAAAACTTCCGGTCGTTCTCGCGAATACTTCCTATCAAGCTGCATCAGAAGAGCTTTGCCCACAAGTTTTGCCCTTGTACCCTCGAGAGAACCGCGATATATCTCAACGCCTGGAGGCGGCCTATGGTACCGAGGAGTTTCGATCGAGGATGGTTGATTGGGTGAGTCCATGCTAAGCTGAGGGAGGAGATAATGTGCCGATGATATCATCTAGCTTGGTGGCGCCGTCAGAGTAGAGTAAGCCATGCATCCCTACGAGCACCCAGTGGTTTCGCTCATGCATGCGCGTTATCAGGACCGAGACGTATGACCAAATGGGGGAAGTAGGTATCGATTCACGCTGGGATAAATTCGCTGTCTTTCACCAATATCTGTCTCAAGCGTTTCCTCGAGTGTCAGTGGCTCGCTCTCAATCCATGTCTGACTGGCTCACTAAAAATCGTGTTTTTCGCATACTGCAGCCACGAATCATCTCAACTCACAAAGGTTAACACTTATGGCTTGCTCTACGTTTGGGAAGGTTCGAACAAGTCTCTCAAGCCAATTCTTCTGAATGCGCACCAAGGTGTGTATAGATGTCCCGTCACTATGCTCAGCTTCTACTGTGACCTCAAAGTGTGTTTGCCTTTACTCATAAATTGTAGACGTCGTCCCGGTTCCACACGAGACTTATGACGAGTGGCAACATCCTCCATACTCTGGTTACTACGATGGTGAACCACCAATGCCCCCGCGATGGAGTGAGTTGGGCTCACATGTTATATAGGAGAGTCCCTCTGGGGAAGAGGCTCAGTAGATGACAAAAGTGGACTCGTAGGACTTATGTGCGTCCCCATTACATCGAACAGCGGGGAAGGAGCTGATGTAATGGCACTAAGGTCAACCATGGAGATGCTGCTCGAACAGTCTTTCAGCCCCTCTCGCACCGTCATGTTCGCTTTCGGCTTCGACGAAGAGATCGGCGGTTACAATGTGATTATATTTTTGGACCATGATCACATTCCCGGAAGCTGTACTGATGAGACGTTTCGCGATTGCAGGGTGCTCGACACATCGGGGAATTTCTTGTGGACACCTATGGTCCAGATAGCTTATCCATGCTTGTTGATGAAGGAGGTGAGGCATGTGCACTTGGGGCCAAGCACCTCTTTGGTGACTTTTTGTCTAATTACGGCTGGTACGCAGGTGGCTTCGCACACCAGCACGGGACGACACTAGCCACAATTGGTATTGCAGAAAAAGGCAGGCTCATGATATTCCTTGCTCTGTCTTTATGTGTTTCACAAGACTTAAAGACGTCCTAATTAGGCTCGTTTAATGCTCGGATTGAGATTAAAACCCCTGGAGGCCACTCCAGTACGCCACCGGCACATACAGTACGCTCGGCCTCTCAAAGCATCTCGTAAATTCTGATATTTCGTACTAGAGCATCGGTATCCTAGGCTCGCTCCTAGGGGAACTTGAAGCTCATCCCTTCCAACCGATTCTAACCCGTACGACTCCGATCTACCTCAAGTTTCAATGCTTGGCCGCACATGCACCCTCTCTCAATTCCTCCCTCCGTTCTCACATAATTTCCTCTGCCCAGTCGAACGAGTCGCTAAAGATAATTGAGGAGCTCATGAGCGAGGACGTGACGACGAAGACCTTATTCAGTACTACGCAGGCGATCGATATCGTGAGAGGTGGAGAGAAAACGAATGCGTTGCCAGAGAGCGCGTGGGCCATAGTGAACCACAGGGTTTCCACTGACAGGTGTGTCATTGTCGTCACGCTCTCAGCGGACATCTCCAATATTCTTGTGGTGTAGCTCGATAGCCGAAACCGAACTGCATGACACGCAAGCTCTTCAATCTTCAATCTCTCACTTCAACCTCAGTTACGTTGCCTTTGACAAACGAATCACCACCGAACTCGACGAACCCACCTACGGCTCCCTCATACTTTCGAGACCTGAGGGACGCGGACGCGAGCCGGCTCCCGTCTCGCCTACAGATGATGCACCGTTCCGGGTGCTGAGCGGGTCGGTGAAGGCAGCGTATGCGATGCATAGGGGTCTGGATGCAGGGGCGAATGGGTTGGTGGTTAGTCCAGGAATGAAGAGCGGGAATACTGGTGCGTCGGCAACTCCACTTACACACGTCTGACTAGTTCAGACTGGCAGCCAAGTCTGATAATTGTGTGTCACATTGCAGATACGAAATACTACTGGAAGTTGACGAAGCACATATTTCGCTATGCGCACTGGAATGCGGGTGAAGCAACAAATCTGAAGATGCCGGGTGTCCACACCAAGAACGAGCGTACGGTGTTCCCTTTGGTGTTATATTTATGTGGCCTGGCTGATATCTCCGATATTGCTACAGGAATTCGAGTGGATGATTTTATCGAGATAATCAGGTATTATACGACATTAATATTGAATGTCGACGAGGATCGGGATATGTGACGATATGTTGGATGGATGATTAGGATCACTCTCTTGAACGCTCTGCACTGACCAATAGCGTCACTTCAAACTTGTTACGGTTATGAACCCTGCGGACACAAAGATCGAAGGAACAAGGAACAAACCTGAGGAAAAATCGGAAGACCAGCACTGTAGTAAGTAATCATAATGGGTAATCAGACTCCGCCGGCTCTTGCCGGGCGTGTGTATTGTTTCACGAACGGCAGTCGCCAAAGAGTACGTTATGCGCTTTCCTTCGTTTGGTGTCAGCGTGGTAGAGCTTAGCGGATGTGATTCAACCTGCTCTTAGAATGAGACAAGCTATGCTCATTCTCGGCTTTTCGAATGCTACCGGCAGCCACTCTGGAGACTCTGAAGCCCTCGTAAAATTGATTGTCGGACGGGATGCTGATTAGTAAGTACCATATGTGAGGCATACGTTGACACAGCCGGTGAGTGAATTATTTTGTTCCTTATAGATTGCGCGCGCTGAGGACAATGCTCTCATAGAACGGTAGTATGGGCCAATGCTACGCGGCAGAAGGAGACCCGATTCTTCTGCCCAGGTCCCAGAATTCCAGTCACTCGCACGCTTCCTTCCGGCCACACTTTACCAGTGCGTAAGTTGGTGTGGATGATAACGAGGACGACGAGATTATCGCAAGAGACAGTATCGGTGTCGCTCACGCTGGTACAGTCGCTTTGGGTCGTTGGCTCACCATCCCAATAGATTCGTTGATCCCTTTTCCCGAATCTAGCGGGCATAGATACGGTATGGTCTCGCGCTTTGCGGGTTTATAGTGCTGATATTAAACCCCCCCCCCCCTTTTTTTTTTTTGGCTTTCTAGACCAGCTCCTTTTTACAAACCTTCGTTCTAGCCATGGTCACCCATCCATCGGTGCAAGAAAAAGCTCAGGCAGAAGTCGATCGCGTCATTGGTGTCGATATTTGACCGACCTTCAAACATCGAGACCAATTGCTGTACATTGATGCACTGATCAAAGAGTGCATGCGTTGGGGAGTAATCCTTCCCATGGGTGCGTATTCCGTGAAATACACCGTTATGACTGGTGCTCTGATTTTTTGTACGAATGGATAGGAGTACCGCACCAGGCAACGAGTGACGAAGTACATAAAGGATACCATATCCCTCAGGGCGCTCTGGTGATGGCAAACAGCTGGTACTTCTACCGATCTATAGCAGTTTGGGCATGTCTTGCTTACTTGTGTCGAATTTGCAGGTCGATACTGCACAACTCGGAGATCTATCCAGACCCGGAAGTGTTCAGGCCAGAACGCTGCTTCGGGGACGGATGCAAGGACTATAGCGACTTCGCATTTGGCTACGGAAGGCGGTCAGTACTACTTTTCGTCGCAATCTTCATTGGGCCACAGCTGTGCTCACGGCGCTATGAGTAATAGGGTATGCCCAGGTCGATGGTTCGCTACAGAGGCCGTGTGGGCGGCCATCGTATCGATATTGGCTTCCTTCGACATTGTGTCGTCAATGGATGAGCAGGGAAAGCTAAAGCCTGTCACTGTGGATTGCACTGCTGGCGCAGTTTCGTTCGTATCATTCCTCCAACTCGTATCGACAATCTCGAGCATGGACGAGATGCTAACTGCTGCGTCGATGTAGAATACCCGTCCCCTTCGATTTCGACTTGCGTGTCAGGTCACCGAGCATGAAGGAGTTACTCGCAGGACTGTAGTTCTGTCGTTGTCATCTCTTGACCTACGTGCCCGCAGATGTATTTTTGACAGAGACCAGGGCCATTTGGTAGAATCAAATTAGAACGAGGATGAAAAGCGAACGTTGCTCGAGGCAATCTAAGCCAAGATATGCCATTTGCGAGCACTATGCGTTCTGAGGAATCGGAGGTAGATTGGTGGATAGTTATACGACTGCGAAGTCTTGCCACTACAGTGGATGGAGAAAGCTATGGACCGACATAGGCGTGATGGCGGCACAAACTAGGGCCTGCCCCTATGCTAGTTAGATTGAACATCAGTAGATGTAGATGTAGATGTAGATGTAGAGTAGGGCCAAGATGGGTGTGAATAAATATTATAAGGGTATCATGTCCACTACCTGCTCGCTATGACTTGCCATAATCCTCTCTCGGCTATGCATCGGTCTCCGTCTCCGTCATAGTACCATACCCGCTGCTTTTCCCATTAGTTCTCAGACCTTTCTCCGTACCAAAGCTTATTCCCTCTGCACCGTCTACCTCCGCACCATCCAACCCGTTGAGCCCCTCGGGCATTGCGCCAATACTGTCCATGCCAGCGATCCCCTTCTCCTTCCCATGCCGCATCAATGCCTCGATGACGTGGGGTATAACGTCCTTATGCACGTCCTTGCCCCAGATGACATCCAGATGCTCATACCCGTGCAAGCGCCTCACCTCGACTCTGTCCTTCGACGGAGGCAAGGCAGCCAACATCGTGTCGATATCGACCAGCGAATCCGTATCGCCGTACAGCAAGACGATGGACGTCGAGATGTTCCGTGTGGGGAACGTGGCAGGACTGTATCCGGTGTTCGCCGTGGAGTTCTTCGTCTTGCGGGATGAGAGGGCGTTGAGGGATGGGCTTTGGGCGGGGGTGGAGAGCGAGATGGAGGGAGAGGGGAGGTGTATGTGGGCGTAGGCGTCGTCGTCGTACATGAGGAAACGGGCGTTGCGCATGATTTGGAACCAGTGGACGACGGATTTGGTGGATGCGAAGGAATAGAGATGAGCATAGGCGGCGAGTTTCTAGATGGCAATTTATGGGTCAGAAGATAATATGCAGCCTTGAACTGAAGTTACAGACTTGAGTTGGTGTGATGTTCTTTGAGCGCCATGAGAAGAGGAAATCGAGGGAAACATCGAGTACACGTGAAAAGATGGGTGGATACAGAATTTGCTGCCACATAATAGCAGAGGATAAGATGGCCCTACGGCCGAATATAAGGAATAACAGTGTCGGGCTGGAGAGAAGGTCAAAGACTTGACCAAAGTTGTGATGATATGTGACTCACGAAGCTTTCATCAAGCCGTCCACGAGCGGAGCTGCCAGACCGGCGGGACTCATAGCAGGTGCCAAGGCGATGAAGAGGTTGACTCTCTGGTTCAGCTCCGGGTGTATGCTGAGGGCGGCGAAAGCCTGAGCGGTGCCCTGGCTGAATCCGATATAGCTGAGGCTCTTCGCGTGAGTAAGGTCGAGGATGTATTGGATAGAGTCGGGGATATCACGCCATGCAAAGTCGTCGATGCTGAAGTCCCAGAATTTGGTGGAGTTTGGGTCGTAGTGAATGGATTTCTTCGAGTACTTATTGCCTCGGTTGTTACCCAACCAAACGTCGAAGCCCAGTTCGGCGAGAACGAAGGGAAGAGAGCGTTGGGGGTCTGTGAGGCAGACCCAGACCTCGGAGTTCATGAGAAGACCGTGGTGAAGATATACGACAGGCTTGTTGGTGGCTATACCGGGAAGCGGAGGGGCTTGACCTTTGCGAGCAGGAAGACGATGGAGACCGAGACAGTAGCCGTCCTTGGTGAGGACGACATGGTCCTCGTGGTGGTAGCCGAAGATTCTACAGAGCTCCTGAAAGTCCTGAGCCTTTCTGATTTTGTCTGCGACACGACGTTCTGCCGAGCGGGGTGCCGGTGCACCTGCGATTCGATGGAAGATGAGCTTTGAACGGTCGTGAAACCAGGCGATGATGGGCCTTGGGAGGAAAAGAATGACTATGTGGAGGACAGACTCGAGGGCGGCAAGAATTAGACTGACGAGGACTGCCAGATATTCGTGCGCGTGCAGACGACTGACGAAAGGGACTCGAGGCATGGTCGTCGTTTGGGAAAGAAAGAGGGAGGAGCAGTTGTGGCGTCATAGCTCTTGCGAGTCGTCCCATGTGATAGCCTCCGTTGTGGCGCATCGTAGTGTTGATACAAACAACCGTAGCACTGCTTCAATCAATCGTAGCCACGCTACGTCTCGGATCGTAGTAGATCGTAGGCGGAGCTAGATTGTGGCCCAGAGCGGAGCTAAGGGACACGTGCTTGGGCTGGGGCGTGTTAGTCGCACGATTGAAAGATGGATTGAGGGAAAGGCCTGTGCAACACCCAACCATCGTCGTCCTCCTTGCTCCCATCCCTCACAATATACCCATCCCTCTACACCACCCACTATGCGACGCACAGCAGCAGGCCGCGCTGTTTCCCCCACAAACACCTCTTACTCGGGCATCTCAAACTATCGAACAGAGTCTTACCGGCCCATCAAGGATGCCACCCCCCTTGATCCCAGGCTCATAGCCCGCACTCATTTCGAAGAGCTCTCAAGATACCTCGCTTCATATCTCGCAAAGGGTCTGTTCATTCTTTCTCATCCCGAATTTCCGAGTCTTAGACTGTTGTCACAGAACCTGCAAACTCGCGCTCGACTGCGCGACAGAAGCTCACCAGACTCACCAGACAGCAGTTCCAGGAACTCTCCACGGACGTTTATGATGAACTCATCCGTCGGAAGAACAACTCAGATTCTAATGAAAGTGCGCCTTGACTTTGTGTATGCTTTCATTTAGCCTTTATCTCACCTTCCACAATTATCAGTTCCATTCTTGCCCGTCCGAGACGACTTTCATCCGAAACGGAACCAGGCTCGCCAGAAACTAGCCACCCTCCCGACCTCCCGCTTCAAGGATCTGTCCTCTGATGTCTACTACGAACTGGCCCGTCGTTATCCCGAGTTCAAAGAGGAGGTACGTTCATTCTCATCTGTGTATTCCGGAACTCGAGCGAGCACCGTATCGGCATCAATCGGAGACACGTTGGTTGCACGACTTGGCTTTTCGGCTAATAATGCTCCAACTGTCGCACATTATGGTCGTGTATCGTCCTCTCGATCTGTAGACGTTGGCGAAGCTACCGCAGTCACCGTCTTCTTCCATGCTTTGGTGGCGCACCCATGTCCGACATGTGGCGACCTATTGAACCTCCTCGGAAAGGCCTGCCGAGAACAGCACGGCTGATTCTTCCCTAACTTTCTTGTAGAACAACCCCATTGACCCTCCTCTACAGTCTCCAGGCTCTGCGTATGATGATTACCCCTCTCCCGACTTCCCTGCTTCCCCACGATCCAACGCAAATGGCCCTACTCCCCCGCCCAACGCCCGCGCTGGCCGCACCTCCGAAGACCGTGATCGCGACCGGAACAGCAACATGTCGCGACGCAAGCCCAGTCAAGATGATTATGGGTCAAGTGGGCGAAGGAGCGAAGATCCGTATGGCGGAGTCGATGCAGAACTGACATACAGCCCTTCTAGCCGGCGCCGCCCCTCTGAAGACAATACAATGCGTGGACCGGGACACAACCATTCTGGTTCTCAGTCTCAGATGCAGGACCTGGCTAGGCGACCGAGTACGTCTGCGAGCGACTCGACGAGCAATACGAATGCGCAGAGCGCAACGGCGAAGAGTGGGATGATCATCCCTAACAAGTCTACGATCGCCGAAGAGGAAATCGAGGTGCCCTATGGGAGAGAGACGAGGGAGAGTGGGAGTACGGAGCCGCGGAACAGGTCTCATTCTCCTGATGCGGACGAGGTAGACGAGGAGAGGGATGGAGATGAGATGGGTGTGGGATTGAGTGCGCTTTCGAGGCGGCTCGTGGCGTCAGGAACAGACGATGAGCCGTCGATGGGCGCAGGGGGAGATGAATATTTCGAGAAGATGTCTTTCGGGCGCGCCTCTGTCAATTCGGATCGGTCGTTGAGGGACCGAGGGGGCGGACGTTCGAGCGCTCTCCAGGGTGGCGAAGAGAGCGAGAGGATTCGTAGGGATTATGAGTTCAAGATCGCCACAATGCAGACTCGGATAGCAGGGTTGGAGAGAGAGGTTGAGGATGCTGGCGAGCGGGAACGACTGAAGGAGGGCGATGAACGTGTTCTAGCGTTGGAAGATGAGTTGGAGGAGCTCCGCAGGGTGCGTTCTTGTCACACGATTTCGTGTTCATCCGTGGCTGACTGTAGGCTGTCAGAGGACGGAAGAGCAAAGTGCTACGATGCTTTCGATGCAAAAGGAGCTCGAGGAAGCACGCGAGGATCTTCAGAGGAGCAAGGAGAGAGAGGCCCGCAGAGCAAGGGAGGACGATGAAGAACTTGCGATTCTTCGAGAACGATGTGAGAGGCTTGAAGAGGAGCGTGCGATTGGTGGTTCTGGGGTGTGTTCGATTCCTTCTGTCTTGTTCGGCTTATGACTGAGATTACTTTCTTTTTTTTTTCTTAGGCCAGCGCGGATGTCATCGAGCAACTGCGCTCAGATATGGAGGGTCTCCTCTCTGAAGTGACGGATCTCTCGCGGCGGAACGATGAGCTCATGTCTTCCAAGGATTCTGACTTCGTCGTGATCCGAGACCTCGATGCTCAGCTGAAGGAATACAAGCGAAAGTACGAACAGGCCAAGACCGAGCTGCGCTCTGTGAAAGGTATGCTTCTTGTATGTCTCATCTATTTCTGACGAAGCTCATTGGTCTTCCTGCAGCTACATCACAACTATTCCTCCAAGCACCCAAGTTCGATGACCAACTCCCCGTATCCCAGGACGGTGCAATCGCTGATGTTCACATCACTGCCTTCCTTACTGGCATCGACAACCTCTTATCTGCTGGTCGGTCTAATGCCCCCACTCGTGTACTGGCGCCCATGAAGACCGTGGTCAACGCGGTCAGCGCCATTCTGGAGGACGTCCGAACTTACGAGCGTCGTTCGCGCCCTTCGAACTCGGAGGCTGATGCCGAAACTATTCATGCAATGCGGGAACGTGTCGAAGCAACGCTCTCCAACCTTGTCGCAGCGACCAAGACTCACGCACAGAGCTCCGGCATGTCCCCCGTCAGTCTCTTGGACGCCGCTGCAAGTCACGTCTCCGCTTCGGTCACGGACCTCGGGAAGACCGTGTACATGCGACGGGCCACGAAAGCTGAGCAGGAGCAATTCGCATACGTCGCGGCCTCGTCGTCTGGCGGTTTCGCTCCTTCTTTGCGGTCTGTTGACGAATCGTCGTCTTCCTTTCGTGGCTCACCACACCAGCGGGGCATGAGTGATGCTCGGAACACACCCCCACCAGCTACGTCGGGGTCGGGGTTTGGCGGGAATAGAGGCAGCGCCAGCGCCTCGAAGACCTCTATGTCAGCCTCCGCGAGCCGCCCTTTTTCGAATCGGTCGTCGGGGGAGAGGGATAGGTTTAGGCAAGGAGCGTCTGATTCGAGCTCTGGGAATAGCTCTCCGCCTCCAATCTTCGACCAGGCACCTTCACGCCATGCGACGGGTGTGACGAGCGACGACTCTGCGATGAACGAAGGTTCAGAGGACGCTTGGACTGAGCTCAAAGTAAGTTATTCGTAATGCACATCGGACTACGATAAGGATACTGAACAATCTCTCCCATCTTGTAGCCATATCTCGAGGCTCAGACTGAGTCTATCGTCTACGCCATCCAGTCCGTCCTGTCCGGTGTTCGGAGTCCAACACCTCCACCTACCTTGAATGAGAACTTGGCGCAGATCATCACTATAGTCTCGTCCATCGTCGCGGTCTGCCATGATAACCTACCACCATCGGCGACGCGGCAGGGCAACGATATACTGAAAGAGCTCAGCGATCACGCGAACCATCTGAGCGAGGTGCAGTCGATGCCGGAGGTGACGAAGGAGTCGAGACAGATCATGGCAAAGTCGAGCTTTGCGATCGCGAACGCGATGAAGGGGTTGATGAAGTTGTGAGGCGAGCAGGCTTGTGGCTTATAGCGGTTACTTACCATACATATTTTCGATCATTTCAATTTTTCTTTATACCACTTCGGATTTCTAGTCTAGTGCGGGCCATTCTATTCTTTCAACTGTATTTTTGCAGTAATTTCGTTCTTACTTAGTCGGATATGCCATTGCAATTTTCAAATCGCTTTACTTTCAATGAGCTGCTGTGGCCCGAGCGATGAGGTCATCTGGACGATTTGCTTGGCCGCCACCCGCGTCCGTAAATTATTGCAGGTGTACTTTCTCTCGGTCGATCCTTCAGGCTTCAGCTCCCTCGATAGTCACTCCCTCCATCATGTCCGAACGCAAGGCCACCATCTCCCGCAAGACTAACGAGACCGAAATCGAGGTCTCTATCAATCTCGACACTCAGCCAGGCTCGGGCTTGCAGCAGGTCATAGATGTTTCTACGGGCATCGGGTTCTTGGACCATGTACGCTCCCACAAACATGACTTGCTACGGGCCATGATAATAATCAGTATCCTTCGTGTCGTGAATAGATGTATAATGCGCTTGCGAAACATTCTGGAATGTCGCTCACACTGAAGGCGAAAGGAGACCTCTGGATCGACGACCACCACACCGCAGATAAGTTTCTTATCCTCATCCCATGCATATGCTCCTGGTAAGTTGTGGCGTGCATCCAGGCTGACGAGATCGGGTTTACACAGGATACTGCGATCGCACTCGGGACTGCGTTCAAGGAGGCCCTAGGTGAAGTTCGAGGCATCCGTCGATACGGAACAGGCTTCGCTCCTCTCGACGAGGTGCGTTCAATATCCCCCCTGTCTACCCTCATGCTCCAACTTTTTATGTTCCACGTTTGTGTACATTAGGCCCTCTCCCGTGCGGTGATCGATATCTGCTCAAGACCGTACTGTGTCACCGACCTCGGCCTCAAGCGCGAAAAGATAGGCGATCTGTCGACGGAGATGATCCCGCATATTTTCTACTCGTTCGCTATAGCCTCCGGAGCCACATTGCACGTCGATGTGTTGCGCGGGGAGAATGACCATCATAGGTGCGTCTGTCTCCCTTTATCACAAGGAGATGTGAGGAGAGAGGAGAGAAGGAGGCTGATGCGTTGGATTGGAATCTGATGTCGTTTTGTAGAGCGGAGTCGGCGTTCAAAGCGTTGGCGCTGGCGATCAAGCAGGCGATCGAACGGACGGGAGGGAACGATATTCCCAGTACCAAGGGCGTCCTATAAGCCGTAACGGTGCTTTCTGGTCTCCAGGAAGATGGTGGTGGTGGGATGAATGCAACTGACCAGCAGAGACCAACCACATTGTGATACTTATATTTGTAACGAACGACTGTATGTACATCTCCTACAGCAAACGAGACAAGTACACATAGCACGAGTTTGAGCCTGATTCCTGATTCCTGATTCCTGAATGGGGGTCGTAACTTGTCTGGTATTATATGGCGAGACAGGTGTGGGTGTGGGTGTGTGGGGAGGTAAGTATGTACTGAGTACTTGGAGTTGGGACGGCGTTATTGAAAATGCGAAACGAAACGAAACGGAGCTAATAACAAGATTGGAAGATGAAGCATATGTAAGTAAATATGTAAAAGAAAAATATCGCACACGACGCGGCGGGGACTGAGTACTGAGTGAGAACCAGCCCGCGACCGGCAGTAGTGACCTCCAGCCCAACCCATGTATCAACCCGAGACAAAGAGATCCGAGAGGCAAGACGAGACGAGAGGAGAGTAAGTTCTAGATAATGCAGGGTGGATAAAGAAACCAGAAGGACGACGACAGGCAGGCAGCGAGGGGGAGTGAGAATGACCACAGAGAGAGAGGGAGAGAGAAAGAGTGCGTAAAAAATACAATATAATGGCAAGTCCAGGAATGTTATCATCGCTGGCCCATTTATCTGCGGGTGGCCCAGATCTCCAACCTCCCCTCGGGCTTGCCCTTCGCACTCTCCCTTGCCGTCTCAATCGCGAGGTCATAATCACTCTCGTCCCTGAGCGTGACCCGTCCGCCGTCCTCGTCCTTGAACTTGAGCGTGATCTCCTTCGGTCCGAGATCGAACTTGTCCGCGACGCGAACCATGAAATCGTCAAAGGGCATCTGGGGGTCGAGTGCCATCCCGCGCACATCTTCCTCGTAATGGATCTAGAACAAGGAGAGGGTCATTATCGGATCGCAAAACGAAACTAAACTGGTCGCTATTTACCTTGACGCGGATCTTCACCAGCTCGAACACCTCATCCCACTCGCCACTCCCAGTAACATACCCCTCCTCTTCCTCCTCATACGTGCTCACCGGGGCTGAACCTGCAGTCCCGCGCCTCGTCACCCTCCTCCTGACCGTGCCCGCACGCGAACCCCCAAACGACGACGGCGCACGGCTATACGAAGTCGGCGGAGCCCCGCCATTCGCATTCGTCCGAGCCCAAGCTAAAAGTCAAAACACAAACACAACAAGACCAAGGGGAAGGGGAAGGAGAAGAACCAGACGACACCTCGGTCAGTGAGCGACATTTCCCGAGATAAGTTGGAAGTAATTACAAGACGAACCAGCAACTCTGTCTCCGCCCCCACCACCAGCCGCAGTACTCATAGGCGGCAACGGCGGCAACGTCGGCGGCGCGTTGTTGTCCGCATACGCATCGATATACGAGTCGTAGAACTCCGTCATCCTGTTCCCGTTATCCTCTCCACCACCGCCGTTCTGCCCACCTCGCGCGGGCGAGGATGACTTTGGGGGCGGGGAGGGCGCGTTGGAGCTGGGCTTGCGAACGCTTAGGCCGCGGACGGGGCCGCCCATGCCACCGGGAGTACGACCGGAGGCCATGGTGTTGGAGCGGGCGACGGAGGGGGGAGGGCGATTGTTGGAGGAAGAAGGGCTGCCGGGCGAGATACGTTCACGGGCGTTGGAGGCGACGTTGATGGTCGTGTTGGCGCGTCCGAGATTGCTGACTGGGGCTGCTTCCGGAGGGGCTAAAACGGAACGAATTGACAGTTAGTTGATGGACGTGGATGGTGATGATGATGAATATGAATATGGAGCGCACTGATGCGGGGAGCGGGGGCGGTGGCGCTACGGTTGAGCGCGGGGGCATCATCGGCGTAGGTGTTGCTTGGGGTGATTCCCTGCTTGAGACGGGTCACGCCGGTGAAGGTCGTGTAGGCCTCGGAAGCATCTTCTGCAGCGACAAGTTTCTGTGCAGGCGGAAGGGGTACGATTAGGAAAGCGGGCCGCGAGGCGCATCGCACGTAGGGGTCCATCAAGGACACAAGGAGATGATCAGACAGAATGGACAGGGGACGCCGACGGAGAGACAGACGCACCGCTTTGCCCAGGAAATCGCGGGTCTTTGCGTTTTTCAGCTTGTTTTCGGAGGGTCTGTAGAGGACTCCGACGGGCTGTGGGAGGGTGAGCGACGGTGCACTTCGGAAGGAAAGGGAAGACGTACGATGCTAAAGACGGTGTAGCCTTCGCCCCTGTCTCTGAGAGCCTCGTCGATGACATTATGTTCCTCCGTCGCTTTCTGGCTGGCTGCATCCTGGAGCTCTGCCATCCCTTGGTCGATCTGGTTGAGGTATATGAGGGAGAGACCTGGGGTACAAAGGAGATCAGAGTGTGGTGGCTGAATGAAGGAGAATTGGCGGACCCTTATTGAAAAGGACCTCGGACGAGTACAAGGTAAAGGCGAGACCGAGTTGCGTATAATTACTGTCGAGGCCGGGAGAATTAGGATTGTCAGAGAGGGAAATAGAAGGACATACATGGACTGGTTTCCACGGAGATAGAGTAGGGCCTCCTCGAAGTCTTTGGAGGCAAGATCATAACGGCCGAGCAGAAAGTTGGAGACGCCGCATTGAAAGTATCTAGAGTGCAGAGTATGGGTGGTGTGATGAGGGAGAAGGACGGGGAGGGACTGCGGAGGACGACGTACGCGACGGCAAGATACTGGTCGAGGCCAGTGGCTGCGATGAACTGCTCAACGGCAGCTTCGTGCTCACCGAGGGTAGCGTATATGAGACCCATGTTTGTGAGGATCTTGGACGAGTCGCCGATCCTCTGCTCGGCAAAGAGGGGATGATGATGTCAGGCCAAGAGGGCCAAGGGAGTGAGAGACTGCGTACAGAGAAGAGGTCGAGGGACTTTTCAAAGTCCTCTTCGTCGTAGGCCTTGAGGGCGGCGGCCCATGTCTCTAATTCAGCCTTGAGGGACATCTGGGATGGGAGAGGTAGCGGAGAAAGAGGCGTGCGGCAGGATCAGACGATTCTGGGAAGACTTGGGGCAAGGAAAGACAAGGCTCGGCCAAGTAGTAGTAAGGAAAGAAGCGTGCCTGACGCGTAAAATATATTAGAGTAGAACGAACGGAAAAGAGAGGAAGAGCAGATGGTCGCTGCACGCAAAGCACAACTGAAGCTGCGACACTTCAAGGCTTCGAACAGCGGACCTCGAATTCAGCCTCAACCTTCGTCTGCCATCGTCGACTCCATCAGCGCCCTCAGCTCTCACGCCCTCTCCCTCTCCTCACCGCTTTCAATCACCAGCCGTCGCCCTGCCGACAACCCCGGCCATCTTGGGTCTCGCTCTTGCCTCGCTCCCTCTGGCCATCTCTCCAGCCTTGCAGCGTGCTCTCGCGCTTCTTACGTGACGACTACCGCTCCTCTGGTTCTCTCGATAGCCCCCGACATACATTGTCCTCCTTTCGTCCAGTCAACTCTCTCTCCATTGTGCTCTCATACAGCTTCGAGCTTGCCTTTGGCCGTCACGGCTCCTGCTATTCTCGTTGACTCCGCCTCACACGGATATCCCGATGCGCAGTGATCTTGCCTCCCCATCGCTTTTCGCTTCCACACCCTCGGTCCACATGCTTTTAGATGCCTTTGTCTCTGCCTCTAGCAGTAAAAATAGCTTATACTGCGCGAAAGGTGCTCCTCATGTAGACCTCCTTGTTTTATTTCTGTGTCACGTCGTGGCCGCTATTCTCCTCCGTTCACCTCTTGGTTCACAGGCATGTGTCAACCGTGCATGGCATCAATCTTCGCTGACTGTTACCTCTTCATGCTATCCCGGCTATCCTTCTAATTCGGACTCTGTCAGCACCCAAAAATGATGTTCGGCCGTACTAGTAGCTGGAGGATCTCTATCAACCTGTCGACGGCCTCCGTGTTCTCTGTTCATCGCGCTGGATAAGCCCCGTAAACAGTTCATGATCCTTTCCCACTGTCCCCAGGCCCATCAATATGCAGCCTCAACCGTCAGCACCTGCCATCCTCTGTGTCTCAGTAGACCTGTGTCTGCCACTACTTTCCCATCATCTCCAGCCAAGCATATATACCTGCACCGTAAATACGGTCGTCAAGCATTCTCGAAGGATTCGCCCATGGTTTTTTTTCTTGTTGTTGTTCTGTTCTGCCATTCTGCATCTGCATCTGCATGACACCGAACCCGAACTTCTTCCCGGCTTTCCCGCCGTCTCCTCGTCAACCTCACAACTCGGCTTACGACCACACGTGTGATGTTTTCATTACAGTATTAGAATTCGGCGTCGTTCTAAGCAGCAAGCTGGTGAATCTTCGTCCTGTCTGGTCCTGCTCTAGGTTTCTGCTAGTTGTGATTCCTTGGCGGCGAAGGAGGCGAAGGGGGGTTGTTCACTGTAATGGCATATCGGTTTCTTAATGAGATTTTTCGTGGGTTTGAGGCTTGGCGTTATGCATGGATTCGGTCTTATGGACGTTTCGTTCCGCTCACTTCCGTTCGTCTTGTCTTGTCAAGTAGAGCGTGTATGACGTGGGGTTTTCATTTATCGAAGATGACTTGCGGTATCTAGGTGGTATCGATGCCATACTGGTAAATGGTGGTTTGAAACGATAACAAAAGCGGCCGAGATAGTCATGTCTTTGTACTTCGCTTCATCGGTGACAACACCAGACATCCAACATTTCGCCGTGGTGGACTATGCGCTCTTTTTGGAGTCTAGACAAGCACGAGAGACAAAAGATATATCCGATATGGTGTAACGGCTAACATTGCCGCCTTTCACGCGGCAGCTCGGGGTTCGATTCCCCGTATCGGAAATCTGCTGGTATTCAAATACTGTATTTTGTTTTATTCGATGTTATAGCTTCATCCTTTCAGTGAGACAAAATAAAAGGGTGCTCTAGAAAGAGCTTCATTCTTTCACAGAGAATTTCAGTTTGCGCACGGTGGCCTTTTCGAATTCACCGAGAACTTTTATTTGCGTACGGGAGGAAGAAGACGATTCGGTAGGAGCTCAAGTTCATCCACCGATCTCGACGAAAAGGATAGTTCAACGCGGTTACTGTAACACTTGAGTGCTTGAGCTTCGAGGCTTCAACCCCGTGTCCATAATCCTACCAATCCTCAAAATTTAGACCCCCATACATTGCCAGAATGTACACATGAGTTCACAGGGATCATCGATCAGACAAAATCCCAAGTAATGTCAATCCGCCCCAACGACTCGTCCGCGAGCTCGCTGAATGCAGAGGGCGAGAAATCGAGGTCGGACAGGGCGCAGCCGGTACAGCGGTCGGTTACGGTGACGGTTGTGGATTTCCCGTTGACTGTTACGCGTGGAGGTCAGCGCGAAGTGCACAGGAGAAAGGGAGAAGGTGAGAAGTAGAGGGGAGCAGGGGAACGCACAGGAAGCTTTGATTTTCTTGCCACAGATGGGATTACTGTGGCATGAGTGTCGTCAGTCCGGTTGTTAGAGTAAGGTAGGTGGGACATCTGAAGTTCACTGACGCGTTGGGATTATTGGTCGCACCGCTACAGCGATGAGAAAAAACCGGATCAATATTGTCAGGTGGTGGTACGGAAAGGATGAGACAGAGACAGAGGGATGTATACATACGGGTACGTGTCGAACAGTTTCTCGGAGACGGCGACGATCTTGTCCGAGTCGACGTTGGTGATACCGCATGCTCCGAGACCGACCTATGTGACATTCAAAACGTTAGGGACATATTGAGAGCATACGGCTTAAAAATGACGGACCTCGAAGAAGGTGCCTATATAGTCAAAGCCGCGGTCAGTGATGCACAGTAAAAAGAAGCAATCGCGCGTATATATCATGAGGGCGTACCTTGCCCGCTCTTCGAAGATCGACGAACGGCGGAACTGTGGGAGGGCGCGGCGCTCACAGAGGCCACGAGCAGGAGCAGGAGGGAAGAGAGAGCCATTATTTGCGTCAACGCAAACATAATGTGATGTTCAAAAACGGTTCAAAGAAAGAGTGTGGGTTGAGGACGATTATGGGTAGAAGCGCGCAGCACTATGGTCTTGGGGAGGGAGGGGCGGGATTCCTTGTTGGGTTTTATAGCATCGGCGCTAGGTGCGTGGACCGTCGCCGAACGGGGATTTCGCTCATGGACGGTCAATGGTCAATGGTGGACAGGGTTGACGTCGCGGCCTTGTCGCGTATGCACGGAAGGAGTCGAGATCAAGAGCGAGGTCGGACGGGGAACAGCTGATGGGAGGTTTCAGAGTACTTGTCACGGGCTGGACGTCAGGATCGGCTGTTTGAGCGGTCAACGAGGCTCAATCGTTGTTGTCAGAGCGCTATTACAGACACAAGAGGAAGACAAAAGGGTTTCGGTCGACGGTGCTGTCGCAGTAAAGCACTCGTACTGTTAACGGCGCACAACAAGCGTCGGTTATTTGAGAAAGGATCCTAGGAGCCATCAGTGTCCGATTGAGAGCCCGCCGTTGATGCGTTGTTTCATTCAGCGTCGACGTCCGAAGCGACATGATGCATCATGAGTGTAGCACAGCGCACAGATTAAGACACTAGAGTCAGGTCTGGGCCTCCATGTACCCATTTCGACCGAGTGCAGCTATATTCCTGGAAGTCCAAAAGCCTGAAAAGTCCCAACGTACATCATGACGGTCACCTTCTGGCATGGCGCACAGCCTAAACCGCTGCTACATCAAGTTACCCACCTAATCCTTCACCCTCTTATTCAGGTCAAACAATTTCGAGATCACCTCCTTCGTGTCCAGTCTGAGTCCATCGTGGAAGATCTGGTTCGTGATGAATTGCTCCGTGTTCTTGACCTTCGAGGCCGTATCCTGGGCGAGATTGAAGTCGACGTACATGTCCTCCATGTACCTGCAAAGAAGAAGAAAGATCGATTACGAATCCCAACTGAGGAGATGAGGAGATGAGGATGTATCACTGACGTGGCGGCGTTGACCTTGACCTCGTTCTTCGCGAGCTGCTCGAGATCGTAGAGCGGTCCCCAGGAATCATCTTCGGCGAGCAACATCGCTGCGCCTTTCAATGGTCGCAGGTTGCTGTAGTCGTCGAACATGTCGGGAAATATCTACGTTTCGATCCACGGATTAGCCCCGTTCCAATATCAGCATGCTTGTCGGCGTGGGTGTCAGGCTCGGAGGTAGAACTCACCATTTCTCCGTAGTAAAATATCGGTTCTGTCTCGGCCAATGTCTTCACATGCGACCATGAGAAGCGTGCATCCTGGGCGACGACGCGGGCAGCGGCCCATCGTGGGGCATGTCTGATACGTACGATGTGAGAACCTCTATGACACTACCATGAGAGGGTAAGGAGAAAATGGCGGACACGGACCCTTGACAGTATATAGGCTCGTGCAAGATCGCGAAAATCGGGTTGCCGTCGAGGCTTTGCTTCTGTTGGACGTTTTGTAATGTTTTGTACGACAGTCTGCCGAATATAGAGAGATCGTTGGATGCGCGGAAGACAAGCTCTATGTTCGGAACCGATAGCATGTGAGTAATGCGAATCGTAGCATCCATGTGTGTTGGTCCGTCTACTCACGGTGTATACGGTCTATACCACCTGCGATACAATTTGGGAATGTCGGTCATGTGGTGGCGGTAAAACGAGCATCGTTACTGACCTCGCATCCCGAAATCGAGACCTAGTTGCTGCCATCGTCTGGGTGTGAGATGTCCACCGTTGGGTAGCAACACCTCGTTGTTCTCCAAATACGATAGGATGTCTCGAACCTACGGCCACGAATGAGTGACGCCGTGCAGGGTGGTCGGGGGGAACTTCCGTACCCGTTTGATATCTTGTGGATATTTCTCATAGTACACCTGATTTCTCTTGATTACCCGCTCTGGCATGAGGATTCAGCGCTCGTGGTAAACCCTCTTGGACTAAAGTGTATACTGACTGACAGTGGCCTCGTACACTGGGTCCGGATGGTCGACGAGTGGTGCGAGCCCGCCCGTGAGAAATACTTCCTTCAATCCTTGAGGAAAGAAAGACAGGTAGTTCAGAGCACAAAAGCCGCCGAAGCTCTGTCCTATGATGGACCACTTCTGGTCTTCGACATTCTCTTTGTGGCCCAGGAGGATCTTGCGGATGGCTTCGCAGTCTCGTACTAGATTGCGAGGTGAGGAAATTGGAACCAGTGGTGGGATGCACCGATAGAGGCTCACCGATGTTGTCTGCACGAAAATGTTTGAGGTATGTTGCCTTTTCCTTGTCGGATTTGGATTGGAGGAGTTCGGCGGAGACGGTCGTGCTGAGCCCTGTGCCACGCTGGTCTAGCCAAAGGGTCTGAGGGTATCATGTCGGACGAGGTTTACAGGTATCGGTGTGGTATCGCGTACCTGATAACCTCTGTCATGAAGCTGGAACCGAGACTAAGATCAGCGCTTTTATCCTGCAAAAGAAGAATGCAGCGGAATACCTCTCCCGAATAGCTAGAACTCCCCATGAGCTCGACTTCGCTTCCGGGACCACCTGAGGACGGATGAGCGAATTCCAAAAGAAGAGTTTACGATAGATAGCAGCGGTGGTGACCTTGCAGATAGACCACTAGGCGAGGAGAACCAAGAGAACTTAGGGGCTTGCTTCAGTACTTGAGAGCCCATTGCTCACTGTAGGGAAGCTTGTCTTCCTCCGCTTTAGTCTTTGCTTTATTGACCGGGATGAGGTTGCGTGCAAAGACTTGAATCTTCTCGCCTTCGGGGTCGGCATAATTCAAAGGGAGAGTGAAGAACCGTTCGATAACCTTGATATCATCTGAACATTATATACTTTCAACCAGATAGCGACAAGAACGAGACCAGTCAGAAGTGTGCTACCTTTGATGCGGTAAGTCTCGAGCGCGGAGTCGTCAGGAAGAGTAGGGGCAGCCATCTGGGTCATGGTGGTGGTTGAGAATGAAGCAGCAAACGCTCGAATGGTCAGATTGGGTCGACGATAAGTATATTGCGGGCGACCGCGTGCATAGCACGGCCAGATGATATGTCTTGACGGAGGATATAATGAGTGGCGGAGAGAGGTAAACATGGTGACGTCGATCCGCTTTCGCACGGGTCCGTTGCTGGTTTCCGGCTGAGCGGTGCAAACGGCGTCTGTTTTCGGCCAGCTGCAGCGCAGCCATCTCGACCTTTCCACTTTCTATCCGTATATTCGACTTTCCATTTAAGTTCCCCGCCTACAGCACTCGCCATGAGCGACGACTTTGTCCGCCTCGTCTCGACCGCAAACCCGGCCTACCAACAGACCTCGAACGGCTACCCGCCCTCGTCCTCCAATTCCCCATACTCCAACAACAACTACCAGACCCAGTCGCCCCAGCTCCTCGACCCCTTCTTTGACGACGAAGACGAGTACAATACCCCACAACAGTCCTCCCGCAATGCACCAGATTCCGCTTTTGGCTCCTTTCCTCCCATGCAGAGCAAGGAGAGCAACATCCATCTCACTTCCGCCGCCGCACCCCCAGCCGGCGCCTCCAAGCTCTCTCTTTCTACCAACGGCGCACCACAAGGCTGGACATTCGACGATGACGAATCCGTACCCTCACAACCTGGGCCAACAACCAAGAAACGTGGCTTCGCCGACAGGCTCCGGCATACCAAGTTCAAGTGGCCCTGGAAGAAGGAGGCCGTCCTGACAGGAGAACGTCTCGTAGCCCTCAACCTCCCGGAAGCAAATGCAGAGTTCATCTCGAACTATGTCTCCACCAGCAAATACAATCTCGCCACATTCCTCCCCAAATTCCTCTTCGGTGCGTTTCCTTCCGCTCTCCTTCCGTGAACGTTGCTAACGCCGCACACAGAGCAATTCTCGAAATACGCCAACTTGTTCTTCCTATTCACCGCGTGTATTCAGCAAATACCGGACGTATCTCCCACGAACAAATGGACGACTATAGCCCCGCTTTCTGTTGTCCTCTTGGCTTCAGCGTACAAAGAAGTCCAGGAAGATCTGGTGCGTCCCTTGTCCATCGTCTCTCGACCCTCTACTCACTACAGTACAACAGAAACGGCATCAATCAGATTCGGACCTCAACTCCCGTCCTGCCAAGGTGCTGACTCAAAGCGGGACTTTTGAGGTCAAGAAGTGGAAGAATATCCAGGTTGGCGACGTCGTACGGATAGAGAACAACGATTTCATCCCGGCCGACCTCATCCTCCTGGCCTCGAGTGAACCGGAAGGATTCTGTTATATCGAAACGTCCAACCTCGACGGGTGCGTTTCCTCCACACCCACCTTTCCCCTTCTGATCGTCAACATTTGCCCTGCATTTCCAGTGAAACGAACCTGAAGATCAAGCAAGCCTCTCCTCACACATCTTCCCTTACATCTCCCCATCTTGTCACAGCCCTTCGGGGATCTCTCCGCTCCGAACAACCCAACAACTCACTCTATACGTACGAGGGTACATTCGACATCACCACACAGGCTGGCTTCCCGAAGCAGGTGGGCCACATCACTTTTTTACAGGGGCCACCCAGGCTCTGATCATCGCTTAGATTCCCCTAGGACCCGATCAACTACTTCTGCGAGGCGCCCAGATCAGAAATACACCTTGGGCGTACGGGTTTGTCGCTTTCACCGGGCATGAGACCAAGCTAATGCGAAACGCAACGTGAGTGGCGGTTTGGTATTTTCTTTTCCAGGTGCCTATGCCTGATTCCATGATATTCTTAGCGCTGCACCCATCAAGAGAACTGCAGTCGAGCGACAGGTCAATGTTCAAATCGTTTTCTTGTTTATACTCCTGTTGCTGCTTTCCTTGGGATCGACCATCGGCAGTAGCATCCGGACAGTAAGCGTTCCATCTCATGCAATTTGATTGTGCTCAACACCCAGTATGCAGTGGTTCTTTTCGAACCAACAATGGTACCTGCTCGAAACTACCTCACTTTCCGACAGAGGTAAGTTGCTCACGTCTGATATAACGTTATTGTGCTGACAAATACGTACAGCGAAAAGCTTTATCGAAGGTACGCTGAGACGACGCCCCTCTGCTCTTGTATATGCTCACTCTCGATGCAATTCTCTAGATATCCTCACTTTCATTATTCTCTACAACAATCTCATTCCTATCTCCCTCATCGTTACCATGGAAGTAGTCAAATTCCAGCAAGCACAACTCATCAACTTCGACCTCGATATGTACTACGCACCCACGGACACCCCTGCCCTCTGCCGAACGTCGTCCCTCGTCGAGGAGCTCGGCCAGATCGAATACGTCTTCTCCGACAAGACCGGTACCCTCACCCGTAACGAGATGGAGTTCCGGTGCTGTTCGATAGCCGGGCATGCCTATGCCGATGAAGTCGACGAGAGCAGACGAGGTGGCGAGGGTGGCGTTGCGGAGGACGGGAAGGAACCTTGGAGGACGTTCAAGGAGATGCGAGGGTTATTGGAACGCGGCAGTCAGAATCCGTTCTCGGACTTCTCGGAGGGCGATGCCGGAGGGGCAGGCTCGGTCCAGGCGAGCGCGAAGGAGGTGGAGGTGTTGAGGGAGTTCTTGTCGTTGCTTGCGGTTTGTCATACGGTCATTCCGGAAGTGAAGGACGGGAAGATGATTTATCAGGCGAGTAGTCCTGACGAGGCTGCGTTGGTCGCGGGCGCAGAATTGCTGGGATTCCAGTTTCATGTGAGTGGCATGGTGGCACAATGTGTCTTTCAGTGGGTTTCGCTGACCGTGTGGCTTTTTTTTGTTTTTGTTGCGTGCAGACCCGGAAGCCGAAGTCGGTCTTTGTGAACGTACTAGGCGAATCGCTGGAGTACCAGATCTTGAACGTTTGCGAGTTCAACTCGACACGTAAACGCATGTCTACCGTCGTTCGATGCCCCGATGGCTCGATCAAACTCTACTGCAAAGGCGCTGACACCGTCATTCTTGAACGTCTGAGCCCGAACCAGCCTTACACCGATAAGACCTTGGCCCACCTTGAGGTATGGCCCCAATTCGCTCAGCTGCTCCGTACTTGAAAGCTAACGGTATATCTACTGGACGGATAGGAATACGCCACGGAAGGCCTCCGGACGCTTGCGATCGCTTACCGTGACATACCAGAATCGGAGTACAAGCAATGGGTGTCTATCTATGACCAGGCCGCTGCGACGATCAATGGACGCGGTGACGCCCTCGACAAGGCGGCTGAGATCATCGAGAAGGACATGTTTTTACTGGGTGCCACGGCCATCGAGGATAAGCTGCAGGAGGGAGTGCCCGATACTATCCATACCCTCCAAGCGGCCGGTGTCAAGGTGTGGGTATTGACGGGAGACCGACAGGAGACTGCAATCAATATCGGGATGTCCTGTCGATTGATCACCGAGTCGATGAACCTGGTGAGCATGCTTACTTGCGTACAGCTTTAGGCCTTCGCTCATTATATGTTAGGTCATCATCAATGAGGAGAATATGCACGATACCAAAGAGACTCTCGAACGACGGTTAACGGCCATCAAGAATCAACGAAGCACCGGCGAGCTTGAAGACCTGGCTTTGATCATCGGTCAGGACTATCCGCTTCACCTGATGAAAGACTTGGGCTGAAAAAGATTCCGGCAGATGGCAAGAGTTTGACCTTTGCGTTGGAGAAGGAACTTTCCAAGACCTTCCTTGAGCTGGCGATTATGTGCAAGGCCGTCATTTGCTGTGAGTGTCTTCCATAAAGTGACGTGTACCTGTTGTTAAATCGTGTTGTTGGTAGGTCGTGTATCGCCCTTGCAGAAAGCTCTTGTCGTCAAACTCGTCAAGAAGAACCAAAAGTCGATCCTTCTGGCTATTGGCGACGGTGCGAATGACGTGAGCATGATACAGGCCGCGCATGTGGGCGTAGGTATCTCTGGAGTCGAGGTGAGTACGCCCATAATAACGGCGTGTACGACCCGTTCTTACGAAGTCTTCACTAGGGTTTGCAAGCTGCTCGTTCTGCAGATGTCGCCATCTCTCAATTCCGGTTCTTGAAGAAACTGATGCTTGTGCACGGGGCTTGGAGTTACCAGCGACTTTCGAAACTGATCCTCTGTTCGTTGCTATTCCTCTAGAAGTACTTTATCACCGTTTCTAACACGTTCGTTAGACTCATTCTATAAGAATATCACGCTGTACATGACACTCTTCTGGGTGCGTTCGCCTAACTCTCATCTGAATGTACCGTATCACTCACGCGTGGCGTACGCAGTATTCCTTCTTCAACAACTTCTCGGGACAGGTCGCCTACGAATCGTGGACTTTGTCCATGTATAACGTTCTTTTCACGGTCCTTCCTCCCCTGGTCATCGGCGTCTTCGACCAATTCGTCTCCGCGCGTATCTTAGACCGCTATCCTCAGCTATACATGCTCGGTCAGCAGAACGCCTTCTTTACTCGGACTGCGTTCTGGCTGTGGGTTGGCAACGCTCTGTATCACAGTGTCGTATGTGTTTCTCTTATTTCTCGGTGAAGGATTTAGCTGCATGACACCTGATCGGAACCACATCTAGGTATTATTTGGATTCTCCGTAATCCTGTTCTGGGGAGACCTGAAACAGGCAACCGGGCTCGACTCAGGCCACTGGGTGTGGGGGACCATGCTCTACCTTGCCGTTCTACTGACTGTCCTCGGAAAAGCGGCGTTGGTTTCTGAGTAAGTCCATCCTTGTGCTGGTCTTTGATGCTACAAAAACTTACTCTCCGTGCAGTCTTTGGACAAAATACACGGTCGCTGGTAAGCCCTAATAAACCTGTCGCGTCCAAACACTGGCTGAGAAACAACTCGTTCTTTAGCTATCCCTGGATCTTTCGTGTTCACCATGCTCTTCCTGCCATTATATGCCGTCGTTGCCCCTGCTATCGGCTTTTCGCTGGAGTACCTCAACATAGTGCCGAGGCTGTGGACTGATGCAGTGCCTTATTTCATGCTTCTCCTGGTGCCAATTTTCTGCCTCAGTCGCGATATTGCTTGGAAATAGTGCGTATAGGTCATCCCCTTAAATAAAGGAGATGCTGACCATCGTCATGTAGCTACAAGCGGACGTACATGCCGGCGTCGTACCACATCGCTCAAGAAATCCAAAAGTACAATATCCCTGACTACCGCCCGCGACAAGAACAGTACGCTCTCGTCTTTCATTATCGATTCAACGTCAATTGCTCACCCTCCCCACCTGCAGATTCCAAAAGGCTATCAAGAAGGTACGCGCGGTGCAGCGTATGCGACGAAACCGTGGCTTTGCATTCAGTCAGACGGAGAACCCGGCACGGCAGGACCAGTCGCGGCTTATTCGGGCGTACGATACGTCGCAAACACACGCACGGCCTTCTGGATATTAGACCTGCGAGAGGGGGGTTGTGTTGTTCGCTCTTTTGTCTTGTCTGTTGTCATCTTTTGCTTTGCTCGGACATCTTACTAGTCCTTCTTCAGTCCGTTATGTTGTTCGATGGTGGATGCGGGTGCATGGACAGTATGTACTTTAGTTTAGGTCTCCGTAATCTAGATGCATGTCTAGCTTTGTGTTCCAAGGGGATGATCAAATGCCCAAATCTTTCGCAGACGGCATCCAGAAGGGATCCGAGACGATAGAGCGCTTGGATGATACTACATTGGCGCTGTACAAAGTAAGACCGATATCTGTCTCGTCGGGGTGTCTTTTGCAATATCTCAAGCGCTATGAGTTTCAATCATGATCAGCGACATAAGCTGAGGCCCAGCCGAGGCGCTGGTTGTGGCGCCTCGTCGAATAAGTGGCACCAAAGGTTCGAAAAGGGGCGATGAGTCAGCTCAGACTAATTTATTTCTGCAGACGCTAGCATGACTGGGACACTCAGCTCGCCTCATCTCATCCTTCGCTCCCTTCCAACTCATCCCATAACTTGATACCGGCGCTATTCAGGCTGTCCGATCCAGCGAAACCCACACCAAAAATCCGTGGATAGGACTTGAGAACTATCAGAGCTCCTCCTGATTCCATCTGAACTGGGCACGGAACGCACCGCTGTTCAAATTCCTTGCCGTCGATCTCGCTCTTGCATAGCGCTTTCTTGAGCTATATAGTCTCAGCTTTACCTGTCGTTGCTTCATCATGGCGACCCCCACAAACGCACTCCCAGGTGTTGCACCTCCAGTACTACCAGAACTTCTGGCACGACCAATCGACGTTCTCATGATCGACAACTTCGATTCATTTACCTGGAATCTTTACCAGCACCTCTCACTGCTCGGCAGAGACATCACCGTCCTACGCAATGATGCTATCCCCGTCGATGCCCTCCCCCAGCTTCAGATTCGATGTCTCATCATCTCTCCCGGTCCCGGACATCCTGTCACAGACTCGGGCATTTCGAGGGAGGCGATCAAGTACTTCACCGGGAAAGTACCGGTGCTAGGTGTTTGCATGGGGTTGGAATGCTTGGTAGACGTGTTTGGCGGTGAAATAGGGTGCGTACTTATACCCGTGTGCTATCCCATTCTACGGTCACCCTCGGCCAGAGTGGAATTGCCTCAAGGATGACAGCCTACCACAACCCCCGATGTATCACCAGCTGATAATGCACAATGTCTGCAGGTACGCTGGCGAGATTATGCACGGCAAGTTGAGCCGTATCCGTCACGACGGCCGTGGTTGTTTCAAGAATGTCGCACAAGGCTTCAACTCTACCCGCTACCATTCACTGTCCGCCGATATCAAGTCTCTCCCCGCTGACCTCGCTGTCACTGCTGCCACCGAAGATTCGGGAGTCATTATGGGTGTTCGGCACCGGAAGTACACCCTTGAAGCTGTCCAGTATCATCCCGAGAGCATACTCTCCGAAGCCGGAGATGATCTATTGCGGAATTTCCTCGCTTTGAATGGTGGATTGTGGGAAGCCAATCCAGATTCTGGCGTATTGGACGTCAGCCTACCACCATTCCCCATCGAGGCTGTCGACGGCAAACTGAAAGCAGAGGCGAAGAAGATTCCAAGCGTTTTGGAGAAGATCTATGCCCAACGCATGAAGGACGTCGCCGCTGCGAAGGAAGTCCCCGGCACCAGCCCTGCCGATCTCGATACCTTCCTGTCCATGCATCTCAGCCCACCATTAATCCCACTCGTTGCTCGTCTCAAAGCGCGTACCCCTGCACTTATGGCCGAGATCAAACGCGCCAGCCCTTCAAAAGGTCCTATCGCGCTTTCCGCCAATGCTGCTCAACAGGCTCTCACCTACGCCCTCGCAGGCGCGTCCGTCATATCGGTGTTGACGGAGCCCACTTGGTTCAAGGGCTCCCTTCTGGATATGCGTTTGGCCCGCCAAGCAATCGATTCCCTCCCTAACCGCCCCGCTGTCCTCCGTAAAGATTTCATCCTCGACGAATATCAGATCGCGGAAGCTAGACTATACGGCGCGGATACCGTGCTTCTCATCGTCGCCATGATCCCGACCAATCGGTTGAAGGCACTGTATGAGTACTCTCTCAGTCTTGGGATGGAGCCGCTTGTCGAGGTCAATAACGCGAAGGAGATGGAGATCGCCCTCGAGCTAGGGGCGAAAGTGATTGGCGTCAACAACCGCAACTTGCACGACTTTAAGGTGGATATGGGTACCACGTCTCGACTGGCCGATATGGTCAAGGAGAAAGACGTGGTGCTCTGTGCTCTCAGCGGCATCATGGGCAACCAAGACGTGCAGACGTATGTTGATCAAGGAGTAGGCGCCGTGCTCGTCGGAGAGGCATTGATGCGGGCCAAGGACACGAAGGCATTCATCCACGAGCTTTTGGGCTGGACCGAAGACCAACCATTAGCGGAGCAGCGCGCGCCTTTGGTCAAGATATGTGGTCTCAGAACCGATGATGAGGCATTGCTTGTGGCGGAAGCTGGCGCGGACATGCTCGGCCTGATGTTTGTCCCATCCAGCAAGCGATTTGTTTCTCTCGAGCAAGCCCAAAAGATAGCAGCTAGCGTGCGAGGCGCGCGCTCTGCATCACAATCACCGGAATCATCGTCTTCCTCTTCGACCAGCCAGGATTCGATACGGAATGAGCCGTGGTTCACGACCCACGCCCTTCGTCTCGTTCATTCACCGACTCGACCACTCCTTGTAGGCGTATTCCAAAACCAGCCACTGGCCTGGATATTGCATTGCGTAGCGGTAGCCCAGCTGGATATCGTTCAACTACACGGCGACGAGCCTTTGGAGTGGGCGAAGCAAATCCCTGTTCCTGTCATTCGCGTTTTCCACGTGGATGCCGAGGGTAAGGGAGTCGAGGGTATCGCGCGGCCGGGTCTTCATCAGTATGTTCTGCTGGATGCTGCTGTCGTGCCGGGTGGTCTTTCTGGAGGAACTGGCAAGAAGGTGGATTGGGAGGTCGCAAAGAAGGTCGTTGAGCTCGGCGAGGCTGGCGTCAGTCCTTCAGAGAGGGAGATTGGCGGTACTCCTGCGCCGATGCCTATCATGTTAGCGGGAGGTTTGACGCCAGAAAATGTTGTGGATGCGATCGAAGCTGTGGGGCCGTGGGCGGTGGACGTCAGCGGAGGGGTTGAGCTAGAGGATGGTTCGGCGAAGGACATCGAGAAGGTCAGACAGTTCATCAGAGCAGCCAAAGGGAGCACAGAGTAAGATAGCACTTTTAGAACATGTGTTTTCTCAAGGGAATCGAGTCGAAGCAACACCTATCATATTGATTGATTCGGGCTATGTGATGTTGTACTTATATACAGTGCACTAAATACTACTATGTGTGTATGAAGACGTGTCATGATGATGTATGGTGGAAGATGATATGGGCATGAGGTTACACAAGAACGTCGACACAAGCTGCATGAGAAGACAGGGTTAGTTGCTACAAGAGAAATGCGCAGCCGAGCTCTTAACATCCTAACCAGCCGTAGGGGCTGATCCATCCATCAACAAAGACAACAGCTCTGCCTCTTCCTCTGCAGTCCACCCACCGCCACCGACTTCCCACAAACCGTCTGATCCCTCGTCTCGCCGCTCAGACGGGCTCTCTCTTCCAGGTGATGTGAGGCCTAAATCCAACTTGAATGTGTCGGCCTCAGTAACGCTCGGATGTGAAGACTGACAAAGGGCACTGAGAGAATCAAAGAAGGATTTCAAGGCAGAATCCGACGAGAACGCTTCGTAGTCGACGTCGGTGTCGCTCTGAGTTCCGGTGTTGATAGAAGAGTTTGTCTCTTGTGAGGACGACAAGTGGAAATTGGGGGGTTCCTGGTTGTCGTCTTGCTCCTCTCCATCTGTAGGCGAGATGTTCGGACTAGAAGGCGGAAGAGGCGAAGAAGGAGGAAGATCGCTGTCCCAAGAATAAACTTTCGGAGCAATATCCAGATCGACTGGGTTTCGAACGGTTTCATCCCCGTCGTCCTCATCATCGGCGTCGCTACTAGCAATGGGCAGAGAGCTGGAGGGTTGATCGTCATCGTGCTTCGATACGAAGACATCGGCCTTTCTTGCTTTATTTGTGCCACTCCCTCCTACACCGCGTCCCGCAAGCACCTTCTGGATGGGCGACATCTCAGCCGTGGGGGAAGTGAAATCAAGCTTGTCATCATTTTCGGGAGAAAACAAAGGGCTTGACATGGAACGCGACGGTGAACTAGTAGAAAGAGGTTGACGTTTGCGGCTGTGTGGGGTGGAAGGTAGACCGGTGGGAACTATGGCTCGGAAGGGGGACTGAATAGTATGCGGATCGTTTCGGCTTGGCCAGGCTAGCCGTGTAGAGGGTGTGGCTCGGGGAGTGCAGAGGAACGACGCAGTTGGGAACACAGGAGCGGGCGCCGAAACTATCATATTGACGGTAGTAGGAACATGTTGGTTCACTGCGGAGGGCGTTCCTGAAAACTGATCAAGGGCGTCCTGAGAGGTAGCAGCGGTCGACCCATCCGTTACGTTTTTGGTGTTCCCTCGTTTAGTCTCTGTCTCTCTGGCGCTTCGTTTTGCGGTGGATGGTTTGCTACGCGCCTTTCTCTTCCCTTTACGGGCTTCTTGGGACTGTTGTGAAGACTCAGGTTGGGCTACAGGCTTCTTCGCGAATCGAGGCTGAGTAGCGGTCTGAGTCTTCGCCCAGGAAGGGACCAGGAACTTCTTCGGTTTGTAGATGGACGCAACGAGGGACATCCGTGCTGCAAGAAGATCCGCATTAGGTGGCGGAGCAGAGTTTTCCAATGCACTTGACGTGCTTGCGACAGGCATCGCAGGCACTGTCGACCCTGAAGGCTGGCGACTACGAGACGTGAAGGAAGTGCGGAAAGGTATGGGGTCGGAGAGAAGCGGCCGTGTGGTGAACGGTGGTGAACGAGTCACTCCCTTGCTATTGCTGGCGATGCGAGACGTGGAAGGACGAACAGGCGAGGTCTGTGTCTCATGGCGCTTCTTTCGACGTTTGGATGGAGAATAGGGAGCTGGGGAAACACGGCCTGCGCGGTCACAGTTCCGGTCCGGAGAACTTGCACGGTGTGAAGAACGCGATTCGTCGCGGAGATCTGCACGACTGCGTTTGTGCGAGCGACGTTCCCGTTCGGGTCTCGGTGGTCTTGGTGGAGACGCTTCCAATGGAGGAGGAGCAGCACGAAGAGATGTGCGACGTCGGAAAGCGTCAGGGTCGACATTTTCCTTGTCCAGAACAATGATATCGTCGTCGTTGCATCCAGATGTTGTTTCTCCCGATGTCTGAGTAGCTGGAACAGAACTCAGACCAGAAGGATGTGTTTGAGGCACGACGGAGGTTTGCGAAGGGTGCGACATAGAAGACGTTGACGAAGACGATGACGGAGAAGGATCTGCGTGTGCCGTAGTCTCTACTTGGGGTTGTGCAGGTAATTTAGATGCCGCATCCGCAAGGACGGCAAGAATAGCTAGACTGGACGCGTCTAATGCGAAGTTAGTGGTCGAGACTCCGTCATTGCCTGCATCGCCGACGAGATTCCTAGGCAGGGAAGAGAGAAGAGAACCCAGCGATGGAGGAAGTGACGACGGGTTGGCTAGGATATGCATCAACAAGGCTTGGATATTAGCCTCTGACGATGCCGAAGTGCCGGACGCTGTGGCAGCAGTATTGGGCCGTTGTGCAGGAGGGGCTGCATCGAAGGGCTGGCTCGTGGATTGTGTGTGTAACGTGGCTGCACGGATGAGCGGTTTTCGTGTAAACAACTCTGCAGTGGTTTCTCGTTTGAGCTTTGATTTTGAATCTAGGGATGGCTGTACTGTCTTCTGTATCGCATGGGCCACCGCGGCTGGAGTCGGCTGTCGGACTTGGTCGTGGTGCGAGTCAAGGGTAGGTGATGACATCGATCGACTAGGAGCCTGACGCGAATGGGCATGTAACTGAGCGACTGGGAAAGAGGGTCCATGAGAGTGCGTTGGACAAAATTCAGTGACTGATTGTTGAAGGGCCGTAGATTCAATTGTCAAAGACTTACTTCGGTCGTGCCCGAGGGATGAATATTGCGGGGCTAAAGAAACATGATTTGGATGATGCTGCGGCGTCTGGGGGAATTACAAAGGGGGATAAGAAGGGAACGATGGCGTGAGCCATGACGGGAGTGTGGAGAGAGTGCTCAACGTACCTCTCGGAGTGCAAACACAACTTCAAGCGCCCATTCTCCAGAAGGCTGCAGCACCAATGTACCAGTCACAGATGTGCTCATCTCATCCGGTGTAGCCAGCGCCCATGACATAAGGCCGAGGCCTACAGCCACTCCTCCCGACTGCTTCGTGTCATTGGTCGCTGGAACTTGAAGATTTGTCGATGCAGAACCGAACGGAGGATGATTGGTACTAGATAGTTCGGAAGAAAAGAGAATGGAGGAGGGGGCAGACTGGTGTTCGAGAGGGTCAAGAACGTAGAGCGAAAAATCGCGACCGGGGCCCTGGACAAGATCGGGACTATATCGTAGAACATAAATGGGATTGAAGTTGACTGGGTATGAGGACAATTGAACGCACCTCGAGCGACATATGGTGTGCAAACATGATTTGAGAGGGGCAGTGGCATATCGAGGACCGCTAGTGGTCTTTAGTGGGATGGGTAGAACCGCCAGGCGTTCTGAGGATCGTGCGAGAATGTACTGGGGCGAGTGATTGACGGTGTACCATATGCGGACTGAAGAGAAAGCAGTCAGTAAAGTACGAAGAGGAAGGAGATGAAGAATACCTGGAAGGAACTGAGGCTCGCTCATGATGGTGGTGGTGCATGAAGAAGAGAGCGCGCGAGACGGCTCGTTCCAAACAATGGTCACGTTTGCTCAACAACGCGTAGCGCGTCTGTCACGCGTCTGTCACACATCGCGCGTCTCACCTTGACAAGGAGGAGACCGGCGAAAGCCGAAGCCGCCTTGCGTTCGCCGTCCATGCAGTCCATCGCACCCCCGACGAGGAGAGAGTTCGCGCTGACCGCCATCCTCCTCGTCCTCCTCCTCACCTTCTTCAAGAATGACGTCCCATTAGATTCTTCCTCTACCTCCGCACTTCTCCCCTTCGACTCTCTCGCTCGTCGCCCCGCAGGCATCCTCCCCACACTCGATCCCCATGCTCGTCTCAACTGGCACTCTGGTCCTGTCCCACAAACCAAAATCATCGCTCATGCTCCAGGTGTGTCTGAACGCTCCTTTGTTTTTCTATGTTCTAATCTGCCCTAGGCTGGACGACCTTTGACAGACTCTATGTCTTCAATGGTACACTCTTCGTCGTTACTGCAAACCCAGAGTCTGTGCCGGAGCGTAGGTTCATGACGTCTACCGGTGTCAACATCGGAAACAGTCCGGAGGAGGTTGCTGCTAGGATGCCTGGTGATAAGGAGATGCGTATCATCACTCCTGAAGAGGCAAAGCGATTATTTGGTGTAGGCGCTAACCGTGTTGAAGGCGCAACAGTACGTTCGTTCTCTCTTCGTTCCCGAACAGTCCTCTCATTGTTTGTTAGTGGTTGGCCAATGACCCTCCTCAATTGTATGCTCCTCAATTCTATTTTCCCCACTACTCTGACCGTGCACTAGCATCACACATTATTATCATTGGTCCGCCGAACTCTTCTTCGGCTTCTGGCGCATGTATTCCACCCTTGACCCTCTAATCCCCGCCGACGGACGTTCCGACCTCCCGCCCCCACGACGCATGATATTCACCCACGGAGATGCTGCCCACTGGCGCGATTACGCCTCTATGAATCAATATGTTCTGCGATCGACTTTCCCATCTATCTCTATGGAGTTTTCAGCCGACTGGTCAGATCGCGCCGCCATGCAAGTTCCTTTTGTTTACGATCGCGTGGTCCTCGCCGACCGTGCTGCTGCGTTTAACGGCGAGAACTTTGGGCGCACCCAGAGGACAGCAGCAGAACCGTTCACTCTTCCAGGTAGTCCCAACTGGTGGAGCACTGTCAGGGAGAATGTCATTGACTGGAGCGGTGTCGCGAAAGAAGTCGGTCAGGGGACAAGAGGGACCCCTGTCATCACATACGTTTCACGGCAGGGGTGGGGTCGCAGGATGTTGATACAGGAGGATCACGAAAAACTAGTGAGCGAGTTGTACAAGCTCAGGGACCAGTATGGGTATGAGGTGAACGTCGTAAGCATGGACAAGTTGTCAAGAGTCGAGCAATTGAGATTGGCGGCCAGAACGACGGTGAGCAGTTCGTACTGACATTCGAAAATGGCGTCTGATTCCGGAATCATGCAGATTATGATGGGAGTCCACGGGAATGGGTTGACCTCTTTGATCTGGATGAAACCGTCTCCTCGAACCACGGTCATGGAGTTCTTCTACCCAGGCGGTTTCGCGCATGACTATGAGTGGACCAGTCGAGCACTTGGTATGGTGCATTATGGTTTTTGGGGTGACAGGTTTGTGACCCCTCGCTGATCAACCCTATTTCGTACTGACCTGCTCTTTTCCACCCTAGTGCCTTTACGAGCCCTGATGTACCTCCCGTGGCTTACCCTGAAGGTTTCCAAGGCAATGCAATCCCCATTGACGGCACTGTAGTCGCTAGAATATGCCATGAACGCCTTACACTTGCTGATGAAGCAGATGATTGATTTGTCTCCTGTCTTGTTTCCTAGAGGGTGGTGATTAGCTTCATACACAGGATTATTATTTTACTTATTCTTAGTAATCACTATATTGCATGGTTGCTACATATGCTGTGTAGTGGAAGAGTAACAGGTCTATATGTTGGCACTGGTGATGCACAGGTCAGGTTCAGTGAACCAGGTTCGAACCAGAACCATCTGAACTGGACCATTGTTCGGGGTCTAGGTCTGGGCAATTGCTGAACCGAACCAGGCTGATAGGCTCAAGGTTCAGATGTGGGTGAACTGAGCTGAACCTGAACTGGACCCCGAACTTCACCTGTATAAATGAAGCCATTTCAGTGCTATTTTCGCATTAGTTTTGTAACAAGCTCCCTCAAAGTCCTGCTTGTTCAAAGCTATTTGAACCCACATAAGCTAGACACAAGGATATTAGTGGAAACTGTGATATTATGGCTCTGGAATGAGCCATGGTCGACATGGTCGACCTCAGTCATCCCCTCCCCTAGCCTAGGCTACACTCGGCTACTGTGTGTAATGGTCAAAGACTACAGTTATACTTATAACTTATGTTCTTCCAGGCCCTGGGACACTTCAGTCTTCTATGAAGGCCGCCCAGTTTAGGTTGAATATTTTCACACAATCTGAGGGTGAAGACCTCCTAAAAATTTGTATATCTTAAGTCACAAAGCCGTGGGGTCTCTTGAAGGTTGTGTATTTGGCTTTGTTGCACAGGAAATTATGTGATTTTATTTTATTGTTTGAGGGGTAAGGTTCACCAACAAGGCAAATGATCATATACTGTAGATTTTCGACCTGAAGTTCATCAGTGGCGTGAGAGCTTCACCCTCCAAATCCGGCCTGTCCCCCCTCCAAAGTTCGTTGAGCTCGGGGGACAGGGGACAATTACCTTTTTGAGTATGTTTTTTGTCGGTTTCTGAGAAAACATAGAAAATATTCTGTCAAATATACCCAAATGGTGATGTCACAAGGGGAGAGGACAGTGGACTGTCCCCCCGAACAGGTTCAGTTCGGCGGTCCCGGTGGACCGGGGACGAACTTTAGGTCGAAAATCTACAGTAATCTCAACTTGACCTAACCGAATCCCCACATAATCTCAACCCCCCTAACCTAACCTAGACCTACCATACCCTAGTCAGCACTAATCAAGTATTAATAGAGACATGACAGACTGTTTTGTGCATAGAGTAGGTTATTTAGGCTAGTAGGTTAAGCTAAGTTAAGGTTATGTGAGGGATAGGCTTGGTTAACTTGAGTTTATGTGAGGGTTATGAGGGTAATATTAAGCTTTTTACAGCTGTTTTTAGTGTTTTGCACGGGTGTGGGCCAACCCGCGGTTATACAGCACGGTGTGGCGCGGGTACGGGTACGGGTCCGGGCTTTCCCGAACCGTGAAGAACCGCGAGACCCGCGGTGTTGAACACGGGTTTGCTGGTACTGAGCGAGCAGTTTTGCGAGTAAAATCAGCGATCGTTTCTTTGTTTCTGTGGAGTCGCTGCCACTCTCGGACTTTGCTGGTGAAAACCTTGTTTCTCAAGCTGATTACTGAGTTCGAACTTCGAAATGCCACCTGGGGCACCTGGCCCCACTAGAGCCGTGAAACTCTCACCGCACTCTTCCGGTTCTATGAATAACGAACAAAATGCGAGCGGGAGCGACACTTCCCACCGTTCACAATCTGGGACAGACAGCCATCTTCGATGCTCAGTGGTTGTTCATTTGGAGTCCCTGCTTCGAACCTCTGCTTCATCGCACATCATCCTAGTAGTTTTCCAAAGACAATGATCGGTAGAGTTGTGGGCTTGTGGCCTCTGAGGTCTTGTCGTGCATGATCATTGACGGAAGGGTCTAACTGCAGGAGCTCTATCTCAGAGATTTTGGTGAGTCCGAATTCGCCTTGCACGTCTCTTCACTACAGTGAAAAGCTTGCCTCGTGTTGACACGATAAGTAGCAGCCCGCGCAATCGTACACGAGGTATGGCTTGTCGGTCTTGTCCTCAAGATCGTCTGTTTCCTTTTTCTGATTTCAGCACTCGATCTCAGCGCAATAGCTGCAGCGGAAAGTGATATTGCTCTTTATCTTTGGGACAATGCATGGCGTCCGCATCCCAAACGTTTTCATGGTTGCCCGTCTCTCCGGGATTATTTGCCATGGGCAAAGATATTGGTGTACACATGCCGCTTTCATCTCGAGCTAGTCGTATCGGCGCATGCTCATTTGCTTCTCCACAGCTCTCGTGAACAAACACACAGTTGGCATCGTCGCCTCGGCTAAAGAAAGTACACTTTCTTTGCGCTGTATAAAAGCGGGTCATCATACTTCTAGTCCGTGCATTATGGCACCGTCTATTTTCACGACTATGGACGATTGGGCCAATGGGCCTGCGTCTCGACCGTCTACGCGTCCTCCTTCCCCTCCGTCTACGCGTCCTCCATCTATGCCGTCACTGGAAGCTACTAGTGACACTGGTTCTGTTGTTTCGATCCACTCGTCTCTCTCTGACTCTCTTAAGAGGGTAGGCTCCGAAGTCATGACTAGGGCACGGCGTGTGGTCAAGAAGACTGAGAAAGCTGCTGCTGCCGCCGCCGCTCCGTTTCGCAAGAGAGCACGGCGTACGAAGACCTCCAATCACTCTGGTAAGGGAAACCACCTTCTCACTGTATCCAATCTTCGCCTTTGACACGGTCGTTTCTTTAGATGTTGATACTACCCACACGCCGGTCGAAACATGTGGTATGTCATTGATATGTCTCCTTCGTACATTGTATTGAGAATGCTGGTGATTCGATTCACCTCAGAACCCGCCATCGAGGTCTCAAGCAGTGAAGAGGATGATATCCAGGCTCCACCAAGGCTGTCTCGTCAGAATGACGATGATGAGATCGGTACGTCCCTTTCCACATTATCCTCACCGCAGTTCGACATTTCTGAATGTGTTACATTTATAGCACGTCTTCGTACTCGTTGGAAAGCCCCGGTATACGGTTTCTTCAAGCTTGACTCGGTCACTGTCGGTTACGATCACGGTACCAACCGCAAGTATCATTACTTTCCTTGCACGCTCGGCAACACCTGTAAGTCCACCGCTCGTGGCGTTAAACGATACCAAGACACCGGCGACAAATCCAGCACGCAAAATCTTACCAGTCACGCGGAGAAGTGCCACGGGAAGCAAGCTGTCTCGGATGCTAAGGTTGGGAGGATATCCGAAGCTCAGGATGGCTCTATCCATGCTGCTTTTGCCCGCCAAGGGCAGCAGCCCGTCAAGGCTACTTTCCGGTCATTCTCGAGTCGTGAAACTCGGTATGGGTCTCGTTTTTACTCTTTGTTGTCCTCGCTTATTTGACGGTATACAGGGGCTGGTTTGTTCGCTGGTTTACGAAGCACAACCGCGCGCCCTACATACTCAAAGACGAAGAATTTCGGACACTTATGACGAATGGACGCCCTGGCCTGGTACTCGCATCTCCATATACTGCTTACCGCGACATTTCCGAGGCCTTTACTCGCTGTCGTGAGAAGATCAAGACCCTTATCCGCGTATGCATTCAGCTTGATGCCGTCGCCTTCGTATGCTGACACTGCTTTGCTTTGAATAAGACCTATGATGGCAGATTACATTTTGCAACTGATGCATGGACCGCACCAAACCACACCGCCATTGTTGCATGGACCGTCCACCTTCAGCACAACGGTGTTCCGCTCTGTTTCCTTCTGGATATGGTCGAACTTCCGGAGGTATGACACATCACATCACTGCAATCCGATCGCGAGTTCATCATCGTTGATACTGTTTTTTCTTTGTCTGTTACCTCAGTCTCATACGGGCACTGCTCTTGCACGAGCATTTCAGGACATGCTCCAGGAGTTCGAGATCACTGAAAAGGTATGATATACTCTGAGTTCCTCCACTATTTGCGATTACTTACTGTATCAACGGACTTCCGGTGCTGTCGTTTGCAGGGGATAATGCTACATCCAACGACACTCAGACTACGGAACTCGCATCCCATGATAACTCGTTCGAGGAAGACCACCGCGTTCGGTGCTTCAACCACACGCTAAATCTAGGCGCCAAATCGATCCTTCGACCATTCCTCGCGGCTATTGACAAGGTCAAGAAACGGCTAGCGAAGAAGAAGGCAGGAAAGGTTGGAGGATCGAGTAGTGGTGGCGGTGAACTTGAAGATGGAGATGACGATGACACGCCGGAACTAGAGGAGATTGTCGAGCTCTTTGATCTCGACGATATAGACAAGGATGTTGATGAGAGGCCCGAGGCGGACGATGGTGGAGTTGATTCGGAGTCTGACGAGGGTGATGGTGGAGCTGAGGATGGTGAGAATGGCGATGGCGATGGTGTTGACGACCCAGAGGAAGGAGATGAATCGGACGAACTACGCAGGATGTCGAAGGAAGAGTGTGCTAAGGTGCTCAAAGATACGAAAGTTGCACGAGTCGCGATAACAAAGGTGTGTCTTGTGTTTGTTTGCTTTCGTTGCGTACAACTCATTGTCTTTATGCATGTATTAGATTCGTCAGTTATCCTTCGCCATTGTTCACTCGACTACCATCCAACTCCCTCTCTGGCGTGCCCATTGCAAACGCCTCGGCTTACGACCCAAGCTCCTCCCCCGCGACGTATCTACCCGCTGGAACTCGACGTTTGATATGATTGCGGTCGCTTTGGAGTATCGAAAGGCTATCAACGCGATTACGGCCTCGAAGCCCATGCGCCGCTTTGAGCTTGGGAAGACAGATTGGGAAATACTCGAGGATATCTCTTACGCATTGAAGGTACATGTTGTCTTCGAATGCACTCAAACACCGTCCACTTGCTGATATCTTCATCTTAGATGTTCAAGGATGCGACACTCTTCTTCTCACAAGATTCGGTGCCCACCATCGCCTTCGTTATCACCACTTTCGATCGCATTAGCGACATGCTCCTCAACAAGAAACTCATCGACCACAAACGTCCTCGTCTTCACCCTGCGGTGATGTCTGCTATGCGACTTGGTAGCCGCACGATGGAAAGATACCACTCCAAGACGGATGACTCGGATATGTACTGTGTTCCTCTAAGTAAGATTATACCTTCGCCCTATTTCTTACCTGCCATGTATGCTCACTGTTTTGTGTTTTGAGTCCTTCATCCAGGCACGAAACTCGAGTACTTCCGTTCCCGAAAACGTGATGCGGAATATATCGAGGCAGTACTTGGTACTGTTCGCGATGTCTACGATTTCTACGTTCGTTCGGAGACGCCCGTTGGTCCACTTCCCCAAGTACGTTGTTCATCTCCATCAATGCCCGGCTGCGTATCATGTAACATAGTATTGATGTGTATCTAATTCATAGGCCGCCGCTGCTGCTGCCACTGCCAATGCCGCAGCTCCTTCCGCGCTGTCCTTCAACTTCGCCAATATCTCGGTTGTTGCTGGCTCTACTCGGAATGAGCTTGACGAGTTCCTGGCCGCTCCCCTACTGAACGTCACTGATCCGTTGAAGTGGTGGTGGGACAACCGTGGTGCATATCCAGTCCTTTCTCGAGTGGCCTTGGATTATCTATGTGCTCCTGGTACGTCGTCATTGTCTGTGAGCTCGTGATTTGTGTACTCGTCTCATTATCGTTTGGTAGCTACTTCGACCGCCGTGGAGCGGGTGTTCTCCCAAGGACGCCACCTTCTTCATTTCACTCGCAGTCGACTATCCGGAAAGTCTATTCGCGTGTTCATGTGCCTTGGCGCCTGGAATCGGGCAGACTTGATTACGGTCGAGGATCAGATGCCTCTCGACAAGGGTAAGGGCAAACGAAAGTATGTTGAGGTCGATACTATTGACTTGACCGGTGATGATGGTGATCTTTCGCAGAAGTAAACATCACTAAAGATCTCGTAGTCTTTTGGTAGGGGTTTGACCCTTACTTCGTTGTTCAACATAACACTGGCTGTCCCTCTTTCTTTCGAGTTGTGTCGTGCTCAACCACGGCCGGGCTTTGAGTTTTGCATTTTTGTATTTTTGGACACCGTTGTTCCACCATCGGTCTTCATCTTCGCCTCTGTGTTTGCTGCGTTCAACCGCCGTACCCTTGGTTATTTCATCTTCGTCGTCGTTGTTTGTTGTTTGTTTAATTGCTCCCATTTTATAACCTTCCGATTGTGCATATATAGACTCAATATTACATTGCATGTTCTATACACAGCCTTCGCCCGTTATACAGTCATTCCCCGTGTTCAGATCCCTTCAAGGCTGTCAACACCGTACCCGACGACCCGCGGTTCCTCCACCGCGGTGGTGACTGACGAACCCGTAGAGTACCGCGGTTCACCCGTACCCGTACCCGTGCGGGTACGGGTTTTGGCGGGTACGGGTGCGGGTTTGTCTCTGGCACCCGCGGTTGAACCCGTGCAAAACACTAGCTGTTTTTTTTTTTGCCACACCAAAGGTGTCAGTAGGCACTGACCCTTCCCAGAGTTTGCATATTTTAAGGCCCTCACCAGGCCAAGATTGCATATTTTTACCTGTTTTCAAGGTCACCTTTTGGGCAACCTTCATAGGAGTGTTCCAGGGCCTGTTCTGTCACTCTGGAATTATTAGTATATCATGGAAAATAGCTTGAATCATGATGCATGCCATTTTGTATGTGTGAACCTGGTTTGAACCTGAACCGAACCTAAACTGGACCTGAACTGATTTTGGGTTCAGGTTCACCAAAGTGGTTGAACTGAACCTCAGGTTCAGTTCAAGGTTCTCAAAATGGGCACTGAACCGGACCGAACCAGACCCCGGCATCACTAGATAGTACTCCTCCGATTCTGAATCCTGATGCGTCATATTCTACTCGGAATGGTTTCTCGGAGTCGGATTGGATGATGACGGGGGCTGTGGTGATGAGACACCCGATTCGAGGGTGGTCTCAAAAATCCCGGAAAAACCTGTGAATGGTCTTAAAATGTCAGTAAATCACATAAATAAGCCTTGCACGGCTATGCTGTCAAGGTAGTCCACCTAATACTCTCCACTAGTGGTACACATATCTACTGGCTGACCGGAGGCGTCCAACGAGGGAGAGTATGAGGCAGAAACGAAACCCTCGTGCGAGTAGTCTTGAGCATGGAAGAAACCAGAGAACCGAAACCCTCGTGCAAGTGGTCTCGAGCATGGAAGAGACACAGGGACCAGCACCAAGATGAAAAGAAAAAAAGAGGAGATTGTTGGTGTTAATGCTGATGATAATTCAAGATAAGGTTTGGAACACTATCTACTATATAATGGGAAAGCAGTCTCTAGACAAGCCACGTGCGAGAGCCCTTTTTGGAAGCTCCTATATTCGGTAACGTCGACATACTGCGCTCATGTAGATAACGTGTGGCCCTGTGCTTCCCTACTAATCACCACTCTGCAGTTGCTCTTGCACGTTCTAAGTGCCATAGAGGATTGGTTGTAGTGCGTGAATCTGTTTCGTCTGAATCTTATGTGGGAGAGCAGTGTTCCACGGTCTAAAATGGCAACTGCCGTTTATGGCTGTTCTGCGACGGTGGCACTGCTGTGTGGCGACTTTCTGTCTCTTTCTCGATCTCACCTCAGTAGCATATGAACCAATGGGGAGCAAGATCCAAACGAGTTTGCGTCTGACCAATCAACGGGGAGTGAGATCGAAAAGAGTCTACATGCACGCTGGCTTGATACATCTTTTATTGGCGTTGTGATTGATCACACCAAGATCACACTGGTGAGATCGCACACATGCTGTGATATTTGGTTTCTGTGGAGTCTGCTCCTCACAAGAGCGACGGGAAGCTACCAATACTTCCTAACACCTCAAATAATCGGAATATTTCCAGCCACAAAATTTCAGTGTCACGGTCCCGATGATGTTAGATCAATGTCACGAGGAAATGGGCCACATTGAAGGAGACATTATCATTGGCTTTGTGTGGGACTTTTGTGGGCTTGAAATTTCAGTTGAAGCGGTCATTGAAGTACAACGGTTGATATTTGTGCGTGAGCACAGGTAACTGCTATATACATGAGTTTCAAGCTCAGATCAAACTCAGATGTACGTAAAAGGTAAGTACGAACCATGTAACTAGAGACTAGGAAATTCCTCTCTTATCCTGAATATACAGCCCAGCAATGGGGTGTTATAGGTGAAGGCTTGTTTGAGGTCTTCAACAGCTTTTTGTTCGACCTCCGTCCATCTCCACTTGACATCCTTTTTTGTTAGGTCATTAAGGGGTCGCACTTTGTCTGAAAAGTTTCGAATAAATCGCCGGTAGAAATTTCCAAATCCTAACAACGACCTGACATCTGTTAGGTCCTTCGGAGTGGGCCATTCAAGTACTCCAGCGACTTTAATGGGGTCCATCAAGATTTTGCCGTGTCCTAGGATCATTTCTAGGTATTCGATTTCCGGTGCTTCGAATGTGCATTTTTTGGGTTTAAGGAACAGGTCATTGTCTTGAAGTCATTTTAGGACTTTATTGACAATAGTCTGATGTTCCTCTAGTGTCTCGATTCCAATAAGGATGTCATCCATGTAAATTACCACCTTTCTGGTAGCAATTAGGTCTTGGAATATATCATCCATCATTGTCTAGAAAGTGGCTGGGGAATTGGTGAGACCAAAAAACATGACCATGGGTTCATACAGGCCGTGGTTGGTGAGGAAAGCTGCTTTCCATTGGTCTCCGTCGGCTATTACGATGCCTGAGGAACGAAGGTACATCGTTTATACTACTCCTTTCTTTTGCTTCTTTTCTTTGTTAGGTTTGGCGGTGATCCGCGCAACGCAAGGTTCATGCAGACCCCTAACCCTGGTTCTGGTCCACCGGACTGGTCCACAGACCTTCCACGTGACCTCTATTCTCGCTGCACTGTTATCTGCCTTGCCCTTGTCACCTAGTCCATCTGCACTGATAGGATGCCATCCAATGTATGTTGACCTTTTGCTAGTCCTGTAGTGGCATTTTATGATGTTGTAATGTTCATAGGAATTAGTCTTTCATGAAGAATTTGCGCTTGCATTGCATATTTACAATTTGCACCCAACATGGAGTCTGTTTATTGTCATTACCAGACTGTCCTATTTTTCAGGAGTAGGTCCCTATGTATCTATATCTGCTAAATGCTAACTCTTATCCAGACAGAAAGTATAACCAGGCGTGGAACGTCACACGGTCATACGTCTATTTGGCTCCATACACAAGGTCAGTGGGGTACTCCAGTCTTGATATTCTTTCTGACGTTCAACTCATAAAACATGTAAATGTGACTGTGTATAGGGTAGCAGACGCCATAGTTGTGCCATAGGCCACACATAATGTATCTATCTTTGGTAGGTATAGACATATCTTTATACCTAATGCCAGCACGAGTGATCTTCCGGGAG